CTAGAACTAGAATCATTTGGGTTTAGCCGCACGTCTCTGAAGACGGCTAAACCCGAATGATTCTAGTTCTAGGTATAGTGCTGGTTCTAGTTTAGCCGAATGTCTTTAAATGCGGCTAAACCCGAATGATTCTAGTTCTAGGTATAGTGTCAGTTCTAGTTTTACACTTGCACTCTCACTAGCACTAACATTAGACCTAAAACTAGAATCATTCGGGTTTAGCCGTCTTGAGAGACGTGCTGCTAAATCCGAATGTTTCTAATTCTCGGTCTAGTGTTAGTTCTAGTGGCAGTGGTAGGTAGCTTTAGTTAGCATAAGATATTACTATGTTGCATATTTTTATGGAACTAAGACTAGTGCAGCTAAACCCGAATGTTTCTAGCCGGCCGGTGACATCTAATAGCAATTCTTCCTTTTGGCGCTTCAATTTGAAAACACTCCTCCGAATTAAAAAATAGAGTATAGTCATAGTTAAAATTAGACGATAATTACTTAAACTTTCTAAATATTGATACAATTATGTAATAAAGTAATTATTTATTATAGGTTATATGAAGCAACAATAAAATCAGAAAAATCTGATATAACGAAATGGTTAAATGAAGCTGTACAAAAACCCGCCCAATCTGAATTGTTAGATAAAAAATTTTTAGATACGCGAACGTATACGCGTCCAAAAAAACGTTTCCTAAGACCTAGTATAGAACAATTTAACGAACAGTATTCAGAGGCTGTAAAATATGATGATACCCTCCAAGAAACATATTATCATCCTTCCGGAGCAATAACATCAAATATAATTGATACAACAAAACCATTATATTTTGATTTATCACAACCGGCTTCTTGCACAATTTTTGATAACATAATGAGTTCTTCATTAAATGTGGACAGTTTTCAAAATATGTCGCCACCGAGTCTTATCAATTCGATGTGTTCATCGACGTTTACGAATTTAATGGAAAATAGTTACATTAAAAATGATCCGGTTTTAAGAGAGATAAGAGATGCGGATTATTCGGGTGAAGTTTTCTTAAACCACAGTGGTGAAGAAATATTTATGCAAAAGTCGATTTCGGAAAGCTGTAGCAGTTTAAATTCGGATAGTGCCGAAAATTTCCTCAAACGCACTTTACCGACTCTTCCGAATTATCACGCCACGGTTACGAATGACTTTACAATTTCCAATTCGGATATGAGCGATACTACGGTTATAATGAGAGAAAGCAGTGACGATACTTTGATTAATTCGTCCAACAATTTGAACGCTTCGAATATTATTGAGGGTAATAACATGAATAATACTTTTAAGAAGAATATTACTAAGGAATTGAGTTGCGATATGAGCTCGTCTAGTAATTCTGACATACAGAATAACTTAGATGTGCCAAACGGAATTAATAAAATGTTAGAAGAAGAGGAATTGATTAAAAAACGATTTTTGGAAAGTAAAATTGCAACCAACGAATCAGAATCGCCTAATATTGTTTATAATAGTACTAAAACCGGTAAGAAAGTTTGTTTTTTGTTATTTCGAATTATTTTTATCTTTATGGAATTACAAGTAAATGGGAATATTTTTGTGTAATTGTATTGATTGGGTTTAGGTGAGTCATCAAGTAATTTTTATTCACCTCCTCCGGATTATAACAGGATTTTAAAATAATTACATAATCTCATTTAAATTGATATGTGGCATTATCATTAATTATGTTGATTTAAATAAGTCGGGAGATTTTAATCTTTGGCATTGATTTACTTATAATTCCATAAAGTTTATAAAGGAGTTTATTGAAATAAAATCTTAATTAATTAGTATCACTATTAAATTAAAAAATTGGTTCACTTCGTCATTCTTAAGTTAGAATCATCTTTTAACCGCCTCTTCCAAGGAGATAATCAATGGTGGGAGTTAAAGAAATAATAATATTTAATCCATAGTGGCGCAAAATAAATAAGCTATTTCCCCTAATTCAGAATTAATGGCCTTTTGGAATTTCGAATCGTCTTGGTTCATTCAAGGTCAATACCACTTAAAACCAACAACTTTAATTTAAAATTGTTTTATCATCAAGGATAAAGCTAATTACACCTTTTAAAATATGTATTGTGTGTATATTATTATATTGGAAGGTCATCAGCTACTGATATTAAAGTGGTTTCAAATTTTCTAATTTGAGTACCACTCACATCCAAGAACTTTATTTTAAGATCGCCATATGTTCGATTTTGTTCCTCTACCACACTATGTAACCTTGATTATATATGTTCCAGAAGTAAAGTTTCAGATTTAATGTTTTCCTTTTTCAGAAACAAGTTTAAAAGTGATACATAATTTTATTTCTAATAACACTAGCTATGTAAGCTTTCACTGCACAACTACTGACGCTGTTTCTTATTATGCCCTCTTCAAAGGAAAGGAAGGAACAATAAATGTAGGAAGAAACAAATATAATCTGAATTCATGTACTTTAATCTTTAGAGTACAATTACCTAATCCTAGAAAAATGTTTATTAAATGTGATTTAAATCCATGTGCCATTAAAGATATTACCCTAAATAATATAAGATCTTACATTAATGTTGTGAAGATCTTTTCTAAGTTTATTTTATTACTTATGTTGTTATTTATGACATTATTCGGTCCTTCAAAATGGTGTACAATAAGTAAGCGCAATGTTGCAATCTGCTAGGGCATATTTAGCCAAGTTGGCAAAACTAAAGAGTAAAGATATGCTATCAGAAAAAATAAATATTAATATCCATAACCATAAGGAACAATAAAACAAAAACCTCAGTTAATTATGTAATATATGCTGATTTGAATGGTTATGCTGCCCTAGACGATTAGTAAGACTTCATTGTTTCGCGAGTTACTTTGACATTTATGTTTTAACTTTATCATCAGTTGTTGTATTCCATTATTCATCAGATACATTTCTCAACTGTATCTAGGTAGGTTTGTATCACCTCATTTCTATTGTCGAACATCTCACGTTTTCTTTTAGTTACAACTTCCGCTTCTTCAGATAACTTCTTTTTCACGTTCTTGATTAGATAGATTGTCTCTTATGCAAACTTCACATTACAGGGTGTCATTAAATCGTGATGAGTGAAGTTTTTATTCATGGCAGTGAAGTAGTCAGCTTTCTAATAACACTATCTTTGTTTCAACGACTCGTAATTTCCCAAAGTTGTTAATTGATGACTTTGCTGATATTTGGGTACTTTGGGCGCTTCCTGATCATGCTCATCTCCTTCCTCATAAACGATCATATGTTGTTTATGCGCAGAGATCTCCTAATATTAAAAATACTCTACTAATAACTGTTCCAAAAGTTTTTGCCGTAATTGAGAGCAGATAGAAAAACAGAAAGGTTTTTATTTACCTTATTAATTTTTGCATCATCAGAATCAACTGTCATATTTTTTATTGCGCTGTGTACTTATTTAGTATAACATATTGGTGGAGAATTAGATAATAATTAATCATGTGGAATGTCACAAATACATAAGCCTTTGCAACAAGTGTGTGTTGCTGATTGTCAGAAACGATTTATTACATAGATTTTGGTGTGTGACAATTCTAATATTTCCGTCTTCACCAGCTTCTTCATTGATATGAATGTCAAAAAGTTTAAGGCTTAGAAATGCAGAGATTTTAGCTCTATTGGCTACTTGGTGCAGCTGATAATTGCAACTAAGTTTCTAGAAATGTTACTTCATTGGCTTTACTCATGAATTTCATCAGTCTTGCTTTAATATGATTTAGTTTTAGGTACAAGTTTTAAAGCTGTTTTCTTTAGATCAATAATTAAGATCGGTTGATCTACATTTTAAATATGATGGGAGTGTGATTGCTTTTTACATAATTTTTCAACTGTGGTACAAAGAGTAATCTTGTTCTAATCTAAAGACTTTTCTTAAGGTTGAAATATCTTAATTAAATACACAGATACAAATTTATTTTTTAAGATTTTATTTGAATAAATAATAAATTTTTGTTGATAAATTGGTTAATTATAATTTAAAATGTGTGTTAAGAAATTTTAGAACAATTTTTTAAGTCTTCTAATTGTTAATAGAATTTTGTAGATATTTAGATTATGACAAAGTAGATTTTTCTATTTTACTTAATTTTTTTAATTTTAATTATTTTAACTTTCATAGACCAGAGTTTGATTTATATTTTTTCCAGAACCCTCAAAACTTTCCCTAGGTTCATTTTGTTTAGTATTAATGCACCTCTATAAGCTATTCACGTCCTTTTTACACTCATTCAAGGGTATGTATAGTTGAAAAAGACAAAAAAGAGGGTGGTGCGCTTCAAAAGATTAATGTTTATTTGGCTGCATATATCTACGCCACTTTATCATATTGTATCATTGTTTTTTTTTATGTTTTCATTTCTAAATTATTATCTCTGTTCTCTCATAATTTTTATTTTTTTAATTTTCATCTCGAGTAACTTTTCTTTGAATAACTCTAGTAGTTTAGTATTTTTAGTAATAAATATGATCGGTGAATTTTTTGTTTATAAATGTTTTTACGCATGGTATTTTTCGGGATCGTGAATTTATTTATTTTTAATGTTTTTTTTTCTTTCTTGAATTTTTATTTTTCTACCTGATCCAGCAAAAAAGTTTTTCCTGGTCAGGCCCAACTTTTGGTCTATGTTTATTTAAATTACGGCATATGCATGCAAAAATTTTTCTTACAAACAGTATTTTTGATAAAATTCGCATGCATTTCATAGAAACTGATTATAATAAAAAATTATTTCTTTAAATTGAACAAAAACTCCACAAAAACAACATTCAAACTAAAAAATAAATCTAATATTAACATAATCAATTCAGGCTCATCAAAAAACAACGAACCAACATTCGACCATGCTCATTCAGAAAATATCGACCCCAACACAACATTTAATTTACAACAACCACCAGTAACAACAACGAAATTAAAATCGAGCGAAACGTTTCGGACTACACCAAAATCAACTCAAAATATGTATGGGACTTATAAAAAATTACCGGGGCGATTTAATAATGTTACGACGGCTTGTTTAAATGAAACGATTTCTTTAGATGATCCATTAGACGATGTTAAAGATAGAAGTTATATAATTACGGCGGATCGCGATGACGAAAATGAAGAAAAAGACGAATTATTAGATCGGATGGTCAATATTAAACGATTTTCCGGAGGATTCGTTTCCGGATCTAATGATAGTTTGGAACACGGAAGTAGTCGATCAAATAGTAGTGGTGGTTCTAGTCGCGTTTTAAACATGGCCGAAGTCGATGCTATTGTTGAATTTCAAGAAAGAAGTAAGTTTCTAATTCCCCAAGAAATATTTTTTAGCACAAATCTTTTCTTTAGGTCTACCAATTATGTCTACACCAAAACCCTCAACATCAATGTCAAAACTTTTCCATCACGATATTTCTCCAATTTTTCGCCAAAAAGAGCACGTTTCCGACTCGGATTTATCCTCAACTGAAGACTATTTAACGAGTAGATCTACGCTTTCAAAATCATCAGGACATTCTGATCGGCCGTTAAAGTCACCAGAACGTCCCGTTAAAAGCATGCACAATTTAAAACAAATCGCCGAACCAAAAGCGGAAATGCAACCTCGTTGGGCGTATATTCCTCGCGTTCCTGGACGAGGTTTTACGGGATCAGCGAGTAATTTGAGGATGCCTGAACCGGTTTTGCATGGTTCACGAAGTAATTTGACCACCATTCGACCCGTTTTGAAAGGATCTTATACTAATTTAAGGCCAGTAAGTCAAAATTTACCGGTTATTACGTCTGATCCGCCCAGTTTAAATAATACTCAAACTTTCAACAGAAACGATCAGGTTTGTTTAATAGAAATTAGAGTTTTATGTAGATTTTATTTAATTTTTTATTTTTGGGTAGGGTTTTAAAGTCCCTGCTCTTCCTGCCTCAAGACAAAGTAGTGCTCCTGTTAATATTGAAAAACCTCAAGCTAGAATTAGTGGTTTGCCAAGACCTGTTACAGGTATTCCTAGACCTGCATCAAGAATTCCAGGACCTAGAAGTACCAGGTAAAGTTTATTCTATTCTTGGTATTACAAAACATATATGATGATGTCTGATTATACTCAATATTCATTACTTTACTCAATAACTACAACTCTGCTCTTACCCAACATTGCTTGGTTAAAATCGTTCATTCAACCCACATCCTTAACTTTATATGATATTCCAAACATTGCACAAGATCAAAAAATGTCTTTAAGAAGATGTTTTTAATTATATTTTTGTTTAAAGACCTCAAGTACAACGTGGAGGTTCTCAACCAGTTAGCAAAGTAAACCTGAACCAAGGAAACTACTGACAAAGACCTTGGAAGTGCGTAAAAAGAACCTTAGTGCCTTACAATGATTCGGTCCTAAATACGATTGAAAAACGAAAAAATGCTCTAAAGAAAAATGAAAAGATATACGTTTATCATTTAATTGTCATATCATTAACTTGTATCCTATACAATGTAACTTGTGTTTAACTTGCTCATATTTTATATACATATACAATTTTATTGACACAAAAAAAAATGAAAGATGCAATATCTATGTATAAAGAAGAAAAAGTTATTGAAAAATTATTTCGATTCTTGTTGTTTCTTCTTGAAGTAATTGTTTTAAATAACTTTTTTTTGTTTATTTTCTTTTTTATTTTAATATCTATTGTGATTGAGATATGGATACGACTGAATTTACTAATGAAAATTGAATTAACTAATTAAAATATAGGTAAAGGGGCCTAAATGTAATAATGGAATTTATTGTTTTTTCTGTTTTTGCGACCTTTATAGATAGTCCCCATTTTGAGCTTCTGCAAAATCTAATAGCTATTTATTAATTTATTTAAAAAAAAAAAGTATTGTGCGTTGTTCGCGTTCTAGTGTATGTAAATATTGATTGTTTTTTTAGGGAAAATTAGAAAAGCCAAATATATTATATGAAAAATCTTAAGATCTGTTAAAAAATGATCCTATCCTGAAAAAAATAAAAAAAATTCGATCATAAAATTGTTCAAAAAATCGTCTTTTTCGTATATATATAATTATTATTATCAATACACATACTAAAAAATGTTTCTACTAATGTTCTATATATTTTTCATGATGAAATAAAAATTTTTATAGCTAAATTTGATTTTATTTTTTATCAATACAAAAAAATGTGTTGCCATAGTATCAAATAATAAATATTTCACAAAAAAAATCAATAATCACCAACATCCATCCATCCAAAATAATATTTCTTTCATTAATTAATTCATACATGCAAACAAATTGAAAATGTCTGGCGATGGTTACGATTCGTTGAAGAAAAACTCGAATTCAAACGATGATGATGACGAGAAATGCATGAAAAACGATTTTCAAGATCAATTCCGTAACCTGTTTAGTTCAGATTCAGAAAGTGACGTTGATGGGGTGGAATATTCAGATGGAAGAAGTGGTTTTGAAAGTGCAAGTCGCGTTTCAGATTTATCAGGGATTTTGGATAGTTTAGAAAAAACCGGTTCGAATAAAAGTTTCAGTTCGTATCAAGTGAGGGAAATCGAAAGAAATAATTGCATGTTAATGAATCGAATCGTTTCGCAAAATAACCGAAAAAGTCAATTTCCAATTACCGACAACAAACCTATGGCTTCTAGTAGTTTCATTAATCGTAAAAAGAAACAACGAGAAATTGATCATAATAATTTAGTAAGTTAAATTTTAATTTTTATAATATGTGTTGTTTTAATGCTTTTTTTTTAATAGATTTTGTTAAAGAAAATTCAATCTGTGAAATCTTCTGGATTGAGTCACAGAAAAAAATAATTATTTTAAAAAATTAATGGGGTGGAATGGAACTCTTTGGAAGTACAAATCATATTTTTTTTTGTAATATAATCGTGGACCAGTATTTGTTATTTTATTTTTACTTTATAATCGAATATTTTTTATAATAGATTTATATAAATATACTTTTTTTCTAAATTTTTTGTGTAATTCAAGTTTAATTAATAAGCGTTTGGTAAACTTTCTTGAAAACAAACTGATTCTGGGTAACAGCCAGATGGTTATAAAAGTGGTAGCTCAACGATTACTGCAATTATTAACCTGGTACAAGAAATAGTTGAGAAATATGATAACAATGAAAAGGTTAAGATAGCTTGCTGCCATACCAATGAGCAAACTACATTTTTATGGCGTTCGCCACATGCTCTATCTCTTCATACCTTTCAAACCGAAAACAGGTTATTAGCTGATCTGAAACTAAGTCCAACGTGAAGTCCTGCAAATATGGAACACCACATGGCTCCATTCTGGAACCTATATTGTTTGCTGCATACATAAATAATATACCTTTTTATACCTCTACGCGGATGATACAATATTTGTTGCAAGAGTAAGTTCCAACGATCGAGTAAGTGCCAAGCTCGATAGTCATCAAGACATCAAATAGGTTCAATATAAACAAGAACAAGACGCAGATGTTGAGAATAATGAAACAAGAATATTGAAGTAAAAGCTATTAAGTTCCTTAGAATAACTCTAGATTCAACATTGAAATGGTATACTCATATTCAAAAGTTGTGTAATCGCCTTTCTGGTGCCGAATATTTGATCCGAAGATTATTTTGCCTGTTTCCAGGTTGTTGCAACATACGAACCTGCAGCCTTGGGCTGCTGCATGTCTAGAGTTAGACAAGAACTAATAGTAGGTCAAGATATTAGGCTGGTTTGTTGTCAATTAGTTGTTGACTAACAGTAGACCCAGAACTAGAAACATTCAGGTTTAGCCGTCTTAAGAGACGCACGGCTTTTCTTGAACCATATTTATGTTATCAGGTAGTGTTACCACCTCTGGCTGTTATTGTAGCCTGACATCATCATGGCATACTTTCAATTAGAGATCTGATGGTTTCTTGAGGGATATCTTCCCATACGCGAATAAGACTTTGTCGCAGCTCGTTTAAGCTGTTAAGTGGTGGATGCTGACTTCTAATCCTACGTCCCATTATGTCTCAAAGATGCTCGATTAGGTCTGGACTACAGGCTGGCCACTCAAGGACTTGAATATTAACATAATTTAAACATTCAGTAACAATATGTGCCGTATGTCTCGCATTATCCTGCATAAGAATGAACCCATCGTCAATGTAAGGTACAAAAGGTATCACAAAACATGTGGAATATCTTTCATTTGGCCTTCTGTACACTCTTGGACGACGATCAGAACTTACAAGGCAAAACCGTGACTCATCCGTAAATAACACTTGCTCCCAATGATGGATTTCCTAATCCACGTGCCTTCTTGCAAAAGCCAATCTGTTTCTTCGGTGGTTTACAGATAATCTGGGACCAGTAGCTGCTGCCCGAGGTCGTAAATTTTGAGTACGAAGTCTTCTTCTTATGGTATCTTGTCATGAACCTCGCTTAGCTGTATTTGGAGCTAGAAGCATCAAAAATCGATCTTCCACCGCATTTGTAGCTCGTGGCCTGCCTTGGCCACGTCGTCTAGCATAATCGTTGGTCTCTATAAATCTCTGCAGAACCCTACCGACCGTTTTATAAGTTGTATAATAGAATAATAGTATGTAAAACTTTGCGATTTGTTAATCCTTCATTGGACAAAGTTACAATTTGAACACATTCATCATGATTTAAATTTCGTCTAGCACGCTCCATTATGTATTCCACGAATGACAGTTATCTTATCAATTCGTAAAACAATTAAAAAGTATGTAGAAAAAAGTTATTATTAAAAAAAGGAATATGAAACTCTTGGGAAGTACAAATCATATTTTTCTTTGTAATATAATCATGAATTTTATAATAGATTTATTTAAATATACTTTTTTCCTATTTTTCTAAATTTAATTGTCACTTGACAATTTTGAGGTTTTTTGACAGGTGTGTCAGATCTGTCAGATGTATTTTGACAGTTTTTCGAGTGTGAAAGTAACTTTTTGGTAATTTGGGTTGCATACGTTAATAACAATTTAATTCTTATAAATTATTTATTTATTCTTTTATTTAGCCATAAAAACAATAAATATAAAGATAAGATTATTAATAATAATTGGTCTAGACTTATTTGTTGTCTGGTTAATTGATATTTCGTTTCGATTATTTTCTTTTAGTTTGTTTAGAAAATCATTGCCAAATAAATTTTAACATATTTAAAAATAATACATTGCACAACGATTTAACTCCACGTAACGGAAGTAAAAAAATATATTCCATTGTAACATTTTATGATTGTTTTTAATCGTTTAATAATGTTAATGAAGAAAAAACCTTCCATAGATGGGGCTAAGTTCCTTTCGCGTTTCGAACCAATTTTGCGTTTAATTTGTTTTTATTTAAGTTGTTAGCGGTCGAATAAGAAATACAAAAACCAACAATTATCTAATTAATAAAGTTCAAACAAAGTTTAATTGATACGAATTGGTTTCGAAGTAATCGCGAAAACTTCACGTTAGTCTCGAAAAAGCCGGTATCACAACAAACAAATAAACGAATTCGTAGTAAGAACAAATTGACTTTTTTGTTGTACATACAGCATTGAATACAACCTTGAAAAAAAAACCATCTGTAAATTTTACAACAATTTCGGCTGTGAAATGTCACGCGTGGACCGCCGCGCATCAAACGTTATTGTTATTATGTGAACCGTAAATTTTTTACAAGACTTCTTTTTCGATTTTACTTATAAAACCACCTTATTAATATTATTATTATTTTCCCATTTACACCCAACTCTACGTTTCGCGGGGGGCTTAAATTTATCACAACCATGAAGTGCAGCAAATTAATATTTTGGTTTGTATTTGGAGTGTGTTGGTTCGACGGAAATTGTGATCAAATTCAACATCAATCCAACACCGAACCGGAAAAACCGAGGAATAATGGAAATATGGGGTACTCATTGCTTTCTAGGTCTATGTCTAAAGTTGTAGAAGGTTATTTTGATGTGTATTTAGCGTTTAAGATGATTTATACCTAGTTTTTTAGATTCACATGAAAGTTGTTACGTTGATGATTTCGATTGCTTATTTGGAGCCTCAAATGATAAACCTGGATTAGAGGCTATTCGAGCTTTACATCAACAATTAGATGATGATGCTAATGGTGACATTGATTTAACTGAAACTGGTGATGTATGTTAATTAATTTATATTAAAAGAATAAGAACATAACCTAAAAAAATTCTTAGATAAATGTATTAAAGATGATATTTAGAATTATGTTGAAGGATTTCATAATCTAAACCCCCAAATTTAATTGTATTAACATTAAATATTATGTACAGTGAGTGTGTCAAAAGTAATTTGACAAATGTAACCTTCTTGTGCTATAAATGCGTTGATCAATAGGGAAACTTAGTTAATAATGTTGAGATGAGTTAAATGATAGCTTCATATAATATACAGGGTGGTCCATTGAAAATGAGCTGAAGGGCATAACTGCCAAGGATTTTATCAAAAAAAAACCTGAAACCTGTCAAGTTTGTTTCTCAGGGGGATAAATTTTGACGCAAAAATTGTACCCCAAACTTTACCCTCCTTCAAATTTGGGGAATGACTCCCCTCCCAAATTTTTTAAAATTAAAAACATCATTTTGTAAGTCTTGTTTTTATTGATACAGCATAAAAAAATTTGTTAGAACAATTTATTTTCGAAATATCTGGTTTTAAAGATTCACCAGATACACCCCAATTTGCACTAAACATATTTCTAATAAGAAAAATTAAAAAAGAAACATGTTAATCATTGAAGGAACGAGGTTTTAGCCAGATATTAAAAACCTATTACTTAGTATCTTTTTTAGGTGTTGGACACTGTAGATAATAATCAACTCCAATAGGACTTTTTTCATTGAATACAACTTCATTTATATCAGGTTTGTCATTAGCAACCTCATTGTAACAATCCCAATACGATATATAAAGCCGTTTTGAAAAATCACTTTGAGTTCTTGAGCAAAAAATTTTTGAAATGATCGACAACTTTTTCGAATTTTGCAATTTTCGCCAATTAAGTTTAAAAAATTCGTGTAAAATCCATTTCTTGGAATATGAGTATGAAAATTTCCCAAAATGTTAATAAAAGTGTCCTCTTTCCAATGAACCAACCCGTTTTGAAAAATAACTTTTAGTTTTTGAGAAAACAATATTTGAAGTTTTGATAAAATTTTCGATGTTGCAATTTTCATCGATAATTTTCAAAATTCGCTATAAAATTAATTTCTTGAAGGATCCTTGTGGAAATATCACCAATTATTAATTAAAGTATCCTCGTTTTAATGCAAAAAGCCGTTTTGAAAAATCACTTTCAGTTCTTGAGAAATAAATTTTTGAAATAATCGACAAGTAGTAGTAGTAGTAAAAGTATTTATTCCGGAATTACAATTATTATACAAACATTGTTTACAATTATATTTTAAATTTATTATATTCTCCGGAACGGGCTCTCGACCGAGGTGCTCCTGCCCTTGCTGAACTTTCATCCATATAATAATTATAATTTACTTCATATCCTTCAACAAATAATAACTAATTGACATTCGGTAAAGGGTTGTTATCCGAAAGAAATAGCGATGTGAGATTGTGGTTTTCAGTTATTTTTAAATTGCTTTTATTAGCAAGTGCAACTATTCGGTCTGTAATTGGTGTTATTTTACATTTCTCATAAAGAAGTTGATTCGATGGGTTATAAAGTGGATTTCTAGGGTTTCTTAGTTTTGTTATTTTGTTTGTTTGGCTTGAATTCCTACGTCGCACAAAATGGATGCTCCATAATCCAAAATCGGTCTGCAGATGGTTTTATAAACGTGGACTGAGCATTTAAAACTGATGCCTCTGTTTTTATATGTTAAACATCTAAAATATTTCGCCCTAGCGTTAGATTTCATTTTAGATTTTTTAGTGTGAACATTAAATTTTAATTTGTTATCTAGATCAATCCCTAAATATTTGCACACCTTAATTGGAGTAATGAACATGTTAGCTATCGATATTTTAGGTGATCTATCAGATATTCTATGGAATGGTAATAATAACTGTGTTTTTTGTGGGTTAATTTGAATACGCCACGTCCTATACCAGCTTTCTATTTTTTCCGTCAGATTTTGAAGATTTTCTATTGCTCCATTCAAAGTACGGTCATGAGGGACTCCTTGTTTTGGAAAGAAAATATCCGAATATGCGTCGTTCACTCTTACTCTCAGTGTTCTATCCGACAAAAAACTGTTTATTAATAATATTAGTGTAACGTTCATTTTTGGCAGTTTAAAAAGGAGATCTCTATGCCACACTGAATCAAATGCCTTCTTGTCTAAACTTCTTAACTAAACACAACAACGCTGATTTTCCTTTTTTTTGGTTTTGCTCAAATAAGTTTGACGTTAGAATCTTAAGAGGGTGAGTTGTGGACATTTTTGATTTAAATCCAAATTGATATGGTGGAATGAACGAATTGACCATCAGCATCAATCTGTTTTTTATAATAATTTCAAAGGTTTTTCCGATTACGAATAATAGAGTAATTGGTCTGTAACCACTTGGAGAAAGTAAATTGTTGTCTTTTTTAGGAATACAAATTATTGTTCCCATTTTCCATTCTATAGGAAAATATGTGTTCTTGATACAATAATTAAAGATTTTTATTATGGATTTATGTACCTCATTATCCAACCTTCTTGAAATACTCCTTGNAATAAAAGTGTCCTCTTTCCAATGAACCAACCCGTTTTGAAAAATAACTTTTAGTTTTTGAGATAAGTTTCAAAATTCGCTATAAAATTCATTTCTTGTGGAAATATCGCCAATTATTAATTAAAGTATCCTCTTTTTAGAGTTGCTTCGTTAGTTAAACCAGTTAAACCAGCATCAAAAAAGTTCATTTTGTATCTTGGGTTCAAATAAGTTGACATATCTTATCAGCTTTCTTATTAATTTCATTTTTATTCAAATATCGCAATAATGTGGCAATGTAGGGTATCACTTCAGAAATGCATCAGAAATTATAACCATAATGGCCGAATATCCGGTATCCGACTTTACACAAAACTCATGATGCTGTTATAAACATATGGAATGTGTCCATGTTGAAGTAAAACAAATATTTGGCCCGACGATGATCTACTTTAAGAAGCAAACCAAACCACTTTGGTACTTTTTTAGCTTTTCCATATAAAGAAGCAGTCTTTTAATTAGTACTTTGGAGAATATTTTCTATGTTGTGTTTAACAACGTAATATCTCTAGAGGTTTCACACTTTAGCGGGTTTTCCTTCTTATGATTAATCCAGGTTCAAATATTTCGCAAATATTTGGTGACTCATTATTTTTTCTTTGCTAGTGTTTCATTTGGCACACTATTTTGTTTATATTTTATTAAATGAAAAATATTAAAGAATTGAACTTCTTTTCTAGTTTTTGCGTCAAGATTTAAAAATTGATTCTGGTTATGAAAAGCGTCAAAAAGCATTCCATCAAAACGACGATATGCATATTTCCGTTAAAGAGCTTTGGGAATCTTGGTTAAGATCGGAAGTCCACAACTGGACTGTTCAGCAAACCGTTGAATGGCTCTCTGTTTGTGTGGATTTGCCGCAATATGTTCCAAATTTTATTCAGAATAAGGTAACTGGAGCTGCACTTCCAAGGTAAAAACTTTTATTTAATTTTATTTTTACTAAAACGAAACCGATTCTTTGAAGAAATATGAACGATAATAGTAACATAAAAAATATGGTTAAAAATTTTTACATAAAATAAATATTTTAAGGATTAGTTTTGTTTGGTGGAACTTATTAAACGTAAAATGTGTGTTAAATGCGCATTTGGTATGATGTAAACAAAAAAAATTGAGTGGTAATAAACAAATACCACAGGTTTTTGCACATGTTTATAAATTTATAAATTTACAACATATGTTGGGGATTAAAAACATGATTAAATTTTATTCTGTCTCAAAAATAAGCTAATTGAATCAATACACGTGTTAAGGTATGAAATACGATCCATTTTATCATAAAACTCAACTGAACACAATCTAAAAATAAATTCATGGAGAAATAATCATCGAAATAATATTTCGTATGAGTATTAAAGTTCCAATTTTAAGAAACAATTACAGACTTGTTTGTACAACTCGATTCAACAGAATAAAAAAAACTTGTTAAATAACATTGAAAGCATGTTAATTTGTACACATTAAATTGCATAATTTGAAAATAATAAAAGAATCCCCGTCATGTTTTGACGTAAAAGAAGCCAACGAATTAAAAATTACCTATTTAATACAAAGGGGAAATATCATGAAGGTCAATTAATAAAATAAAAATTATTCCGATTTTTATTTGTTTATGTTAATTTAATTATTTCATTGAAAACGTAGCGAATACTTGAAGTTATTGAAATATTTAAAATATTTATGAGTAATACCGCTTAAAATAATCAGGAAATTGTTCCGATTTTTTTTCGAAACGCAATTTTCCACGCAGTTATTGTTCATCAAGCTACCGATTGGTTTTATTTTCAAATCATAACGTGAGTACATATATAAAAATCTAATCAAAGTGTTTCTCATTTTAATATTATAAATTTTGCGGTTGATCTTGCAATGATAATTGCTTTGTTTTCAAATTATTATAGAGGTTTTCGTTTTCATTCTAACAACAATGTTTTTAGTTCCTTATCAGTATATAAATATTTTAATTGTACGACCTGGTTTTTGTGTATTTTACACCGTTATTAAAATCGCAAAAAGGATAGATACAATAAATTAAAATAAAATATATTAAAGTAAAATCTCGGTATAAAGGATAAACTTAAACGTTAATAACTGTTTGAATGATTAATTTTAATGTACACAAATTCGAACAATTATCCCCACCGTTGCGTTTTTTTTATTAGATTAGTTCTACTTTTAGTTCAATAAAAATATACAGCAATCTAGCGCTGAATAACAGCTAAAACTAGAACTAACATTAACACTAGATCTAGAACTAGAAATTCGGGTTTAGCCGTACGTCTCTTAAGACGACTAAACCTGAATGTTTCTAGTTCTAATTCTAGTGTTAGTTCTAGTTTTAGTTGTGAACTAACACTAGACTTAGAACTAGAATCATTCGGGTTTAGCCGCACGTCTTTTAAGACGGCTAAACCCGAATGATTCTAGTTCTAGGTCTTGTGTTAGTTCTAGAGTAAAACTAGAACTAACACTAGACCTAGAACTAGAAACATTCGGATTTAGCCGCACGTCTTTCAAGACGGCTAAACCCGAATGATTCTAGTTCTAGGTCTTGTGTTAGTTCTAGTGACAGTGCTAGAATAAAACTAGAACTGACACTAGACCGAGAACTAGAAACATACGGATTTAGCCGCACGTCTTTCAAGCCGGCTAAACCTGAATGGTTCTAGTTCTAGCTCTAGTGTTGGTTGTAGTTTTAGTTGTTAACTAACACTAGACCTAGAACTAGAATCATTCGGGTTAAGCCGTGCGTCTCTTTAGACGGCTAAACCCGAATATTTCTAGTTCTAGGTCTAGTTTTAGTCTAATGTAAAATATATAACAATCTAACACTGAATAACACTTAAAACTACAACTAACACTATATAGTATTAAAACTAACACTAGACCTAGAACTAAAAACATTCGGGTTTAGCCGTCTTAAGAGACGTAGGGCTAAACCCGAATGTTTCTAGTTCTAGATATAGAGAGTTAGTTCTACTTTTAGTTCAAAAAAATATTTAAAAAATCTTAAATATATTTTAACATTAATATGATATATTAACATTTTTTGTATAAATTTGCCATCTATTGGACTTTAACCTGTACAATTATAAACTTTCCAGATTTTTTTTAATCCTAAACCTAAAAATGACCTTGAAAAAAATTACAGTTAGCATTAATTTCTTATTAATTTCGCTTTATTTACACCTCTTTCGCCATGGTTTCTTTTTCGTGTTAGTAGTGAAAATGATGTTAAAGGTTTCGCTTCACTAAAAAACTGTTTTTGACCTTATTATGCTTAATTAGATGATTAATGAATCTATGGGAGGAGATTTGATACGCTGATTTTATAACGCGATGATGTTCTCAATGTCAGGTGTTGTGATTCGTGGTCATGTGTTAAATAATAAAGAGTAAATAGAAGAAAAAGGTAATAAAGTGTTTGTTTTGTGTTTCGTTTTTGATTTACTTTTAATGTTGTTCTTTGAAGATGGAAGAAAATGACGGTTTTGATGTTAGATTTAAATTTATTCTCTTTTTGGTTTGGTATGTATATTTAAAAATTAAAACAATTTGTTTATCTGATAAGTCAATTAACTAAATCAATCTGTTCAAGCTAAAAATGTTTTTTATTTATTTTCTTCTTCATTATTTCTATTATTTCTTTACATTGAGTATTGATTGAGTCAATTTCGATGACGAAACTTTTACGATAAGAATTAATCGTTTACAATTGTTAACGTTCTTGATATTGGTATAAAGTTTCTTAGTAGGTAACAAGTAAATTTCGTTATAAAACATAAAATGGATTTCTTAAAAGTTACAAAAAACCATAATGTAAGTTTTTTAGAATATTTCCTAAGCATGTAAATAGAAAGTTTATATTTATCAAAACAGGTTCAGATTATGTTCTTTTAACGTTCATATTTCTCCAAAAAATTTCGAACCGAAAAATAAAACTTATATTTTAGGTTGGCTGTAAATAATATGAACTATCTAAGCAGTCTAGGCATTAAAGATCCAATACACAAGCAAAAAATCTCGCTCAAAGCAATGGATGTGGTATTATTCGGACCGCCTAAAGGTGCATAAACAATTAGTTAAAAAAAAAAACAATCATTTTCTCATCAAATCCCCTCCAATTCATAAAATTACTTCCCAACAAATAAAAAAATATATTTTTTTCTATCATTTCTAGACGGTCATAATTCTTGGAAAGATTTCGTTGTAATTTTATTGATTATTGGTGGCGGTATCGGTTTTTGGTACGGTTACCAACAAAACAAACACTTCAAAAAGAACATAACGAGGATGTGCACGGAAATGGAGACACTTCAAAACGCGGAAACGGCATTAAGAAAACTCCAAAAAGAATTGGAAGAAGCACGACAAGCTCAGGAACATGTTACATCAGAAAAACAAAATTTAGAGCGACGTTTACAAGAAAGCGAAGCCGATCCGAATTCTTTACATCACTCGAATTCCGACGGCGAAGTTTCACAACTTAAACAAGAAATTGAGGTAAATTAAAAATAATTATTTAAAAAAGAAATAATTTCTTTTCGTTGTGTAGATGTTAAGAAATGAATTATTAATAGCTGAAAGTAAACTTCAACAAGCTCCTTGTTGGTCCCCACCGGTTGGGTTACAACAATGGTTACAATTAACGCACGAAACTGAAAATAAAGCTTACGTTAAAAAGAAAATGCAAGCTGAAAAGCAATTACAGCATGCAAGAGAAGCTGTAAGTTTAATTATTTCATAAATTTTTTTAGGAATTTTATTATTTTGTTTCTTATAGTGTGAAAAATTGCGTAAAAAACGATCAAGTTTTGTGGGAGCTTTTGTAAGCACCCATGGTAAATCAATAGACGACGTTGATAGAACGATTGTGGAAGCGAGAACAGCGTTAAATGAAGTTACCCAAGAATTACAAGAACGAGTTCATCGATGGAAACAAATTGAGAGTTTGTGCGGATTTAATATTATCCATAATAATGGTTTACAATCGTTGGAAACGGCGTTGTATAAAGGACTAAATGGTCGAGCTTTTGGTTTATTAAGAAGTACGTGTTAATTGTAATAATGTAATGCGGATTTAATTTTTATTGCAGCATCACTTACAAATATAAGATATCTATTTTTGTTTTATTCTTATTATTTTATTTTATTTTTTTAGATCGAATTAGCAGCCAAGATGATTTGGACGATGAAACCAGCTCCGTTTATACTTCTACACCAGGTAAGAATAGTTCTTTTGATGAACTTGATGAATCTCATAATTCCGATTAAAAAATAAGAAATGGTTTGTATTTATTTATGTATAAACAGTTATGGAATGATTTTTAAGGTGGATTGAATGGAATCAAAAAAATATTTGTACTGAGCGATTGAAAATGATTGAATTAATATTGAAAATATGAAAGTATTCAAAATTTAAAGCATAAATTTTGAATATCGATCTCAAATAATAATCTCAAATTAAATAGCTTCAAGATTTTCATGGCATCTCGTTTCAAAAACTAACCATAACTTTATTTCTTTTAAGAATGATGTTCTACTCTGTTTTATGAGTAGTTTTTTTGCACGACGCCATTACACAACGTCTTAATAACGTCTTGGTTGTATCTAATCTTCCGCGTCCTTCATCTTCAATTATCAAGAGGCTTCCATGGTCAAATTGATTTCTGCTGGGAATCAGAGACTCTCTTTACTAAATCAATGAATAGTTGAAAAATCGCCTCCAAACGTCTTGGCGTTAGAGAGCCTTATTTCCAATAACTGCGTATTATGATCTAGTATAGCTCTTGCGACTTCCCCTTGCTCAACTACCAATTCTAGAGAAGGATGTTTTTCTGCTTCAGTCGTCAAAAACTATTTTAAACACGAAATCACTTAACACGACCTAACTATGAATATATCGAAAACTTCTCCGACCTCCATCCATGCAAATTTTGTATAGCCATTTTTTTACCATTGCCAAATACTGGAGAAATTAATATATCAATATCTTGTCCACATGGACAACCAATTAGCCAGTCTAACCAGTCTTGAGAAACTTTTAATCTAGAATGCTTCCTTATCCCTTGCTCAAAACTAATAATGCAAATTTTTTTATATTGCCATCCTTTGGCACTTACCAAATTCAATGGTTGCCAAAATAATCTTCTACCATATCTTACCTCATATATAAGTATATACTTTTGAGATTCTCCATGTTTACTGATACAACTAATCACCAACGAGATAGGAAGTGCATTGTATTGTATTTTGGCAATGATCAGAAATAAGTGTCTAACACGAGATCACTTAATATGAATAACTCTGAATATATAGTATATTTATCAACAATTAATCAGAAATTCTCCCCGACCTCCATCTATGTATTACACATCAAATTTTTTCTAATAGTATCTTTTGATAAGTACCAAAACCGGTGCTAAATTTCAGCTCAATTAATATATACAAGTCTTATGTATATGGACAACCAACCACCTATCCCATTAGAGAAAATCTTAATCCAGAAGACTTAACCGACTCTTACCCAAACTAAAAGTGCAAATTTTTTATATTGCCATCTTGTGTCAGTCATCAGATTCAGTTGCTATAAGCATAGTTCGACCAGATAAAGTACAGTGTCCTTCATCCATGTCTAAATCACCAAATTTTTCATTGTGCGATTTTTTGGCAAGTATTAAAAATCGTTGCAAACACCAGATTAGTTGAAATAACCTAATTCTGACTATAAAGACAAGCAATTAACTATGATATATGCCATATCAGCCACAAGATATCAAGTTACCTACATCAGCAATTAATCAGAAAACATGTTGCACCAAAACCGTTGCTAAATTTCAGCTCAATTAATAAGTCTTCCAATCAGCTATCCCATGAGACAAAATGTTTAGAAACTTAATCTCTCGACTCTTACCCAAACTAAAAGTGCAAATTTTTTATATTGCCATCTTGTGTCAGTCATCAGATTCAGTTGCTATAAGCATAGTTCGACCAGATAAAGTACAGTGTCCTTCATCCATGTTTAAATCACCAAATGTTTCATTGTGTCATTTTTTTGCAAGCATCAAAAATCGTTGCAAATACCGAATTAGTTGAACTGACCTAATTCTGACTACAAATACAAGCAATTAGCTATGATATATATCAGCCACAACATAGATACCTACATGAAAGCGAATTTTAAAAGATTTAGTTAATAAGATCTCACCCAAAGCTGAAAGTGCATGTGTTTAATATTTATTATCTTTTGGTAGTCATCAGATTCAGTTGCTATAAGCATAGTTCGACCAGATAAAGTACAGTGTCCTTCATCCATGTCTAAATCACCAAATTTTTCATTGTGCGATTTTTTGGCAAGCATCAAAAGTCGTTGCAAACACCGAATTAGTTAAACTAACCTAATTCTGACTACAAATACAAGCAATTAGCTATGATATATATCAGCCACAACATAGATACCTACATGAAAGCGAATTTTAAAAGATTTAGTTAATAAGATCTCACCCAAAGCTGAAAGTGCATGTGTTTAATATTTATTATCTTTTGGTAGTCATCAGATTCAGTTGCTATAAGCAAGGTTCGACCAGATAAAGTGCAGCGTCTTTCATCCATGTCTAAATAACCAAATTTTTCATTGTGTCATTTTTTGGAAAGCATCAAAACAGGATTAGTTGAAGTAACCTAATTCTGACTGCGAATACAAGCAATTAGCTATGATATATGTTATGTCATATCACCGACAACATCTCAAGTTGCCTACATGTAAGCGAATCTTGAAAGGTTTAATTAAGATCTCACCCAAACCATTGCCATCTTTTGGCGCACACCAGATTCTGTTGCTAGAATCAAATTCTGGGCAGATAGATGTTAAAGATTTTCATATCGTTATCTTTTGACATACACCAAATTGATCTAATTTAATCCCGACCAGACAACGAGTTATGCAGATATTTCCAGTTATTAGAAAGAAATCATCCTCCAGCGTGCATCTATATCTAAAAGATCTCCTTTTTCATTAGATCAAATTTAATTTAATCATTTATAATCGTTCAGTATTTTGATACAGGTTTTATGATTATTTTCTGTTGTCATGAATCTTAAAAAAATCTTAAAAACGATTAAGATGGAATGTTACTTAAATAATATTTAACCAATGAAAAATATGGAAAGAAAAAGAAAATAATCTTTAAAGCTTTCCATGATTACAAGAATATTTATTATTTTAGTTGTAGTTTTTGTTTCTGTATCTAGTTATTATTTTGTTTAGTTAGTTTTTTGGGGGATTTAATCTAACAAGGGATTTTTGTAGTTTGATAAAACTCTTCTAAACGGAGTACCCTAGTTCTTTTTAGAATCAGTGTAATTGATACTAATTTAGTATTTGAAATCAATTATGCTCAATTCTATTTCGTTCCCTTCTCGTTTCTTTTTGAATGTAGAAGTTATTGTAGTTGAGTCCTTTAATTATGTTATGTTTTTTCGTCAATTTTTTTATATCACCCCCAGAAAAGTTTCTTAAAAAAAATTAGTTGAGGGAAAAAACGTAAACCGTAGATGGGTACTTAATAGCGTCTTAAGACATGTAAGTAATAAGAGTATTTGTATATAATGTGAATTAATATTTACATAAAGGCGATATTTTGAGTTGCATTTTTGTTTTATATCCTTTTTTACCCTTTTAATATTAAAAGTAATTAAGAAAAATCAATCATTTGTTAGTAATGGGTGTTGGAACTAACCAAATCATTTTTAAACAATTTTGTTTTTAAGGTAAGCCTTAAAAATTGTTTAGAAATCTTAAAGGTGTATTTCTTTTTTTCTTAAAGAAGTCGATAAGGGTTTAAAAAATTTATTTTGGTTGTTTAAACTTTTTTCTTCGCCTATTTTTTCCATGCATGTCTTCGGGTGTGTTACTAACATGAAAGGTGTAAGATGGCGATGTCTGTGTAGGAGCCGTAGATTCATGGCCGCAGCACAGTTGGAGAGAGGCGGACTCTTCCGGAAGCGAAGCCAGTAGACAAGACGATGACTATTTCGAACCAAAACAAACTACCAATACAAATACTGTTAATTTCATCGTTGGAGGGGACGTGTGAGTAAATAAAATTGGGTTTTTATAAAACGAAGAATGCTTTTTTTTCATTTTCTTCTTTTTTACTCATTATACATGTTTTTAGTTTTTAAATTTTTATTTTGGGTTTTCGATATTTTTAGAAAACGATTTCTTTCCAATTTATATTTTTAAATTATTTTTTTTAATTATTAATTACAATGTTTTTTATCAATTTTTTTTCAGCACTAACTGGTCTGAAGATATTTCACCTTTAGTTCCTAAACATACCCGAATGTTATCTCAACCAGCATCCCTCCGTAATCCATCTCTTAATAAATCTTTATCGACAATGACACGTTCGTTTTCTCAAGACACCAACGTTGGTAATGTAACTTCCTCTGAAGCCACATTGCCACCATCGAAAACGTCGCATTCAGAACCGTCTTTGGATCATATGGATCGACGGAAACCGAAGAAATTACACCATATTAAACAGCAGACGATTAGGGAGCATACGGGTTCCACTGATGACGTTTGTTCGACGGATTCTTCGGTTATCGATGAAGAAATTAAGCGGAAAAAGAAGAAATTTTTTTCGTTTGGAAAAACCAAAAGCGACTGACCTCTGATGATTCGTTTTTTTTGTTGACTTTTTGGTTTATTTTTTGATCTGGTAAAAAATAAGACAAGTACGTTCGGGGTTTTGTGTTTTTTGTCTTTAAATAAGAATTTGTCTTCCAAAAAAAAATAATAGCGGCGGATTTATCTTATTATCTATTTATTATTACTGCTTTTATATTTTTCATTATTTTTAATGTTTTCGAATATACTTATTAAATCTAGAAAAGCTGCAGTACTTAAAATTTCTAAAAAATTCTTTTTGGTTCTTTTTTTAATTTCTAAATTGTAGCTGTAAATTTATTTCCTTCTTCAAAATTGGGGCCTTCATCTACAAACATCTAGTAATTCAAAGCAATAATAAATCTCAAAAATCCCATAGAAAATTTCTTTATTGTATTTTATGCCCTGATTATTTCGATTCGGATTGTTTTAATTCCGGATAAAAATTCCAAAATGTAAACTCATTATTTTGTTTTTGATTGGGACGGGGGTTTTTTCAAAAAATTCCAGAAACCCCTCAGTAAAGAAAAAATTTGTACTATTCGTACTTGATGGAGTGAGGGAATTTCGTTGTAAGATCGGGTAAAAATGATTCATATCGTCTCATTCTTGTTATAGGCCTTAGAAAACGTATTTTTTTAGTTCAGTTAGGAATAAATCTAAGAAAGAAAATAAATTGTATAAAAATGATTGAGTTTTGTCTTTGACTTAGATTTATTCGAAACTAAACAAACCTGAATAATTTAAATCAATTTTTAACCTTATCCAATGTGATATCTGTGCTATAAAGGCAATGTTTTTTTTTTCAATAACTGGATGCGTTAAACACGCACAGGATTAAGAAAATATTAGAGATGTACAATAAACACCCATATTTTTATTAATATTGTGGAGTTTTCTTTGCCTCTATTTAATAAGTTATCCTTTCTTTCCTTTAGAACTGAATTAAGCATTCCCTGTTGGGAATATGCGTGAGCTGAAGGATTTATAACTAATCTGGTTCCCAGCGAAAACATTGTGATGGAAGGAAAAGAAATTGAACTAGTGGATAAGTGCAGCTATCTTGGCAATGAAATTAAAATCATAAGAGACAACCTGACTTACGAACTTAAGAGGAGAATAATCCTCTCATAGGCTCATATGGCAAACTCAGAGATGTGTTTAAGAGCAACCTATTAATATGTCTAAAAAGAAAAGTGTTCAATCAGTGATGGGGCAGAAACACTGACTTTGACCATAACATCTGCCAACAGGCTTAGAACAACACAGCGTAAAATGGAAAGATCAATGCTCGGAGTATCGCTAAGAGATCACGTTGGAAATGAGAACTTTCGCCGAAGAACAGGCGTTACAGACGTCATTTCTCGCATCGCTAGACTTAAATGGAACTGGGCTGGACACATAGTCTGAAGGGCAGATGAAGGGTGGACGAAAAGGCTGTTGGAATGGAGACTTCGAGCTGACAAACGGAGTAGAGGGAGGCCACCAACTCAATGGACGGATGACATCAAGAGATTTGCTAACAGCTTCCAAGAATTTTTAAATTAACATCTCTTTTTGACACTTTTAGGTTATACGAAAATGTAAGTTTTGTTTCAACATTTTTTTTCTCAATTTTTTTCCAACCCAACCCACCAATTCTTATACATCATTTTAAAGAGAAAGCTTTGAGCTTTAAGTTAGAACAAGTCTCATTCCTTAATTTCAATAAATATAGCTTCCAGGAATTTTTAAATTGGCATCTTTTTTTGACACTTTTAGGTTATACGAAAATGTAAGTTTTGTTTCAACATTTTTTTTCTCAATATTTTTCCAATTCAACCCAACCATTATTATACAACATTTTAAAGAGAAAGCTTTGAACTTTAAGTTAGAACAAGTCTCATTCCTTAATTTCAATAAATACGGCTTCCAAGAATTTTTAAATTAACATTTTTTTTGACACTTTTAGGTTATACGAAAATGTAAGTTTTGTTTCAACATTTTTTTTCTTAATATTTTTCCAATCCAACCTAACAATTATTATACACCATTTTAAAGAGAAAGCTTTGAGCTTTAATTTAGAACAAGTCTCATTCCTTAATTTCAATAAATACGGCTTCCAGGAATTTTTAAATTAGCATCTTTTTTGACACTTTTAGGTTATACGAAAATGTAAGATTTGTTTCAACATTTTTTTTTCAATATTTTTCCAATCCAACCCAACAATTATTATACATCATTTTAAAGAAAAAGCTTTGAGCTTTAAGTTAGAATAAGTCTCATTCCTTAATTTCAATAAATACGGCTTCCAGGAATTTTTAAATTGGCATCTTTTTTGACACTTTTAGGTTATACGAAAAAGTAAGTTTTGTTTCAACATTTTTTTCTCAATATTTTTCCAATCCAACCCAACCATTATTATACATCATTTTAAAGAGAAAGCTTTGAACTTTAAGTTAGAACAAGTCTCATTCCTTAATTTCAATAAATACGGCTTGCAGGAATTTTTAAATTAGCATCTTTTTTGACACTTTTAGATTATACGAAAATGTACATAAGTTTTATTTCAAAATTTTTTTTCTTAATACTTTTCCCATCCAACCCAACAATTATTATACATCATTTTAAAGAGAAAGCTTTGAGCTTTAAGTTAGAACAAGTCTCATTCCTTAATTTCAATAAAAATGGGTACTCTCAAGTACCATTATCCCCCTGGAATGGGGGGATTGCATATTTTGCTAAAATTGATTCCAAAGGCCTTTACTGAGTGTGTTTTGATAGCGTTTTAATTTTTTCAAAAAGTTTCAAAATTTTTGACTTCGTGGGACATAAAGGGTTAATGAATGAAATTATTTAAAAAAAAAAGCGCCATCTCTTGTTCGAAAGTAACAATAACTACATTAACTGAGGTTGCACCTCTTTTTGACATTGACAATATAATTTTCGAAATAATTAACAAATATAAAACGAAAAGAAGAATTAATTTTCACAAAATCGTTTCATTCCGTTCTAAGAATTAATCAGCATAATAAGATTAATTTAAAATTTCCTCCATCTATAAATTAAGAGTGAAACTATTTAATTTTGTATACAAATTACATGACGTGAAGTTAGGTACTAAAAAGGACCTTCACTTCATAAGTGGGTTAGATACAAATTTCCCCGCAGATCAACAAATGTAAGTGCTTGGTGCGAACTTGTCCATTGATTTTTACGTTTGTGTGAGGTGTGGTTTGTGGTGTGTTTAAAAAAAGTTAAAAGAAACAGTTAGTTTTTGTAAATTGTCGAGAATGTATTGGTGACCGTGCGCCCCCGAAACCGTTCCGAACGAAATAAATAAATCAAGGGGATCGGCTTCGAAACATCCGGGGGATAAAAATGGTTTTGGGGCAGTCTGTTTAGGCTCTTTAAACGCCCCAAATATAATTGAAAATGAGTAGTTGGGCGGCCAGGATGCATAGAAGGGCCGCTACATTCGGCAATGTGGTCACTTCTTGTGGACATCCCTCAGCACCTTATCCTCGAAGACTGGAAAAAGTTAAATTTGGGGTACCCCTTGAAGAAGTTTGTAAAAACGATATTCCGGGACCATTATTAGTACGATTTTAACTTATTCATATTGTTATTGTTGATTAATTTTTGTTTGTTTAGGTATTAATATTAAAGTTAAATAAAGAAGCTCCCTTGAGGAAAGATGTTTTTCGTGCCCCTGGTCATCAAGGTGCTATGAAAAAGCTCACGCATTTTTTGCAAACAGGCCGACTGATTAATATGGACAATTTTAGTGTGTATACAATTGCTAGTGTTCTCAAAAAGTTTTTGAGAAAAATTCCCGGTGGTGTTTTTGGTAGAGAAGTAGAACATCAATTTTTTGAAATTATTGATATGACAGATCTTAAAGCACAGAGAGATAAAATACATAGGTAAGTAAAGGTATAATTCCTTGACCTGTCTCCTAATTGTACCTTTAAGAAAAAATTCCAGAATTTGTTCACAAATTTTTAATATTTAAATGTAAGTATATTGTGGGGAGATAAAGTTTTATGTAAATTTCGATATGAAAAGATCTAGAAACAAATTTATCTAAGATATTTTTATTTATTTATTTCACATTTCTTAAATTTTATGTTTATTAATCAACTATATAGAATTTAGACAGGAAATAATAACCACTACATTAAAATAAAAGAAAAATTTGCAAATATTGTTTGAATATTTGTATGACTCATTTTATTCCTAAAAAAAAACTTTTCAAGTCAATAACCAAAGTGTTATTGTTATTAATCATTTCATTTAGAAACATTTGTTTGAAATATTGATAGTTTTTATTATAAACATGAATGTTATGTTTTATTGACCCAATCTCTACTTAATAATTGCATATAGTGTTAAAATGTTTTAATGATTAATCTCTTCTGACTCACTTCAACGTGAATAATATTACTTAAATAATGAATGTACTCCTACAACACAATAAAACTTCGTTTTAATGGACAAAATAGCGCTCATAGATAGGATCTAACTTGGGTTATTCCTCAAGTTGGTCTATTTCATGTTTATAGATAATCTTGGGGTATTCCCAGAGTTGTCTATATGGTATATAAATCAAGGATGGTACTTCTAGTTCTCATTGAGCTAATAGTAGACCTAGAACTAGAAATCCGAATGTTTCTAGTTCTAGGTCTTCTGTTAGTTCTAGTGCTAATATTAGTTAACAACTAAAAGTTGACCTAATATTAGACCTAGAACTAGAAATATTTGGGTTTAGCCGCACGTCTCTTAAGACGGCTAAACCCGAATGTTTCTAGTTCTAGGTCGAGTGTTAGTTCTAGTGATAGTGTAATACTAGAATTAACACTAGACCGAGAATTAGAAACATTCGGATTTAGCCGCACGTCTCTAAAGACGGCTAAACCCGAATGATTCTGGTTCTGCGTCTTGTCTTAGTTCTAGTGCTAGTGTGTTAGTTTTAGTACAAAAAGATATGTAACAGTGATATCTAATGCTAACTAACCCTACCTAGCACTGTCACTACAACTATCATTAGACCTAGAACTAGAAACATTCGGGTTTAGCCGCACGTCTCTCAAGACGGCTAAACCCCAATGATTCTAGTTCTATGTCTTGTCTTAGTTCTAGTGATAGTGCAATATTAGAACTAACACTAAACCGAGAATTAGAAACATTCGGATTTATACGTCTTTAGAGACGTGCGGCTAAATCCGAATGTTTCTAATTCTCGGTGTAGTGTTAATTCTAGTATTACACTATCACTAGAACTAAGACAAGACATAGAACTAGAATCATTTGGGTTTAGCCGTCTTGAGAGACGTGCGGCTAAACCCGAATGTTTCTAGTTCTAAGTCTAGTGTTAGTTTTAGTTTTAATTGCTATTTAGCGTTAGATTGTTGTATATTTTTATTGAACAAAAATCTAAATTAACTAATTATATTAATCCATTATATCGAGGTTTTTACTGTATTAACAAAATTTATTTTTTAGTTCAAAGAGTATATGTTGAAAATTTGTAGTTTTCGAATTAATCTAATCTTATCTGAAATCTTGCCTTATTTGTTAAGATAAAGGATAGATTTACAATTATACACCTTTGGAACGTTCTAAAATTTAACGTCGGTTTTGACCACTTCAATATTTTAATTTAATCGCTTGGTGGCAAGATAATATAATATAATAAAAAAAGAAAATTATTTTTTATTGACTACACATTCCATTGAAGACAATTTATTTTGTGTATTATGATTGTTGTTTTCCTGTCGACAAAAAGCGTTGTTGCATTGGTATTCAGAGCGTAACTCCCCTTCAAACAATTGGAATAATTACAAAAAGGGGGTCCATTTATTTATTTTTTTTTGCTTCCGAACAATACTAAATTGACTATTGTCGCACGATCGGGTTCATTTGGCAGTACCGCGTGACTTTAACTTTATTAAAGCAGGTGTGGATATAATTGTGCCGTGAATGACGCCCGACTTCTTTATCTGTATTACCAAACTGCATATTTTAATTATAATAATAACACGTGTTACTTACGGCATGCATACAAATAGAATTGCAATAATTAATATTACGATACACATTTTTGAGTAAGATTTTAATATTTTTTTGTTATTTCTTTTTTTTTGCTATATAGAAAGTATTCGCACGTGGTGAAATGAAATTAAATTGTGTATATAGATACGGTTTTGAAAGTGGGAGTTGCTGTAATTCTCCTTGGTATGTTGAGAAACCTCGGTTATACTCTGTTAATTTTTGATCTCATCATTGCGATATTTGATTGTATCATGAAAGTCGGTTGTGGTTACTTTTTAAATATTTTAATAATTATGAGTACAATTTTTGTGGGCGGATATCGTTTCAATTTTCATTTTTATTAATCAAGCTATTATGATAATAATTAAAAAAACGATTTCGAATAAAATCACGAATTTTTTAGAAAGTTATCAAATTAAATGATTTTATATTCAAATTAGATAAGAAAATTTAGTTATAAATAATCACGTTTTCTGTTTAAATTTTTGTATGGGTAGAAAAAATGGAAAATACTAAATGGTTATGTTTCTTTGTTGGTTTCTCATTCACTATTGAGTCAATATTGAAATAGTACTTTAAAAAAGTTTTTATCTTTATATCGTAGCGTCTCAATTGGTCCATTTTTTTTGGCACTAAAAAACTATTTCAGAGCCATATTATTAATCTGGAATCTTGAGTGTTTCCGAGAAATCATTCATTGATTTCACTAAGAAAAGGCAAAGAAACATAGTTTTTAAATTCCTGTTGTGCAAAATTCCTGCATGAAATCGTACTGCTTTCTCGTAATTCTTCGGAACTTATTTGTTTTGATTCCAGACCCGGACAGTTCAGGAAACATTAACAATAAGCGTTTTATTGTTTTTTTTAATATTTACAATTTTCCCTTTAATACATTCTAATATATATATACCTCCAGATCCTCTACCCTCTTCCCCCCTTTCCACACCTTCGCCTTCTCGCCCCCATCACCTCCCTCATCCATCTTGTGCCCTCGCCCCCCTCTCTCAAAATCTGCTCAATCTCTCCCCTTCATTATCCCCCTCCATCAACAAATACTTTGGAAATTCCTCTGTCACTATCTCCCCATACCTTTCGTTGTATCTCCCTTCTCGTATCTGTGACCTTCTTTCCCCCATCACCTCCCTTATCCATTTTTTGCCCACGCCCCCTCTCTCAAAATCTGCTTCCTGTCCATTGCCTCCTCTCTTAGCTCACTACACCCTCTCAGCATGTGGTCCAGCGTTTCCCTCTCGCTCTCCCTCTCCCAGTCTTCTCTCTTCCACCTCTCCCAACAATTCCATGAAGTAGGTTCTCCATTCAGTCATTTGTATATCTCTGCTGATTTCCTCTCTTCCCTTCCTCATCCTCTTTTAGTATCTCCATACCTCATTTTCCTCTTTCAACTCCTTAATCTTCTCAGCCTCCCTTTCCTTCAGCTCCCTCTTCTTTTTCTTGCATTCTTCTTTGTATTTTCTCCTGGCCTCTATATATCTATCTATCTCTACCTCCCCTCTCTGCTACTGTCCCAATTTCCTTCAAGTTTCTCTCTTGACCTCTCTGCATTCCCTATCCCACCATTCGTTTTTTCCCAGTCTGATCCCCCGTCGCCCACTCTCTTTCTTCAACGTCGCCTCCCTAGCCACCTCAATTAATTCATTTAACCTGTCGGCCCCCTCCACACTCTGACCCCAGCTTGCCAACTTTCCCCTATAATGTTCTATCCCCTCTTTCGACCAATCTACCCTAATGTATTTTCCACCATGTTCCATTATCTTCCTGTTCCTTCTTCCTTTCGCTCCCTTTATGCATACTTCTAGAGGCTGGCGCCTTAACCCTACAAGTTTCTATCCTCTCCCACATTCCATGGTCCACTACCACATAATCTATCACGGACGCCCCCCTTGCACCCATATAGGTATATTCCCAATCAGTATCTCCCATCCCCTCTCCTCTACCCACCTCAGAATCTCCCTACCTCCTCCATTCAGAATCTTATCCTTGGATCGTCGGCCTCCTCCTCCCCCTTCTTCCACTATTTTTGCATTAAAGTCGCCTCCAATAATCAGGTATCCCTCCCTCCCCTCCTCTACCATATCTTCCCATTGTCTCATTGTCTCTTATTGCATTCTTATATACAGTGTGTTAATTAATTATCGTACCCGACATCATCATTGCAAGTATGCAACCAATATAACAGTATTTTTATTGCAATACGCGATTTGCGTATGATGCGTATTGCACTGTGATATTGGTTGCATACTCGCAATGATGACGTCTTGTACGACAATTAATTAACACACTGTACTGTGACTATCTGTACCTTCTCTCCCTCTAGCTTGATTGAATGCACTAACACTAGACTTAAAACTAGATACAGTCGGATTTAGCCGCACGTCTCACAAGACGGCTACTTACCACTGTGACTAGAACTAACATTAGACCTAGAACTAGAATCATTCAGACATGTTGCATTTTACATGGGACAAAATAACTAGGTACGCCCTGGTTTCTATGAAAATTTATTTTTGTATATTGCATCTTATGTGAAATTAAGAAGTAGAAGTCATATAAGATAATCTGGTGTGAATACTCTTTATTAATGATATATACGAATGTTTTCACTACAGGGGCTGATTGTAAATATTTACTACATATGTAAAACTGAAAAAAATGTAATCAAATAGCATTCAGCAGGAAAGCGTACTTAAATAGGTTTAATAATTCCCACTTAAAAATGACATTTCCCTTTGATAAATATTATTGATGGATGTTTTGATATAAATCGAAAACAAACACGTGGATCTCTAAATACAAATAATCACGTCTTGTTTCACAATTAAACGGAAAAGTGAGATTTAAAATTTTTTTAAAGACGTTTTTATTACTGCTATTTTTGTTGTCCAAGTTTTTTTCGCATTGATGTAACAATAGAATTCTTATGAAGCAGTTTTCCCATCATTATTTTTACATTTTCTTTGAAAATCTATATTTAATTCGTTGCAATTTTCTAGAAATAATTTTACTAGCTTTTACTTTTTAATTTTTTAATTCTCAAATCTTACCTTTTCACCACTAGAAAGTTATAATAACATAAAACACTTTCTTTTTATCATTTTAATCTAATTTTACGTTTTAACCCAGTTTAATATGTTTAATTCAAATTTATTTATTTGTTCTTTTAGAATAATAAGTTCGCTTCCAATGTATACCCAAAAACTCCTGGTGCTTCTTTTCGGTACGTTTCGCGTAATAGCTTCAAATAGCGATTCCGCGGGTACTGGGATGACCAGCGAAGCCCTGGGCGTGAGTGTAGCCCCAAGTTTTTTCCACACGTGCGTCAGCGACGGAAAAACGGCGAAAATGGAAGATGTTATGCGTTATAAGGTAAAAATTTGTTTCATTTTTTTCATGTTATCAAAAAAACTTTACAATTTTCAAATTAATCAGTTTCAAACACGATTTATTTTTTGATTATTTATTTACACACTGTTTTAAATATAAACAATTTTTAAATATTCTCGCACTCTTATTACCATATACAAGTATGTTTTATAAATCCTAATTTAAATAATAATTACCCTAATTAAATTAGGGTTTAAAAAGAAACAGTTTAGTTTGCTTCATGCTGTACAATGCTTTTCTTTTTTTTTTTTTTTGGCGTTCATACAGGCTGAGGTCAATGTAAGTTTACATTAATATTTTTTGATTAGAAAAATATACAAGGTGTTTTAAATAAGACAAAACTTACTTATATTTGATGAAATTTCTGTTTATGTTATTGAAACACCCTGTATTTTAATTGATGTGTGATTTTTTATATTTCTAAGAAAGTTTTTTATAAAAAAATTCAATCAATTTCTTTTCTTTAATCAAAAAGCATGTTATTTTTAATGCATTTTGTTTTTATATTTATTTTTTTATTAACAATGACTTTTTTTTAAACTGTAATTTGTTTAGGTTGCTACAAGAGTGATGAAACATCTCATAGAAGAATTTGCTTCATCCGATTTATTCGGTAGAGATAATTATGAGTTTTACGCGAGGGTAACCGGTCGTGTGTTACGCGTTCAAGGCGAATGGATATGTTCCTTTAAATATCCGCCGGCAGCGAATTCGAAGGGTCACAGCCAGATCTTCCCCGGTGATTACACAGCACTGGAACAGTATTTATTAGGTGAGGAAGAAGATTTTAGACGCACATTTTGAGTCCTTTTAGCTTTATTTAAACAAATAGTTCATCAAACAAACTCCGTCCCCGCGACATCCTGTAGCTTTATTTCCATTAAAAACAAGTTAGCAATCAAACCATTTGCAAACTTTTTTTAATCGTTGTCTTGTTGATTTTTGCGCATCACTAACCGCCTAATTACTTTTATTTTTAAAGAAACGTTAAAATGCGCGTCGTATAATTATTTTTTGATGGTTTTGTCGTTGTAGGACAAGTCTCGTTAGAGGCTGAAAAAACTTGGTTACAATGCGAGTGCGATCGCTGGCGCACAAAATATACTTTAGAAGGTAAAACAGATATAAAAGTTTATTAAGTTATTGCGTTTGTTAGGTTTATTACGTTTTTATTACGTTTATTATTTTTATATTATGTTCAGGGAGTTACTAAAGTAATGCATATTTAGTATAATTCTGAATTAAATTAATTTGGAATTATATAAAATCAAAAAAACTTATATTAATGTGTTACTTTTCAACACCCTGTATACAACAAATATGTTTAAAACTACTACAATTTCACATCCCATTTTTTTTGTTAAGTATCCGTTTCTTAGATTTTTTATAGTTGTTTAATTTAAAATCTTAGCCGTTTCCTCATTTTCGAAAAAAAAAAACAGTTAAAAAGGCAGCTTAACCATCGAATTAACCTTTTTTTAGAGATTAATTTCGATTGGTGTTTTTTCATTTTTTTAAATTATTTAGTGTTTAGTGTCGAGAAGCATTTTGTACTTAGAAGAGTATTAATCGTTCAAAGAATAATTTAATTCGTAACACATTCTGCGACGCTGTGATATTTTTATACTGAATAAAAAAAAATAATAATAAATTTATGATTTTCTATAGTGTATGATTAGTTTTTATTTTTTGTGTTTGTTTTAGCATTCGTTTGCATGGTTTTGTGCTCGTGCTGCATGTCTTACCATTAAAACATAAATCATTTTTATTTCCCAGTAGGAACTCCCAGTTTTTATACCTTATTTGCACGTTTAGTTTATGTTTAAATAGAATCTTGCATTAAATTGAAAAAAAAGTAGACATTATAATCATATCAATCTTTAAGGTAAGTTTAAACAAATATATAACAAAAAATAAACTCATTTTTAATCAAAATTAAAAAAAAAATAAATCATCTAAATCCCGCCATAGAAAATAAATTATTTCTTTCAGCAATGTCACAAGTGGAAGAATGCCAATCAACTCCGGTTTTAGCTGAGTCTGGATTGAAAACACAAACTTTAAATTCAAGTTCTTTGGGGATGATCGCAGAACATACTTTATTGGAAAGTTGTACGCGTTTGAGTATATCATTGGAACAAAATGGATTATTTAAGGTTTAAATGATTCAAAAATCTCGTTAAACAAACTTTAAAATATCTTTTTTGCTTTAGGGTAATAGCACTTCGAGATCTTCGAGTGAAACGCAATCGTCGAAAACGAGCGCGACTCATTCAGCGCTTCGAATGACTTTAGACGAATTACGGGCGGTTAATAGATACGCGGAGAGTACAAGAAGTTTAAGTTATCTTCCTCAGGTAACGAACAAACAATTAATTAATTGTTTTGTTAATTAAAACGATTTTTTAAGGTGCATGAAAGACAAACGGAAAGAATGAGGACGAGATCCCAATGGTTTTTAGCACCATCTGTTGAGTGCTCAAGTTGTGGGGGTTCTTTAGAAATTCCTTTAAACAGTGCTGATATGACGGCTCTAACAAATACGCTTTTAAGAAAACCTTCTTCAGGAACAATAGGTTTGTGGATTGTTAAAACTTATTATTTAATTTTGTAGTGTTTTATCATCTTTATTTCGCTCAGTTTAAATGTGATCACTCTTTTACAATAACAATAACTTAATTAAGAACAATGATAATTGTTGTATACTCATGGCACAACTCCAGGAAGACTTGTTACTCCCACATCTAGTGATTATCACATGCTCACCAGAGTCCAAACACTGTATAAATCTTGTTGCCATAAATTCGTGGGTTTCAATCAAGCATGCTGTAAATTAAAGCCAATGTAATAAATTTAGGCACTCCCTAATAAATTATAGTACAATATAAACATGATCAAACACCTAACCATTGATCTCAGCCTAAGAACCTAAGCTGTCACAACATGCTTACCACGAAAGATAGAAATTCTGCCATATTCAAGATTAAATTTTTCAATATTATCTAATCGCCTCTTCATACTATATTTAATTTTAAAATATCCGTCCGTTTTTTGGAAGTGCGTTCATTTATTGTCTAGGAGATTATGTACCACTGGTATTTTTTTCTTTAAAATTAAATTTCTTGAAGAGAAAAGCGTAAAAAGTTGACACACGCTTGGAAAGAAAATGAATTGATTCAAAAAGATTATCCATGGGTAAGATAACATTGATACAATTGCACCCAGCTTTATTTGCAATCATAATTTCCTTGTCTCAAGCTATCAATTTTTTATGTATATTCATAAACTATTGATAATCCAAACTATAGTCAATTTTGACACTTCTGCCAATCATATTTTCAATGGATTTAAAAAATTTAAGTGTTACTCCATATTAAGCCCTTGTAAGTAGATGATGTCTTTCAAATTTCTATTTTGAACTGTTATCAAAGAATTTCAGATGGTTTTTATTTATTTCTTTCTACACTCTTATTTCTTTTCTGCAAATAGCAGTTGTTGGGACTTGGAGGAATTCAACTTTCAAAGTGTCTCAAATTCGTTTAGCCATCTCCGAGACTAAAAGAGACAGAAAAAAAGTAGCTTACATGTCATGATCTCGTTTTTCCAGAAACTGCTAATGCCGAAAACTCCAAACAGCTATCGTTTTTTGTTTTCGTCCTATCTACATCGTGTTCTACGCAGTTCCAGCAAAATATCAAAGAATGTGTTTTAACATAGTAAGATGAGTAAGAAGAAAAATTAATGAGTAGAAATAAAAGAGCAATGACTTCCAGAAAAGAAAAGTTGAGTTAGGTCAGTTTTTTTACAAATGTCAATCAACTCTGACAAAAATATTGGGTAATGTTAGGACAGGTCAGTTTTCTTTTGAACCTCAATTACAGCGTGAAGGAATGTTAAGACAGGTAGTTTTCTTTTATACCCCAATTATAGCGTGAAGAAACCCTAATTAAAGCGTGAAGGAATGTTAGGATAGATCAGTTTTGTTTTGAAACCCAAACATGAAAGAATGTTAGGATAGGTCAGTTTTCGTTTGAACCCTAATTGCAGCGTGAAGCGATGTCGGTCTTTTTATACCCCAATTATAGCGTGAAGAAACCCTAATTAAAGCGTGAAGGAATGTTAGGATAGGTCAGTTTTGTTTTGAAACCCAAACATGAAAGAATGTTAGGATAGGTCAGTTTTCTTTTGAACCCTAATTACAGCGTGAAGCGATGTCGGTTTTTTTGTAACCCAATTATAGCGTGAAGAAACCCTAATGAAAGCGTGAAGGAATGTTAGGATAGGTCCGTTTTGTTTTGAAACCCAAACACGAAAGAATGTTAGGATAGTTTTCTTTTGAACCCTAATTACAGCGTGAAGCGATGTCGGTTTTTTTTATACCTCAATTATAGCGTGAAGAAACCCTAATTAATGTTTTCTTTTGGAATCTCAATTATATCGTGAAGGAATGTTAGAAATGTCAATTTTGTTTCCGCCTGTTAATCATCCCGGAAAAAAAAAATGTAGTCAATGGAAATATCGGGTTTAGTCAAGTCGACTTTAGACGAAAAGCTTATTTATAAGAGCTATATTTACTATAGACATAATTGACTCTGTATCTTTGATCACTCTTGCTACTTCATCTTCAATATTTTGAATTATCTTTTGAACGGTTAGATTCATAAAATCTTGTAAAGGCAGACTTGTTAAGGTTGCTAATACTTTGATATCATTGGGATAACAGAGATGTCGTTAGTTGAAGAGCGGTAATCATAAAATTTTGTCCGTTGTGGCTTCCTTGGTATATATCTCAACAAGTAAAAGTGATTTTTCAAAACGGACTTTTTCATTGAAAAGTAGATGCTTTAATTTATACTTGGTGAAAATTTCATGATGATTTTCCAAGATATCGATTTTTCCCAAATTATTAACGTTAATACAGATAAATTTAAAATTACCAAAAATTGAGGTTGAGTTAAAAAGTACATATCTTAACAAGTAAAAGTGATTTTTCAAAACGAACTTTTTCATTGAAAAGTAGATGCTTTAATTTATAATTGGTGAAAATTTCATGATGATTTTCCAAGAAATCGATTTTTCCCACATTTTTAAAATTAATACAGAGATACTTAAAATTAACAAAAATTGGGATTGAAGTAAAAAGTATATATCTCAAGAACCAAAAGTGATTTTTCAAAACGGGCTTTTCCATTAAAAAGTTAGTGCTTTAATTTATAATTGGTGAAAATTTCATGATGATTTTCCAAGAAATCGATTTTTCCCAAATTTTTAAAGTTAATACAGATAAATTTAAAATTACCAAAAATTGGGGTTGAGTTAAAAAGTATATATCTCAAGAACTAAAAGTGATTTTACAAAACGGACTTTTTCATTAAAAAGTAGATGCTTTGATTTATAATTGGTGAAAATTTCATGATGATTTTCCAAGAAATCGATTTTTCCCAAATTTTTAAACTTAATACAGATAAACTTAAAATTACCAAAAATTGGGGTTGAGTTAAAAAGTATATATCTCAAGAACTAAAAGTGATTTTACAAAACGGACTTTTTCATTAAAAAGTAGATGCTTTGATTTATAATTGGTGAAAATTTCATGATGATTTTCCAAGAAATCGATTTTTCCCAAATTTTTAAACTTAATACAGATAAACTTAAAATTACCAAAAATTGGGGTTGAGTTAAAAAGTATATATCTCAAGAACTAAAAGTGATTTTACAAAACGGACTTTTTCATTAAAAAGTAGATGCTTTGATTTATAATTGGTGAAAATTTCATGATGATTTTCCAAGAAATCGATTTTTCCCAAATTTTTAAACTTAATACAGATAAACTTAAAATTACCAAAAATTGGGGTTGAGTTAAAAAGTATATATCTCAAGAACTAAAAGTGATTTTACAAAACGGACTTTTTCATTAAAAAGTAGATGCTTTGATTTATAATTGGTGAAAATTTCATGATGATTTTCCAAGAAATCGATTTTTCCCAAATTTTTAAACTTAATACAGATAAACTTAAAATTACCAAAAATTGGGGTTGAGTTAAAAAGTATATATCTCAAGAACTAAAAGTGATTTTACAAAACGGACTTTTTCATTAAAAAGTAGATGCTTTGATTTATAATTGGTGAAAATTTCATGATGATTTTCCAAGAAATCGATTTTTCCCAAATTTTTAAACTTAATACAGATAAACTTAAAATTACCAAAAATTGGGGTTGAGTTAAAAAGTATATATCTCAAGAACTAAAAGTGATTTTACAAAACGGACTTTTTCATTAAAAAGTAGATGCTTTGATTTATAATTGGTGAAAATTTCATGATGATTTTCCAAGAAATCGATTTTTCCCAAATTTTTAAACTTAATACAGATAAACTTAAAATTACCAAAAATTGGGGTTGAGTTAAAAAGTATATATCTCAAGAACTAAAAGTGATTTTACAAAACGGACTTTTTCATTAAAAAGTAGATGCTTTGATTTATAATTGGTGAAAATTTCATGATGATTTTCCAAGAAATCGATTTTTTCCACATTTTTAAAATTAATACAGAGATACTTAAAATTAACAAAAATTGGGATTGAAGTAAAAAGTATATATCTCAAGAACCAAAAGTGATTTTTCAAAACGGGCTTTTTCATTGAAAATTAGATGCTTTAATTTATAATTGGTGAAAATTTCATGATGATTTTCCAAGAAATCGATTTTTCCCAAATTTTTAAAGTTAATACAGATAAATTTAAAATTACCAAAAATTGGGGTTGAGTTAAAAAGTATATATCTCAAGAACTAAAAGTGATTTTACAAAACGGACTTTTTCATTAAAAAGTAGATGCTTTGATTTATAATTGGTGAAAATTTCATGATGATTTTCCAAGAAATCGATTTTTCCCAAATTTTTAAAGTTAATACAGATAAACTTAAAAAGATCAAAAATTGGGGTTGAGTTAAAAAGTATATATCTCAAGAACCAAAAGTGATTTTTCAAAATGGGCTTTTCCATTAAAAAGTAGATGCTTTGTTTTATAATTGGTAACAATTTCATGATGATTTTCCAAGAAATCGATTTTTCCCACATTTTTTAAAATTAATACAGAGATACTTAAAATTAGCAAAAATTGGGATTGAGTTAAAAAGTACATATCTTAACAAGTAAAAGTGATTTTTCAAAACGGACTTTTTCATTGAAAAGTAGATGCTTTAATTTATAATTGGTGAAAATTTCATGATGATTTTCCAAGAAATCGATTTTTCCCACATTTTTTAAAATTAATACAGAGATACTTAAAATTAGCAAAAATTGCGATTGAGGTAAAAAGTACATATCTAAGCAAGTAAAAATGATTTTACAAAACGGACTTTTTCATTGAAAAGTAGATGCTTTAATTTATAATTGGTGAAAATTTCATGATGATTTTCCAAGAAATCGATTTTTCCCACATTTTTAAAATTAATACAGAGATACTTAAAATTAACAAAAATTGGGATTGAAGTAAAAAGTATATATCTCAAGAACCAAAAGTGATTTTTCAAAACGGGCTTTTCCATTAAAAAGTTAGTGCTTTAATTTATAATTGGTGAAAATTTCATGATGATTTTCCAAGAAATCGATTTTTCCCAAATTTTTAAAGATAATACAGATAAACTTAAAAAGATCCAAAATTGGGGTTGAGCTAAAAAGTATATATCTCAAGAACCAAAAGTGATTTTTCAAAACGGGCTTTTGCATTGAAAAGTAGATGCTTTGATTTATAATTGGTGAAAATTTCATGATGATTTTCCAAGAAATCGATTTTTCCCAAATTTTTAAAGTTAATACAGATAAACTTAAAAAGATCAAAAATTGGAGTTGAGTTAAAAACTATATATCTCAAGAACCAAAAATGATTTTTCAAAACGGGCTTTTGCATTAAAAAGTAGATGCTTTGATTTATAATTGGTGAAAATTCCATGATGATTTTCCAAGATATCGATTTTTCCCAAATTATTAAAGTTAATACAGATAAACTTAAAATTACCACAAATTGGGGTTGAGTTAAAGAGTATACAGTCCCTTTCCTGTCTCCTTTCTTCTTGTCCAGTCACCTCCTTGCCTTTCCAGTCTCTGTTCAGTATCTTCTGCAAGCAGTAAGTAATCTTCTGCAAGCAATATCTGCTCTTCTATTAGTAGTATTTAGTGTATATAAGCAATTTTTAGTCCTTTGCAAGCAGTATCGAGTTTTCTGGTAGTTGCTTAGAAGACCGGCTACTACCAGAGTAGCAAATAGCAGTGCTTAGGCCCACCTCTTGATAAATTTAACCGATAGATAATTACCATGGTTACAGCGGTTTTAAGCGCTCTCATTGGCTAAGAGCGCCAATTTATCTATCGGATAAATTTATCAAGGGGTGATAAAAGTGGGCCTTAGTCTTCTACTAGCTGTATCTAGTCTTCTCTAAGCAGCTTCTCTAGGAGTCTTTTGACGACTCCTTCTGATTTCTAGAAAACAAACAAAAAGTATTTTTTGCTATAAATTAAAAACACGGCTATTTAAGATAAAAGTGGATATCTAAGATCCACTTTATAACTCTAGCTTGCAACACCTATAGCTATCATTAGCTTTATCAGTATCACTGCAGTGTATATTAAAGTTCATAAGGGTATCTCCAAATTGCGCGGCATTAACACGCAAGTTTGGACATACCAAAGAATGTTTGCTACATAATTTGAAGAAAAAGTAATTATTTTTAACTTTTTTTCATAATAATATTTTTGTTTTTAGTTGGCGCTATGGGTTTATCTTTAAGTGCTGAATCAATACAAAAAAGACCGAGTATTAGACGATCAAATTCAAGAGATAAACGTCATTATTTACACCGTTCGTCAAGTAGAAGGAATAAAGAAAATGGGTCGAGATCAAATAGGTAAAAAGAAATCATTTTTGTTAATATAAAATACTTTTATCCACAATCACCTTATAATTGAATACTTTTATCCACACTTATTAACCGTATAAAGTACCACTTTAACCACTAGTGGAATAAAGTTACTTTTTGTAATTCGCGACGGTAAAGAAAGCTATTACAGTACTCAAACGGGTGCTGTAATGAGACTCCTTACAGCATCCGATGCTGTAATGAGATTTTAGTAACATTTTATGGAACCAGTTCAAGTTGGTGATATTGGGTCATTAATTTTTCTAGTGGTCAATGTGACAATTTTTGTCTATGGATGTTTAAACACGTTCTTAGCATCGAATACAAGGTTCACAATGATGAGGACATTGAACTCTGAACAATATCTCTTATTTTAGGAGGTGTACATGAAACATTTTTTTTCAGGTGAATACATTTTGTGTTTTGACAGTTTCTAATTGTCAATTCAAATTTCTATTTTCAAATGTTACGGTGTTACCAACTGCTACATACCTATTTCCCTACATTGTCAAAATTTATTTTATTTTTATTAAAAAAAAGGATAAACTCATTCATTAAAAAACTCGTGGCTTCGTCACTCGTTTTTTAACTTGAATTCGTGCATTTCAAGCGTGTCTTAGGAAACTTGTTTTTTAATATACTATTATTCCACTAGTGGATTAATGAAAAATACTATCTTAAATCAATCACATCCTATTTATTATTTATATTAACATTAACATTGGACAGTTGCTTCTTCAGCTTCCTCAAGATCTTGGGAACATAATCACTTTTTTCCATTTTTCACCAACTTTACCTTTATAACTTTAACTTTTTTACAAATATGTTACAAATGGAGTCGATAAACAATCGAAAATAAATAGGCACAATTCAACATCTCCCAATGTTTTTTTAGTTAATTGCAATGATTTTTGAGGTGACAGCCGTTGTCAGAGTGAAATGTTAAATCATTTCTTGATAACGTCAGATGAAATGTTGGCAATTCTGATTTTAAATGAGTTTGATTGTGGATAAAACGTTGTATTGCTTGCGTGTTTTAGATGCATTTTATTCACTTAAAAAAATTAAACATTCTTGCGTGAATAAAATGCTGTCTAAAACATTTACACAATAAATAACTATTATTAACGATTTGTTATAGTTTTAAAAGTCGCGGTGAAAAGAAATCGACCAATTCCCGTTCGGGTAGTTTCAAAATAAAATACGATGGAGTTTCGCGTTCGTGCAGCTTCAAAACGAAAACTGAATTGTGCACGTGTCCGTCATCGAACGAAAAATTAGCGGATGATATTCAAGAAATTGAGCAACAACAAACGTTCGATTCGGTCGTCGTTGGTGGTTCGCAACCGTTAAGAACTTTTGAGACTATACATGTCACCTTGACGTATAAGCCTCGGATTTAGTTTTTATTAAATAAAGAAAAATATGAAAACAACGACAACTAAAAAATGCAGCCCTAAATATTGAAGGTTTTTTAATGTTTTTCGTAAATGGCTGTGGGATTTTGCGGTATTAAAAAAAGAAAGAGATAATTACATCACCCAAATTGTGTTGAGGGTTCTTTAATTTTCGTTATTGTGTATTAATAGTTTTTTGGGGGGGAATAAAATATAAAAGAATAAAAAGAATCCGTCATTTGATACGCTTAATATATTAACTTAATATAAGTATTGATACGAATACTATTTATTATTGAATTTTAAGTTTCTTAAAGACAAAAAATTATTTAGAATACTTAAAATTTGTAATAATTCGTAAAATTAGTATTTATATGGGATTGCTTAAAACTAAAAAGTGATTTGCTTAATATATCATTAATTTTATTCAATCCTATATATTATTATCTAAAAAAAATAAAAAGAATTAATCGTCAAATGCATTTATACATATCTTGACGAAGAAATATTCAATGTTCAGGGATTTGTCATCATCACTTTTTTAATTTCATTTTTATTAAGAATTATACCCAAAAGTATCTAATTTTCTGTTTATCATTAAAAAAAGAATGCATTCCAGATATATTTTAGCATTTATTTTATTTATTTTAATGTTAAAAACATTTTTTTGAGCCTAATATTAAATCATCTTGACTGAAATTGTAATTATTACGTTTTAATGATTTTTAATAATAATAGGGACAGTAAAATCTTGATGTAACGGATTAATACAGGGAAGGGAGTATCATAATATGTGGTTTTATATTTATATCAAGGACTGTAGAATCCCTGGAATAGATACATAGCTCAAAGGCCCGTTCGTGACGTCACGCCTGGATAGGCAACTACTATTCCACACTTTAAATTAGCAAATGCTTAATTTATTCTATTCTTGTTTTGTAATTTTGTTAATTTGAGACTTAAGATTCATAATATAAAATAAAGATGTTTCTAGTTCTAGGTTTAGTGTTAGTTCTACTTTTATTTCAGTGAAAATAGACAACAATTTAGCGCTTAATAACAATTAAAACTAGAACTACACTAGACCTAGAACTAGAAAATATCTAGTTCAATAATCCTTATATAAATGAATCCTTGATTTATACATCCTATAGACAACTCGGGGAATACCCCGACTTTATTTATCAATATGAAATAGAGGAATAACCCTAATTAGATACTGTCTATGTATTAAATAAGTAATATTCCGTTATATTGAGGTTTTACTGTAATAACTTTTATTATAGAACGCACAAGGGACCAGATATATACCAGATAAATCATGAAAGTGAAATTTTGGTTAAATGATTTAATATTGAGTTCTTTCCTTTAATATTTATTATGGTACATCAATCTTATATCCAACATTTTCGTTATAAATTATTAATGTTGTGTGTAAAATGTATTCAAAAAGCAACAATTAATAATTAGTTAGAAGATAAAAATGTTTGTTTATAAGTTATATTGAAATCATTCCATGTTTTTAAATTTTTTTAATTCTAAATATTTATTTAAGGATTTTGAGGTAAAACGATTTAATGTTTTTTTTTAATCAATCATAAATATTTAATAAGAATCGGTAGTTTTATCCAAGAAGAATCGTCGTTAATTATTATTAATAAATAAATAAATGTTTCGAAAACACCAAAAAAGCATAATTACGCTAAAATTTACAATATTATATACGAGGAGTTTTTTAAGAAAATTAAAAAAAAAAACGTACGAATATTATGATATATCCTAAATATAGTACAATTGTTCTTTTTAAATATTTTTGTACCTAGTTATTAATTTTATAAAAAAATATCGTATATTAAATATATTTGTATCACTCACTTCTTTATTAAAAAAAGTGAAGCATTTTTCTACAATTTTTAATGTATTTATTTGATAATCGAAAACATTTCGTTTTATAAATGCATTTTTGTGCTATAAATGGCCAAAGAATCGAAAGATAATTTTTTTAGCAGTATTTTTAAGAGATTCATGCCAAAAAATTAATCGAAACAAAGTAACATTTTCGACTTGTATATATTATTATATAATATGATCTCTATTATATTTCTTTGTGTTCAGGTTATTATTATTATAAATGTATTCTATGTATTACAAGTTTTTAAATAAATACTGATGATAATAAAACATTCTTTTCCTTTATTCAAAGAAAATTAAAAATTTAAATATTAAGAGTAAATTAAATAAGAGTTCAAATAAAAAGTTTCTAATTGAATGAAATAGATTAAAAACAGTTAAAACTTTTCTAAAACTTCCAAAGGAATTAAATTTGCAAAAAGGTGAATTTTTTCCGGACGCGGTTTGAATTATTTAGGTTTTCATTGAACAGGAAAAAAACACTAATGAATTATTTGTTAACAAAGTATCGAGGTCGAATATTTCAACAAAATGCACTAAATTTTGAACTTGTTAAAATAAATTCGGAAATTTAAATATAGAACCAATTTTCCACCTCAAATCTATTTATTTATTAAATAAACAAATTCCTATACTTTCCCGATTTTAGTGTGTTTTTAGTTAATATTAATTTTTCACATGGAAAAGAACTTAAATAAATAAATATGGGCACAAGCCAAATATTTTTTTGATAAAAAATATTTACGCACCTAAAACAATGAAGATAAATCAAGACAATAGGATGACCAACCACATACAGTATCTATCATTCCTTGTCTTTGGCAAACTACAAATTACAAAAATTTTGGCTGTATGCGAGGTTGCTCTCGTGGTGTGTAAAAAGCTTGCTTTTCCTTGCAATAATAAGCAGTACTTTATAAGTTCTGGTCGCAAACTCTCATCTTTCCTCCTACAGTAGATTTTTGCAAAAATATAAACCCAATAAAAATCCCTATGAATGTAAATTAATGAGATGTCAGAAACAACTAAGACAATTCTGGGACAAGATTTGAAATAGAAACATTTTTTGGTAACGTATTACCGAAATGTCTAAAACTTTAGAAAAATTTGCATTTTGAAAACCCACAAAACAATAATGGGTGTCAAAAAGGATTACCAAATTTAATAATCTAACTAGAAAAGCATCAAGTATTTTCCTGAGGTTGGGAATATTATCAGTGTAGTTGCAGACATTTCTTGTAGTTTCAAATTTGGGCAGTGTAACTACAAAACTACAAACTACTAAAGTCGATACCGATGCTGTTGGGCGTCGTGAGTCAAAACAACACTTTTTGCACTATTCTTTCTTCTTCCAACTCTGTCTACTATAAACATCCAGTACACGCCCATCACAGAAGCTTTTCATTCTATGTCCACACCAATAAGTTAAAGATCTAACAATATTGAACATTAAGTATTAAAGTTGTTGGGAACAAGGAAATGCAATATTTTTATATTCTCAAGTTAATTTTCTTAATTTTTCACCAAAAAAAAGATGGTTACATTTATGTTCACAAGTCTTAGCCACAATAACTATTAAGATAAAAGAATCCTTACAAAAAACGTCATTCAGAGCTATAGCATAGCATAAAAAAAAGCTGCACCATTTGGCAAGTTTCATGCCAGGAAAATTAGGTAACAATAGATTGTATTTTATCCAATACTTTGCAGGGTGATCTGCTTGTTTGCATGACCTTACACATTAAAGTTGTATCAAGACTCTAAACTTGCTAATAATTTCTAGTAGTAAAGTCCAGTCCCATCTCCCTTAAATAATAAAGACTAAACATCTTGAATTGATACATATCTGCCAAAACCATTAAGATTATCGTTTATGTAATATCAACATCATCATTATATCTTTGTATTTTGAAACAGCTTTGGAAATTTGAATCATGCCTTGGACCAAAAGAGATTAAAGCTCTCCATGTACTTACTTGCCTTATTGTTATTGTGACGGCTGATGATGGTTTGATACTCATTGGTCAATTTATATCTCAAGAATTAGGTTTGCCAGAGGCGTTATTGTTGGAAAATATCTGTCATAGTCGTATTCTGTGCTAAATCCTTATCTTTAAGAGTGATTTTTTGAAGTGGCTAGTTCCCAAACTGACGACGTATTATCTAATAATGTATTTTTTGAGACTTTGAGACTTCTAAAGTATCTCTTCTATTTTCTAAGAGTCTAAATTACACAGGGTTTCGTTTGGAGTATTAAGGAGAGCAGTTGATCTTGTAAAACCAAACACATCTGCACCAATCAACAACCAACCAGGTTGTTTTGGAATCAAAAGTCGTTTGTAGCACAAAATGTAGCCATACGATTTGATAAAGATATGAATGGAAGCTTTAAATGTTATACTCCAAAGCTGTATATTTACTGTGATAAAAGTACACGAAATTGAAATTATAGGGGGATGTGTAGGTATTAGTATAGATCAATGTGCGTCTATTAAAACACTCTTTGATGTTTTAGATGCCATGCTTAGTACATGGCAAAACCCTTCTTCAGAATCAGAGACAAAATCTGGTTAATAAGTTCACTAACATCTTCCATGTTTATCTGAGTTCCATACGACCCTTTCTGTTGATGTTGTTTTTATGGCGATGAACCTTTCTGGTCATTACTTTTTAATAGTTGGCTGTATTTCATAAGTTTTGTTGCCTTGTCGAAATCTATTTAATGGAAGCTAATCTTATTCTTTTATTAAACTAAAACTAGAAACTTTCGGGTTTTGCCGTGCGTCTTTTAATAAAAGGTTTGACGTTTCGGATGCCATGTTGCAACCTTCTTCAGAAACTGGTTCGAAGTGACGAGATCAAAAATCGGTAACTATATATAAGTCGGAAAAACTAATTAATAATCAGTTAACGCTAATTACAAGCTAATTAATGACTAATTGCGTCGCGTCCGGTGTGAGGCGGGAAGAGGTCTTCGTGTTCACCACCATCTTCCATGTTCTGCTAAGCTCCCAGCCATCCTCTCTGTTAACGTTATTTTTATGTCGGTGGATCTCTATGGCTTCTCTTGTCAGTCTTTGGTAGTATCTGTTTTCCCCACAGACAAAATCGTAAGAAAAATGAAGGAACTGATAAAAACCACAGGAATTCCAGCAGAACAGCAGAAAGGTTTGTTTGTGCAGGCGCCGGTACCACCAAGAATCTACGGACTACCGAAGATGCACAAACCAGACGTCCCCCTCCGCCCTATCGTCAGCGCCATCAACTCCCCAACATACCAGCTGGCCAAACATCTTGCAAAGATTCTGTCTCCCTTTACAGGTAACACGGAATCGTATGTCAGGGATTCTACACATTTTGTGGAATCGGTAAAAGGTGTAAAGCTGGAGGCTGGGGATATGTTGGTAAGTTTCGATGTGGAATCCCTTTTTACTAGGGTACCAGTTAAGGATGCTGTAGAGGGTCTTCGCCGAAAACTCATTCCGGAGGGTTTACCAGAATACGTGCCAGATCTGGTGGAGTATTGCTTATCGTCGACGTATTTCAGCTGGAAAGGAGAATTTTACGAACAGTTCGAAGGGGCAGCCATGGGATCTCCACTATCGCCAGTTATAGCTAATTTCTACATGGAATTATTCGAAGAGGGCGCTTTGAAGAAGAGCCAGTGGAAACCAAAACTATGGCTACGATATGTGGATGACACGTTTGTGATATGGCAACATGGTCAAAAACGGCTCCAAGAGGTCTTGGATCACTTGAACTCTCAACATCCTATGATTAAGTTCACCATGGAAACAGAAACTGCCAAAAAACTACCTTTCCTAGATGTATTGGTCACCAGGACGACAAATGGAGATATAGAACTTGGTGTATACCGAAAGAAGACCCATACCAACAGGTATTTACAGGCATGTTCACATCATCATCCCCAACAGAAGAGGTCCGTGATCCGTACATTATTTCAGCGAGCAGCGAGACTATGTGAAGGAGAGAACTTGAAGAAGGAGCAACACTTTCTACGAGGCGTGCTGCAGAAGAATGGATACACTTCGAGGGACATCAACCAGGCCATCAAGCAGCGAAAGCAGAAAGAGGACACGGTAAGTACAAAACCACTTGGATTTATCTGTCTTCCATATGTTTCAGGTGTAACGGAACGAATTGCTAGGCACCTCAAGAAGAACGACATCGTAGTGTGGTACGGCACGGTCAGCAAAATTCGGAACACACTCCCGATAGCCAAGGACAAACTAACTCCATTAAAAGGAGCGGGAGTCTATCGACTATCGTGTAGTTGTGGGAAGGTTTATGTTGGCCAAACTGGACGCAACGTCGAGTGCCGCATCAAGGAGCATGAGAGGGATGTAAGGCTGAAGAAGATTCAGCAGTCGGCGGTTGCGGAACATTGCCATGCAGAGGGGCACCGAATAGAATTCGAACAAACAAAGGTGCTGGCTAGGGACAACAGATACTACCAAAGACTGACAAGAGAAGCCATAGAGATCCACCGACATAAAAATAACGTTAACAGAGAGGATGGCTGGGAGCTTAGCAGAACATGGAAGATGGTGGTGAACACGAAGACCTCTTCCCGCCTCACACCGGACGCGACGCAATTAGTTATTAATTAGCTTGTAATTAGCGTTAACTGATTATTAATTAGTTTTTCCGACTTATATATAGTTACCGATTTTTGATCTCGTCACTTCGAACCAGTTTCTGAAGAAGTTATCGTAGAAGTCTTCGTACTTATATAAATCTTATTCTTTATGCAACATTCTAAGTTATGTCCAGTTTGGCCTAAATCGTACTTCCCATACTTGCATGACATTTTTTCAACTCCTGGCTCTTTGAAAAATATTCACAAAAACCAGTATTAAAGGAAACATATTAACTAATCACCTATAACTGATACCTCATAGAATCTGGGTTATCTCCATTTGATACGAAAGTGGTTACTTAAATTATTAAGATTTCTGGCTAAGATTGAAAAATTAGAATGTTGGTAACTCATGCGTCATAAAGCTGCAATATACATGTGTATTATCAGCATATAAATGATAAAATAGAATCCATAAAGATAGTATCAGTTTGATTCAACAGTGTAGTAGCACAACGAGATTCTTCTAAAGCTGTTCATTAATCACTCTTTCTAGTGACTTGTAGAATGCAAGAAATAGACCACAAATCCATAAGAACTCTCAAAGATTTTGGTTAGGGACTGAGGTTGCTAGTAGACCTTTAAGCAGATTTCGTTAGAATTCAATCTCCAGCGTGGGCAGCATAAAAAAGCTAGGATATGATCAATTTTTGCAACAAAGACACTATCAAAGGCAAACTTGCCACTCACTTAGCGCATTTATTACTACGATAAGAAATTTTGACCAGAAAAAACTTTTGTATTTAAAAAAATATTCAAGGACACGTTATATTAAGTTTGTTATGATCCATAGTCGTCTGGCTTCTTCATCCATCACACCTTAAATTTTTGGCAAATAAATTTGGGAAATATTTAGCAGCACTCTGCATATTGCACTAATAGTACAGTACAATTTGAGGATTAACTTACACAACTTTCTATTTTATACATTCCCTTTTTGCCAAAATCAAAAACTATTCTTTATATAGTTTTCCACATTGCATAACAAACAAATCACTCACCCCCAAACGAATCGATTTGAATTGGTAAGATTTGTGATCTATATTAAACCTTTCATCAAATTTTATTTTTTCACCTATGTTTAATTTCCGATTGTCGCTAGTCCGATTGAAACGTGTTTAACGCTTCGATTAAAGCTCGCGAACGTGATTTTAAGTAGTTTTACTAGATTATTTCATTCGCAAGTAGTGCATACGTATCAAATATTAGAAAAACTGGGATAAAAAATTAGATTAATACGATTTATATTTTAGTCTAAAAATATTTACTTTTAGTTTTACCCAAAATAGTTTTCTTCTCTTTTTTAAGATGAATGTAAATCGACTTAATTTAATATAAATCTTGGAAATTCCGAACAGGTGTTGAAACGATTTATCCAAATTTTGTTTAATACAAGTTGAGAATGGAAAATCTTGCTAATGGATTTTTTCTTTTTCGTTTTATATCAGTTTCTTTTATATTTTTGGTTCATAAATTTCAATTAATTTTCTTAAAAAGAGATGAAACACAAAGAGAGTTTAAAATGAAAATTTGATTTGCTTAAGACGGTTTTCTAAGAGATCGATTTAATTTTCGGTTTTAATTTCCCCAAACGAAATTGTTGGCTAAATCCCAAATTGTCTTAATCTTCAGAGTCCCACTGGTGTTATAATTATAATTGAATAGTAAATTAGGGGGTATCGCAAAATCTCTCTTGCGCAGGTTACCACTCCTCTTCCTCTCAGGTATGGATGGATATATAAAGGAAAATTACCCCGCGCGATTGAAACAGAGGTTGATTTTCGTGCATAGACGGTGGTGAAAAAAATTTTCTTTCTTTACGAGTATGAACATGTCCAGGTATGGGTTTTTACCAGCTTTTGGAGTCCTTATTTTGTTAACAATAAATTCAAGCAATGGTAATTTTTTAAATTAAACTATTTATCTATTAAATTTTATTTTGTCTTCATATTTATAGCAGCTCCTCCTTCGCCGTTTCGAAATCGAAATTTAATTCCATTTCCTAGAGTTGGGCGAAACATACCAGAAAAACCAATTGGTAAATAATTTAATTCAATTTCTCTTATATCATAATTGTCCATTTTTTTAGATGATGTTGGACCAGATCTTTTAACAGATTCGGTTCAAATTAGACCCCTTGGAGATGATCACAACATAAATCGGAATGCGTTATGGTTCGGACCCAGATTTGGAAGAATACAAAAAAGAAAAAGTTATTTGGATGATCCAATTAACTATTTATTCTTAAGAGGTATTATATTTTTATTAGTTATAACAAAAATAATTTATCATTTTTTAGATCTATCATCTTTTAAACATACTCCTAAGTATACTCCAAGATTGGGACGTGATTCAGAAGAAATTATTGAAGATTTAAATGAAACGAACCAAACATCTTATTGAGAAGTTATAATTAATAAATTTCAGTGTTATTTTATTGGATTATAAGAAAATATTACGATTGTGTGTTGTTTATTAGGAATGTAGTTTGTTTATAATAGAAGATATAAATTAGTAAAAAAATATTAGTTACAAAGTGCGTGTTATTTTTGAGATATCACTTCATTTATATTAAAATCAATTCATTTCATCATTATCAAGCTTCGGAGAATTGTTATGCATTCGTTGTTCCAAGCCAAGATCACAGAATTTTTAGTTCCAGAATTAAATAGTGATGAATAGACTAGGTGTCACAATTGATGCTTTTTATCTTACAAATAGCTTGGTTATGTAATAATTATTTCTGTACCAAAAACACAAAATTTAGCGTTCTGTATGTTATAGTTTATTTTTTAATAAAAGTTTTGTTTCTATATTTGTAGCTTTTTATCTTTCAAATTATTCCTTAACGGTCTAATTTGCAACCTTTCGACCACAAGCGATTAATTTGTGATTTGAATGTAGACATTAGTATAGATCAATACGTCTATTAAAACACTTTTTGATGTTTTCGATGCCATATTTAGTACATGGCAAAATCCTTCTTCAGAATCAGAGACAAAATCTGGTTAATAAGTTTACTAATATCTTCATGTTCAGCTAAGCTCCATACGATCCTTTCTGTTGCTGTTATTTTTATGGAGATAAATCTTTCTGGTCATCACTTTTTAATAGTGGCAGTTTTTGACAAGTTTTGTTGTCTTTCTGAAATCTATTTAATGAAAGCTAATCTTATTCTTTATGCAACATTCTAAGTCATATCCAGTTTGGTCTAAATCATACTTCCCATACTTGCACGATATTTTATCAACTCCTGGCTCTTTTAATAGAGATGTGATCCGTAGTCTCATGTTTCTTCTTGATGATGCAGGCTTCGTAATCCATCACACCTGAAATAAAACGAAGACAGATAAAGCCAATAGGTTAACTACTTACAGTATTTGTTACTTCTCTTCTTCTTGCTTGCCCGTTGGATGTCTCTCGACGTACAAAGTAATGATTTTTAAATATATTCTGTAGAAATCGCACTTTATTTCCAAATTTTTCCTGTCGCATAGTCTGGCTCTTTGAAAAATATTCACAAAAACCAGTATTAAAGACCCTCATGGAGATACCTCATGGATTCTGGGATTATCTCAATTTGATACGAAAGTGGTTACTTAAATTATGAAGATTTCTGGCTAAGATTGAAAAATTAGAACGTTGGTAACTGATTCGTCATAAAGCTGCAATATACATGTGTATTACCAGCATATAAATGATAAAATAGAATCCATAAAGATGGTATCAGTTTGATTCAACAGTGTAGTAGCACACCTAACGAGATTCCTCTAAAGCTGATCATTAATCACTAGGGCACGGAAGTTTTGTAACAAAACGATACAATATCCCCCCTCCACTCGTTCTCAGCAGAAAATTTCATCCAAAAGTTGTTCTAAATTAAATTCTAAAACCATTTTCTCAATAAAAAAAAATATATAAAAATTTTTTTGAGATTATGTTCTTAATTGTTGATTAAATCAAAAATTTTTATTAACAATATTTGTTTAGAATCACTTCAGGAACAGTGTTTGTTAATACAATTTTTTGCTAACTTGAAATTTTAATTTCCCTCTGAATAGTATGCTATCAAAATTAATTATCTCAACAATTATTGTTTTTATTAAAAAATGTTTTAAATAAAATTTGTTTCAATTTCGATTTTGAATCAATTATCTTAATAAAAAATTTTTACATCTCTATTAATTAAGCATCTAAGTATAATTATGTATAAAAACGGAAAAATTATTATTTTGAGGTTATCTCCTTAATTATTGATTAAATCAAAAAAAATTGTTGACAAAGTTTGTTTAGAATTGTTTCAGGAACAATTTTTGTTAACACAATTTTTTTCTAACTTGAAATTTTAATTTCCCACTGAATAGTATGCTACAAAAATTAATATTTTTGAGGTTATATCCTTATTGTTGATTTAATCAAAAAATGTTGTTAACAAAATTTGTTTAGAATTACTTCAGGAACAGTGTTTGTTAATACAATTTTTTGCTAACTTGAAATTTTAATTTCCCTCTGAATAGTATGCTATCAAAATTAATTATCTCAATAATTATTGTTTTTATCAAAAAATGTTTTAAATAAAATTTGTTTCAATTTCGATTTTGAATCAATTATCTTAATAAAAAATTTTTACATCTCTATTAATTAAGCATCTAAGTATAATTATGTATAAAAACGGAAAAATTATTATTTTGAGGTTATCTCCTTAATTATTGATTAAATCAAAAAAAATTGTTGACAAAGTTTGTTTAGAATTGTTTCAGGAACAATTTTTGTTAACACAATTTTTTTCTAACTTGAAATTTTAATTTCCCACTGAATAGTATGCTACAAAAATTAATATTTTTGAGGTTATATCCTTATTGTTGATTTAATCAAAAAATGTTGTTAACAAAATTTGTTTAGAATTACTTCAGGAACAGTGTTTGTTAATACAATTTTTTGCTAACTTGAAATTTTAATTTCCCTCTGAATAGTATGCTATCAAAATTAATTATCTCAATAATTATTGTTTTTATCAAAAAATGTTTTAAATAAAATTTGTTTCAATTTCGATTTTGAATCAATTATCTTAATAAAAAATTTTTACATCTCTATTAATTAAGCATCCAAGTATAATTATGTATAAAAACGGAAAAATTATTATTTTGAGGTTATCTCCTTAATTATTGATTAAATCAAAAAAAATTGTTGACAAAGTTTGTTTAGAATTGTTTCAGGAACAATTTTTGTTAACACAATTTTTTTCTAACTTGAAATTTTAATTTCCCACTGAATAGTATGCTACAAAAATTAATATTTTTGAGGTTATATCCTTATTGTTGATTTAATCAAAAAATGTTGTTAACAAAATTTGTTTAGAATTATTTCAGGAACAGTGTTTGTTAATACAATTTTTTGCTAACTTGAAATTTTAATTTCCCTCTGAATAGTATGCTATCAAAATTAATTATCTCAACAATTATTGTTTTTATTAAAAAATGATTTAAATAAAATTTGTTTCAATTTCGATCTTGAATCAATTATCTTAATAAAAAATTTTTACATCTCTATTAAGCGTCTAAGTATAAGTACCTATTTTATTTATATTCTGGGTGTTTTGGCTATTGTTATTGCTGTATTTTCAACATTTTCAATGGTTTTATCTCCTATCTCTAAGATTTTATTTCTCCACACGCATCTTTATCAACTCAGGTTAAGGTAGGATATCCTTCTGGTGTCTTCCTGAACCTGAAATGAAAAGGAAATTAATACTGAAAATAACAGATTTGATATCATAATTATAAATAATTAAAAAAAAGTAATAAAAAATGCTTTTAAATAAAAAATGTTAACATTTTTTTAATTCTTTTTTAACATAATTTAATTTTTTTCATTTAAAACTCTACTCTCATCCACATTTGTAGAAACACGAAACAAATAAAATATGTGAGTTTCTTTTTAAAAAAGTCCACGTGTTTGAAAGCACAAGCTTTTACCTCGACTGTCAACGAAATTATAAAGTACGCCCTAAAGACACAAAAAAAATCATAAAAAAGGAGTAGTTGTGGGTAAGAATAATTAAGTAGAGACATATATTTGTTTAATTTATCTTTATTATCAGTAGCATGTAAAAATATTCAACAGCAATAAATTAAATTTTTCTTAATTTCCACAGAATTCAACGAGTTAATCATTTTAGCCTTTTCATTTATCCTTTTCAGAAGAAATTAAAGCGGGGTTGATATCTTGTTGAAATACGTCTAAAGAAATAAAAAAAAAGTAACATTTTAGAATCAATTTAAATCCTTTAAAAATCACCCTTTAACAACAAATAATACCAAATCATTTTTTGATAATCAAAATCGGGCGATTGAAGCGAATTTTTATAAAAACCATCAAAATCTTGAAGATTCGTTCTTCCTGTTCGCATAAATGGTAACAACCCCATATGACCATTTACACCACGTTTTGGGGCTAATAATTATTTAAATAATAATTTTTTTTGGTAACTAATTATTTTTTTAATTTACCTCCATCATTTTGATCATCATTTATATTTTCGCGAACTCTTTTGCCCACTCTAAACATTGGACTTAATCTAGGATGACCTAATTCGAGCATAATTCCATTATCAGCTCTCCCAATTCGAAGTTGTGGTGATAATCTGGGTGAACCATCGAATCTAATTGATTCCGTCAAAACTGAAACAATTAAAAAGTAATCAAAAATAGATCTCGAATGCACTAAAAAGCGTAATAAGCAAACGCGGGGTTAATTTTGAAATAATAAACCGGGTTTAATAATAAGAGTAAAGGTTTTATTGATGTATAAACCGCAAAATTTGTGAATTTCTACTTTATAACAGAATATTGTAGTGGTTTAAATTAAATAAATCTAAATTTGTTTTTAAGTTATTAAATTGTTTAAAGAATGAAAATGTTGTAAAAAAAACTTACCTATTAATGAAACAATTAAAGCGATTTGACAACAAACGAAATATTTCATTATTAATTTTTTCCTTTTGTCTCCACCTATTCCAAGATCACTTTCCAAACTACAATCCCCCAAAGACATACCCCCTTTATATACAAACCCACCTCTTCATACGTTTACGTATCAGACTACAGTAAACCAATACGCTTAGAAATTACCCTATTTTAAACCCAATTTCGCCCGCGTTCGCAGATTAATTAAACACGATCCTTTTCGTGAAATAACACGCCAGATAAAACTTCATTACATTTTATTATTAATTAATCGTTTTTGTACATTCGTTACTTTTATAGTTACGATTTAAATGACCACGAAGTTAAAAGAGGAGGATTCATTTTTTGAAACGCCACGAATCTGTTGTTGTTAAACACATCTTTATGTACGGCTGTAATTAAAAGCCCGAGGGCGGGATTTTCACGTAGGTAAGACTTGATCAACTCCGGGTGCCGTTGGTCCACTTCCAAGATAACTTTACCACCCGTTTCCAGGATATTAGATGATACTTTTAACACTAATTTGATTAAATCAAGACCGTCGTTTCCACCATCCAAAGCATCTCTATCTTCATAACTAAATTAATAATTAAAAAAAAAAAAAAACTAATAATACAATTATAGTATAACGGATCTCGTTAGAATGAACTTCGGATATAACGGATAAAATATGTTAATCTATAAATTACGATTGTTTTATATTTTTATTGAACTAAAAGTAGAACTAACTCTAGAACTAGAAACATTCGGGTTTAGCCGCACGTCTCTAAAGACGGCTAAACCCGAATGATTCTAGTTCTATATTATAGGTTTAGTGTAAAAAAAAACACAAAACCCGAAACTTTCTAGTTGTAGTGTTAGTTTTAGTTTTGTTATTCAGCGTTGGATTGAAGATAAATGACAAAAAGGACATTGTAGAGATTGTAGAACAATGTAGAGATCTTGCAAAAAATCCCCATTAAGCAATTATATAAAGATTAGTGATGGAACGGATAGTGATTTTGCGAAAAGTTGGATACTGGCTAGCCGGAAAGGAATATTCGGCATCCTCTTTGGTCGTATATCGTACATCGAAAATTTTATCAAAACTTCAAATATTGTTTTCTGAAAAACTAAAAGTTATTTTTTAAAACGGGTTGGTTCATTGGAAAGAAGACACTTTTATTAACACTTTGGGAGATTTTCATACTCATATTCCAAGAAATGGATTTTATACGAATTTTTAAAACTTAATTGGCGAAAATTGCAAAATTCGAAAAAATTTTCGATCATTTCAAAAATTTATTTCTCACGAACTGAAAGTGATTTTTCAAAACCACTAGTTGCATTAAAAAGAGGACACTTTAGTTAATAATTGGTGATATTTCCAAAAGGATTCTTCAAGAAATTAATTTTATGGCGAATTTTGAATATTATCGATGAAAATTGCAACATCGAAAATTTTATCAAAACTTCAAATATTGTTATCTCAAAAACTAAAAGTAATTTTTCAAAACGTATAGGTTCATTGGAAAGAGGCCAGTTTTATTAACATTTTGACAAATTTTCGAACTCATATTCCAAGAAATGGATTTTATACGAATTTTTAAAACTTAATTGGCGAAAATTGCAAAATTTTAAAAAATTGTCGGTCATTTCAAAAATTTATTTCTCAATAACTAAAAGTAATTTTTCAAAACGGCTTTTTGCATTAAAAGGAGGATACTATAATTAATAATTGGTGATATTTCCAAAAGGATTCTTCAAGACATTGGCGAAGACGAATATATACAACAAGTGAAAAAAAGGAAAAGCTCAGCTCCTGGAAAAGATCTAATTACTAAGCATATATTACGAAATCTAAATCCCACCTCGCACAAATTTATTCGTCAAGCTTACAACTACTGCCTAAGGTCAAGAAAATTCCCTGAAATATGGTTCCATTATAACAATCCCCAAACCTGGCGCTGACCATTCACAACCCAAGAACTACAGACCAATAACCCTCCTTCCAGTGATAGAGAAAATCTTCGAAAGTATCATTAACCAACGAATCCTCCAAGCTACACAAGAAATCATACCAACATACCAGTTTGGATTTAAACCACAAAACTCTATAGCCCGTCCGTTAATAACACTAGTGAATAACATACAAGCAAACCACAAACAAAAAAGAAAATCTATTGTACTGTTTTTAGACATAAATAAAGTCTTTGACACGGTATAGCATAAGGATTTACTATACAAAATGGAAAAAACAGGCGTCAATGACGACTTAATTAAAATCATAGACGAGTACCTAAAAAATAGACAACTTCAAGTAAAGGTAGGAGAGAAATTCTCTTTCCCATTTTCGCCAGCGCAAGGTGTCCCACAGGGATCTCCTCTGTCTCCAACTTTATACAATATATTTTGCTACGATATCTATGCAGAAAACCCGACCAGCTTTGATCCAAAACTGTACATTCTACAGTATGCAGGTGACACAATATTGGTCTCACACAACACCACACTAGACAAAGCAACCGAAAACCTTCAAATGCTTATTGGAGACTTACACCCAATCCCTCCAAGTTCCAACTTATGATTCCCAACCACCGCATTCGCGAAAGATCTCCTAAAATTAATACTGGCACAACAACGGTAAAACCTTCCAAAGTTATTAAATATCTTGGTATAGATTTAGACAACTAACACAACAACATAAAAGTATTCAAACACTTGAAATCTGCCAAACAAGCAAAATATTTCAGAGCTCTTACATAAAAGAACGCTGAAGGCATTTCAACAAAAACTGCTACGAAGATCTATAACGCTACAGCCAATGCATCAAAGAAAACAAAAGAAAGAATAACAAAAGCAGAAAGAAAATGACTGAGAATTATAACGAAGATAGGCAATCCTCAAAATCCACTGCACAACGGTAGTAACGAAAATCTATACGTAAGAACAAAAATACAACCAATTAACCTAAGACATGCAGAAATCAGTAAAAAATTCATTAAAAAACCACATAATAGAAGATTGCTTGACAAAATGTGCCAGAGACTGGACAACTGGACCCTATACGAAACTTTGACACACAACACAGAAGAAGAAACATAAAGTTATTTAAGTAAAACAAAATGTATTACATAATATTGTAAGGTGGAAAGATCAGAGCTTTCAAAGCTCCTGATCGGTAGCCAATAAAAATTATTTCTCTCTCTCTTTGTTTTCTCAAAAACTAAAAGCTATTTTTCAAAACGGGTTGGTTCATTGGAAAGAAGACACTTTTATTAACACTTTAGGAGATTTTCATACTCATATTCCAACAACTGGATTTTATATGAATTTTTAAAACATAATCGGCGAAAATTGCGGAATTCGAAAAAATCATCGATAATTTCAATAATTTATTTTTCAAAAACTAAAAGCGATTTTTCAAAACTGCTTGTTGCATTAAAAAGAGGATACTTTAATTAATAATTGGTGATATTTTCACAAGGATCCTTCAAGAAATGAATTTTATAGCGAATTTTGAAAGTTATCGATGAAAATTGCAACATCGAAAATTTTATCAAAACTTCAAATATTGTTTTCCCAAAAACTAAAAGTTATTTTTCAAAGCGGGTTGGTTCGTTGGAAAGAAGACTCTTTTATTAACACTTTGGGAGATTTTCATACTCATATTCCAAGAACTGGATTTTATACGAATTTTTAAAACTTAATCGGCGAAAATTGCAAAATTCGAAAAAAAAGTCAATTTCAAAAAATTATTTCTCAAAAACTAAAAGTGATTTTTCAAAACGGCTTATTGCATTAAAAAGAGGATACTTTAATTAATAATTGGTGATATTTCGACAAGGATCCTTCAAAAAATGAATTTTATAGCGAATTTTGCAAGTTATCCTATCCAAAAAATCCTATTTGGGTTGAACTTGATTATTATCTGCAGTGCCCAACACTTAAAAGAGATACTAATTCCTGTGAATGATGGAGTACTAATTAATAGGTTTTTAAATTATATATATTAGATATCCCTTCCACCACTAGTAAAGATGAAACAGGTGATAAACAGGAAGATTAGAACATATTATAAAATTGCCAAATTTATTAATTGCTAGAATCTTTAATTATTATTCAGCACTAGATTGTTGTATATTTTTCATTGAACCCATATTAATCCATTATATTGAAGTTTTACTACAATAAAAACAAATACTTACAGCCTAATTTCAGGTTGTAAATATTCTATATCCCCTGTAGGAATATAAGGAGGATTCGAAACAATTAATTTAAATTTTTTTAAGATTAATTTAGAGACATTTTCTTTTAAAATTTCCTTATTAATCACCCTGAGGCGATTAAAAACGCCGTGAATTTTCGCATTTTCTTCGGTTAATGCACAAGCTTCGTTTGATTTATCTATGGCAATGATTTTAATCTGTAACCATTTTAATTTAATTAAAATGCAACATTAAAAAGTTGTTTTTTTACGTTTGGATTCATTTTTAATAAAGCTATGCTAATAGCTCCTGAGCCACAACATAATTCTAAAATTTCTGAGACGTCATTGCATTCGTTAAGTGCTAAATCGACGATTTGTTCGGTTTCTGGTCTTGGAATAAAGACTGGTTCGCGCATTTTAAGCGTTAAATTTTTAAAATCCCATTCGCCAATAATATACTGCATTGGTTTACTAAATAATAACATTTAAATAATTAAAAGTATAAATATTTTAAATTAAAACTAACTTTTTTAATCTTAATTCACATAGTTGGGTTATTTTATCTGTTTGTTTGTACGTTAGGTATTTATTCATGTTGGTATAAACATCGGAAACCTATAAATTAATTAATTAATTAATCGTTGTATTAACTCAAATATATACCTTTTTCGTGTTTAAAACGTGTGCTATTATATTATCAATCGAGCTTTCTGGTTCTCCTATACATTTCTCTAAAAATATTCTTTTCCATTTTTTCAGAATATTATCAATTTTGTTCTCATCTTTTTTAATATTATAATCGTGCACGAAAGCGGCGAGATTTTTCGTTAAACAATTTGGGTATAAATATCGAAACATTTTTCAAAATCAATAATTTGTGTGAAAACAGATATTCTTTTTGACATTTCCTTTTTATAGGTTATGAAGGCGTCATGTGTTAGCTTTCTTGATTACTTTCTCCTCTTATCCTAGATTACCTTCCCTTTTAGATTAGATCCGTATTATTTTAAGGGGGTTGTTTTTAGTTTAATTTGGGGGTAATCCAATTAAGTGTAAAGTGAAATTAACTTAATTAAAGAAATTATTTTATGATTTTAATTTTTGACAATTCGTTGCAAGGTCGGTTGAGTAAATACTGTATAGGTAACTGTATAAGAATTGACATTTCTATGTTTTTATTTATACAGTGTACTTATTTCACTTAAGAAGAATATACAAAAATATTTAAAAAAAGATATAAAATAAAATAAAAAAAATATTAAAATATAAAGCGAAATATTAACGATTAAAATTTTATTATTTTTAGGTTATCCAACTTGACTCGGTTACCATGGTGATTAAGATCCAAATATAGCAAGTGCTTGTCAAAATTGAAATTGAATTTAAGTTTTTTTTAAGGAAAAAGTCTTATTTAATTGGTTTAAAAGGCTGTATTTAACTCAAAATTGGTTTATCTAGGGAATTATAAACAAGGTAAGTGGATTAAATCAAAAAAAGATATTTTTAATTTGTTTCTCTTAATTAGAATCGATTTAAATTAATTACAATTAACGAATTTGTTATGAATGCGAGATAATCGTAAAGAATTCGAATTGTTTTAAAATTCATAAAAATTAGGTTAGAATTGATAAAAAAATCGGAATAAAATTTTATTATTTTAAGGTTATCCAAGTTGACTCGGTTACCATGGTGATTAAGATACAAACAGCAGTTGCCTGTCAAAATTGACGTTGAATTGACGTTTTTTTAGTGAAAAACACATAATTAATTGGATTTAAAGGTTGTATTTAATTCAAAATGGGTAAATGGATGAAATTATAAGCAAGGTAAGTGGATTAAATCAAAAAAAAAAAAATTTTAGATCAATTAAAATGTACAAGAATTTAGGGTTAAATAACAATTAACACTAGACCTAGAACTAGAAAGTTTTAGGTTTAGCCGCGCGTCTTAGACAAGAACTTAGAAAAGTCTCTTCATAAAATAACCTGTAAAGTGAGTCCAAACTTAACGCATTTGTCTAAAAAAACTAAAAAGTTCGAACTTTCAACTTTTAATTTTGACATATTTGTCAACTTCATAAAAAATCCTTTAAAATGAGTCCAAACTCGACATATTTAACTTTAATATTAATGGAAATACAATCATTTCCGGTTTGAAACGTCAACGTCAATTTTGACATATTTGTCATCTTCATTAAAAAACCTTTAAAATGAGTCTAAAGATGATGCACTTATCTTAAAAAACAAAAAAGTTAGAATAAAAATACGTTAAACTCGAAGTTAGCAACAATGAAGATAGCATTTTAATTATTAAATATTAATACCAACCTTAATTTTTAATTTTTTTTTTGTTGTATTTTTGTTTTTGTAATAAGTTTAAAGACATTTTATAAAAATTAAGAATTTGTCAAAATGTGATTGACATTTCAAACTGGAAGTTGCTTATATCTCGACTAATATTGGTATTAAACGTATCATGGTTGGGCTCATTTTAAAAGTTTTTTCACGACAATTACAAATATGTCAAAATTGACGTTGACATAACTTCATAACTTCATTAATATTGAAGATAAATATGTCGTGTTTGTACTCATTTTAAAGGATTTTTAATGAAGATTACAAATATGTCAAAATTGAGGTTGACATTTTAAATCTGAAGTTAGTTATCGTATAATAGACAAATGAACCTCTTCATGGTGTTCTTTCATGATGTATTCTTTATTAAAGAAACCTTTAAAATGAGTCCAAAGATGACGCACTTATCTCAAAAAAACAAAAAGTTAGAATACAAAACGTTAAACCCGTTATTAAATATTAATACTAACCTTAATTTTTAATTTTTTTTATAATAAATTTTAAGACATTTTATAAAAATTAAGAATTTGTCAAAATGACATTGACATTTCCAACCGGAAGTTGCTTATATCTCGACTAATATTGGTATTAAACGTATCGTGTTTGTACTCATTTTAAAGGATTTTTTACGACAATTACAAATATGTCAAAATTAAGGTTGTCATTTTAAATCTGAAGTTAGTTATCATATAATAGACAAATGGACAACTTCATGGTGTTCTTTCATGATGTATTCTTTATTAAAAAACGTTTACAATAAGTATAAACATGACGCACTTATCTCAAAAAAACAAAAAAGTTTGAATAAAAAACGTTAATACCGAAGTTAGCAACAATGAAGATAGCAATTTAGTTATTAAATATTAATACCATCCTTAATTTTTAATTTTTTTTTGTTTTTGTAATAAATTTTAAGACATTTTATAAAAATTAAGAATTTGTCAAAATGACATTGACATTTCAAACCGGAAGTTGCTTATATCTCGACTAATATTGGTAAATGTTTGGGCTCATTTTAAAGGATTTTTCACGATAATTATAAATGTGTCAAAATTGACGTTGACATTTCTATCCGGAAGTTGATAACTTCATTAATATTGAAGATAAATAAAAAAACAATTGAATGCCTTATTATGGCAAACAAAATATTAAACAAGTTTTGTATAAAATTTTTTTTTGTAAAGTTGATGCTTACCAAGATATATACTATATTCCATACATAATGGGCATCCTGTATATTATATTATAATTTTCCTCCAATGACGGCACGTTTAATTCGTTCTGAATTCCTTGTTTTTGTGTGAAGTTGAAAAAATGAATCAGAATGACAAACATAAAAAAAATTAATTTAATGATATAATTGTTATAAATATTATTTATTTAAATAAATTAACAATAATAAATACATCATCTAAATTAACCACGGAATTATTAAATATCACAGTTTTCCTTTTTATCGATCTTTTTTGATTTGTACTTTTTTATGATAAATTCGATGGACCATATTAAAACAGCCATAAAAGTAATTAAATTAATTAAATAGATGCATTTAACGTACGTCCCTGTTACGTCTTTAATTACACCTAAAAAGCAATGATTATAAATTAACAAAAAAGAAAATTGTTTAATTTCTTACCCAATAATGGACCGCCCATAAAAATTAAAATGCCATTTATTGTAAATTGCAATCCTAAAGCTGCTGGTAATTTTTCAATCGGTACATGACAAGGCATTACCAGACTCCAATAAACTAATCGAGCCCCTCGACAACTTCCAATTGCAACGGCGCAAAAAAGTAAAGGAACAAATCCGTTTACGAATAATAAAGCTAAAAAAGGTTATTTTAATAAACATTTTTGTGATTTTTAATAAAACTTACAACTTCTTGCACAAATTAAGCATAAAAGAGTAATCATTAACATTTGCCTTTCAGGTCGATTTAAAATTTCGGCAATATACGGCGCTAGAAATCTTAAAATAATATCAGCTATTGCAAAAGTTGACATAAATATAGCAATTTGTTCCGTGGTCAAATTAAAATCAGCCATAATAAATGGTATGAGAATTAGACAGTTAATTTCCGAGAGGAAATCCAAAGAGAGCCCAAGAACTATGCTGACAAACGTGGGATCTTTCAACATTTCAAAATTAAACGTTCTATTCATAAAATCAATAAATCTTTCCCAAAATGATGCTTTTTCTGATAACATTTTATACTTTTCGTTATTATTTCCAGTGTTTTGTTCAAAACAAACTGATCCAGTCAATTCATCAATTGAAAGTCTAGATATTGCGTGTAAAGAAATATTTGAGTCGGTTAATAAAACCGAGGGCCTTCTACTCCTTGTATATTCATTACTATCTAAAAATTTATCTTCTTCTTCGTTTATTTCGTCTTCTTTAACAGGAACCATATGCCATTCAACCGGTTGAAGCAGTAAAGCAGCCACTAAAACGTGTCCAGCCACAGCTGCTAATATAATCATAATCGACTTAACATCAAATTCTGTCATCATATACGAAACCAATTGAGGCATTAAAATTGGTCCTAAACCGTAAATCGCAGAGACGTAACCATTTACTTTTGAACGTTTTTTAACAAAATACGAATTTAATGCGACGGAAAATCCTTGAAGACCCATCCCATAACCTAATGCTACAAAACAAAATTGTTAATTTGTTTCTAATTATTATTAGCAATAAAAGTTACAGGTTATGATTCCGTAAGCGATCATAAAATGTTCAAACCGTGTTGAATGAGCTGTAAAAATTAATCCTAAGACGATAAATATTCCACTTGCGAAAGAAATCGCCCTGTATCCATAATGTTTTATTAACGGGCCAATTACGATCCCGCAAATGTTCGAAACTGCTAAATTCGTGTTGAGAATTAACGTGTTTTGAGTTCCCGTAAATCCTAAGTCGTTGAAAATATCTTTGTAGAGGAGGCCAAAAGTTTGGGCGATTGGAAAAATTATAAACTGAAAAAAAAATTATTTTAATATAATTTTTGTATATAATATTCATGATAATATGGATAAAAAGTTAAAATAGATGAGCTAGTGGGAGAAATTGGATAACTTTCAAAAGTTCTAGCCTTAAGACACGATACAAAGAAGTTTTGTGATTTGTGACGAGGGCAAGAATTTTAGTTTTAATGGTACCGAAACGAGTTTAAGAAATAATGTTAGTGCTGCGAAAGACTTCCAGAATATCTCAGTAGGATACGATACCAAACGACAGATGGAAGACATATAAATAGCACTCGACAAAGCAATCAAAAACATTTCTCCTTACATAGAATCTCTGGTGAATGACGATATCATTACAATACCACTAATGTATTTCATTAACAGGCGAACAACAGAGGTTCAAATCAAGGAGATCCTCGTCTTTGTCATAAGAAAAATAACGGAAAAATCAATCATATACAGCCAAAATGGGAAATAAGGAGTCAAAATTCTATGTTAAGCAGATGTGGTGCTCGACTAGAATGATCTTCAGATATTACTGTACCAATTTAATAATATTAATATATATTTAAACTTGTACAAGCAATATCTAGTCTTCTACAAGCAGTATCCAGTCTTTTTCCACCATATACAGGTGTGTCTCCGAAATGCGTGTACAACGAAAGACCACAAATTCCTTGACTCAAAATAGGTCGATTTAAGTTAAGTTATCTATATCCAAAGTTGCTTCGTTTCGCCGCTAGATTGAGTCCTCTAGCGGCGAAACGAAGCCTGAAAAATGGTTTCAATTGATTTACACGTTTTCGAGTTATAAAAAATAAAAGAATTTTTTTTGCTAACTTTGAAGTCCTCTAGTGACGAAACGAAGCAACTTTGGATATAGATAACTTAACTTAAATCGACCTATTTTGAGCCAAGAAATCTGTGGTCTTCCGTTGTACACGCATTTCGGAGACACCCTGTATATATCTTTGGCTTTGCCGAATATTAAAAACCTATTATATAGTACTCCACCATTCACAGAAATTAGTATCTCTTTTAGGTGTTGGACACTGCTGATAATAATCAAGTTCAACCCCAATAGGACTTTTTTCGTTGAATACAACTTTATTTAGTCGAATTTTGCAATTTTCGCCGATTAGATTTTAAAAATTCGTATAAAATCCAGTTCTTGGAATATGAGTTTGAAATTGTCCTAAACTGTTAATAAGAGTGTCCTCTTTCCAATGAACCAACACGTTTTGAAAAATAACTTTTAGTTTTTGAGAAAACAATATTTGAAGTTTTGATAAAATTTTCGATGTTGCAATTTTCATCGATAACTTTCAAAATTCGCTATAAAATTAATTTCTTGAAGGATCCTTGTGGAAATATCACCAATTATTAATTAAAGTATCCTCTTTTTAGAGTTGCTTCGTTAGTTAAGTCAGCATCAAATAGTTCATTTTGTATCTTGGATCCAAATAAGTTGATATTTCTTATCAGCTTTCTTATTAATTTCATTTGTATTCAAATATCGCAATAATGTGGCAATGTAGGGTATCACTTCAGAAATTCACCAGAAGTATATAAAATAGAATCACTATCCGTTCCATCACTAATTAGCAGTATTCTAATAGTACTCTTAGTTTTTAGCCAGTAGTATTTACTCTTCTAAGACCAAGTCTTCTATAAGGGCAATCAAATCATCCATTAGCAGAATTGTGTCTTCTGCTAACAATATCTAATCTGTTAAAAGCAATGTCGAGTCTCCATTAGTAGTATCTAATCTTTAGCCAGCAGTATCTACTCTTCTAAGACCAAGTCTTTTATAAGAGCAATCAAAATTCCATTAGCAGAATCTTGTTTTCTGCTAACAATAAACTAATGTATGTTTATAGCTCAAATTATTATAGTTAACAATGAATGGAGCACTTAAATGTTTTTATAGACGATGTTTTTTGCAATTTAATAGAAAATCAAGAGTTTTGAGACAGTAATCGCCATGAATAATCGCCAGAATTGGTTAGCTTTAAATTACTGAATTTTTATGTGAAGTGTACATGTATTTAGGCCCTAAAACTATTTATATTAATATTGTTAAACCGATACGGATGATTTAAAACATTTTGATTGGTTTTAAATGGTTTGAATAAACCTTAAATGATTCTATCTATTTGAGACCTTCAATTGACCTGAATCAATATGTAATAGTAAGTGGTTTGATTTAGTTTCTTAATGAATTCGATAAAAGTACTTAAACAATTAAATAAATAATCGTAGATAGAGTTAATTGTGTAAACTCACTTTGAAAAAAAAAGTTTTTCCAATCTAAGCATGTAATTTTTAAAAGAAGAATTTACGACTTTTATAAAAATCTTATCTTCATCACGTCTGGTTTTTGCTGAGATAAAATGCAATCAATAGCTCTTTTAAAATTTGTTTATTAACAATTTCATCACATTACGCATTAATAATTTTACTTACAAAATTTAAAGCAACTCCAGCTGCTATCATCCAACCCCAACCCCCATCTGGGGGAACAAGTTTTCTTCTCAACATACGCGAAAATAACAATAATAAACCACAAAAATTTTAATAAAACCTTTTTTTCACTGTTTCGTTAAAACCAGTTCAACACCTGACTCAATACTGACTATAAATATCAAGTTAGTGTGATTTCTTATATTAATCAACCGATAAATTGTTGGTGACAATTCTTACGACACTTATTATTACAATAATAGATAGCGAAAAATAACTTTACAATAATATTTATCAACAATGTGATAAAAACGGTTTAAAAATCCATTTTAATGCGATTTCGGAGTACTTTTATGTGGGATCTTTTTTATCTAATGATTGAATCGGGAGAGTGTTGGTGTTTTAAAAACATTTGCGATGTGAGAGAGCAAAAATGAATTGCAGGAACGTGGGAGATAATGTGTTATTGACCCTGCTTGGTTTTATCAAAGAGGTGACCCTGTTTGAAAAATTGGTTCGAGGTCTTTTATGTCTGGTGGGGATCATAATTTTTGGCGAGCAGTATTTAAATAGTTTATTTTAAATAACTTACATAAGCAAGTGTTATTTAACTTAAGAAACAGGTATTTCCCATTTGCGTATTTATAAATCCTTGAAATTTTCTTATTTTATTACTTAACGCAAACAATTTTGGTTGGTAATAATTTTTTCTATTCTAAATTATATAATAATTTATTGTATTATGTACTTACAAAATCGATGATTGTACCAAGTGCAATCATCCAACCCCATCCTCCATCAGGTGGAACTAACTTAATCCTCATACTTCCGTACAATCTTAAGGCTCCATACGTTGTAAATTGAGGATCGCGCATGATAAAGCGATTTTATTCCTCCACGCAAAGCAAATTATTTATGCAATAATTAAGATTTAAAAATAGCACTTTAATCATAAACTCGCTTCGAAACACGCACTGTTTTGTTTTCTTTAACTGCATAAATTTCTTGTTTTGTAGTATTACTTCTGGATTAACTTCTAAGAATTATAGATTATATCGGTAAGCAAGGTTTTAAAACGTTGCATCGTTTTCCTAGGTTTTGAACGAATGGTTATTGATACATATTGGAATGAAAAGAATGTTTTGTTTTCAATGTCTGATAAAACGTATCAGACTGGAACACATTTGAGCGGTGTTTACCCCAGAATTTATCGTTGTGTCACCAAGATCGAATGTTATCTAGGACAATTTAATGGAGTTTATGTTAAACAACTTAAAATAAACAGATTAAGAAGTTCTTTATTATAAATATAAATATTTTTAATTTTTTCTAGACTTATATTTAATATAAACAATTTCAATACTCCACAAAATAATCGTAATAAATGTAACTAAGTTAATTACAAAAATGCATTTTCGATAGCTTCCAGTTAAATCGCGAATAACTCCTAAAAAAACATTTATCTTTATTTATTTATTACTTAATTTATTGTTTACCTATAACAGGGCCCCCAATCCAAATACAAATCCCATTTACAGTCATTTGAATCCCAAGAGCGGCTCCTAAACGTTCTATTGGAACGTAATTAGGCATAACTAATGACCAATAAACAATTTTAAAGCCTTTTACAACTCCTAAACCAATTGCAACACAAAGAAGTGGGTAATAATCGTTTGTCCATAATAAAGCTACAATGAAATTTATTAAAATGATATTTTTGAAATTTTTTTATTACTTACAAAATCGACTAATAATCAATAAAAACATTGAGACCATACACATAAATCTCGGCGGTTTATTCAAAAAATCGCTGATATAAGGCGCCAAAAATCGGAAACAAATATCCGCAGATGATAAAAACGACATAAAAGTGGCAGTTTGTTGCGTTGTAAAATAATAATCCTCCATAATAAATGGGATGAGTAAAGAAAAACTTAAATCGGCGAACACCGCAAGAGACATTCCCAGCATTATATTAACATAAATCGGATCTTTTAGCAATTCCAAATCAAAAGTGTCCACGATATTTTTTCCTATACGTTTTAAAAGCGATGATTTTTTCTTTTTTTCAATCGTCTGTTCTGGATTATAAACTTTATCGCCGTTTGAAATTAACCGTAGGGGTTCTTCTTCTTCATTTAATTCGTCTATGTTTTGTATTTTCAAGTTTGCAAGCGATTGTTTTGATTTTGAAAGTGAATGTTTTTGTCTTAAATCATTTGGGGATAAATGTAGTTTTTCTTTTTCTAATAATTAAAACAAGAAAATTATTTAGTTTATAAGTATGGATCATCAAGGTGGGTTCTGTAAGGAACTATTAGATATCTTTATTGTTTTAACCAAATTTGATCTCAGTTGCTCAGGAAAGATATACATGTTATTCTGTGAATGTACACATTGTCTAGTCAATGCATACATTAACTAATTTATCTAGTTAATGTGTATATGAAATAAGAAATGTAAACTTTTACTAGTTTATGTATACAATTACTAATGACGTCCAGTTAAAACTTAAAGTACATTTGCTAGCATATTACATACCGAAACTCAACCCAACTTACTTACTACTTGCATCACATGCAATCCATTAAAAAAATTATATCGTAAATTTTCTTTGTTATAACTTTTACTAACATCTGTTAGCAAATGCATGCATTGCCTAGTTTATGTACACATTCACTAATAAATGTATACACTCTATGATTGATAAATACTTTCCCTAAACGTTACGTTAATGTATACATTGACTGGCTAATGTGAAATGTACGCTTTTCTATTCGCATTCTCCACATCTTTACACCTAATTCTTGTGTCCAACCTTTACCTTCTCTTCTGCATTCCCAAGATATTTTGGCAAATCTTTTTACTACTACTTTTGTTTCTTGTCTCTGCACATCTCTGTCTCTGTCCATCTTTGTCCCAGTGTCTTAGTTTTCTCCACATTACACCATTAGTATTGTCACTTTCCGAACTGTTAATATTTGTTTACTCCAGCTCTCATATTTTCTTCCATTTTTCTTCTGCTGATATTGTTCTGCTCACTTATCCGCCTCCACTATCAATCACGCTTTAGCTAATCTAAAATCTTGATTACACGGCATCAAAGAATGTTCACTTTTATTAAGCAGGAAACTTCGACTTCGTTTTACTTCGAATCTCGTATTCGAGAATCGTGCTTTCATGAGTTGCTCTCCAAAGTATTTCTCCAGTCATCTAGACATCTAGAATATTTCTTTGTCTTGTCATGTTTATGTCACTTTGCCATCCATAGGTATTCCGACATTTCAGTCTTCCAAAGCTTTCCTCATAGTCCAATCGCCGTAGATGTTGAATGGACTCTTACCTGACACCCTTTTCTACTTGAAATAAAATGGAGTGAAATGGGTCACTCAGCTCGTTCTCAACTCTTACATATGTTGTGTTATTCTAGTACAGACTTTTGATGATGGTTATGAGGTGTCTTGGTATGCCCATTTCATCCAGGATATGCTAGATTGTGCCATTAATCGAAATCGAAGATATATTAGCCTTTGCGTAATCTATAAAGCATAAATAAGTAAGGATATCTCTAATCTTTCTATGATTCGTCTTATGAGGGATATATATATCGATTTAGTCCAGTTGTTGAGAAATCCACCCTGATCCCAAATGAGTTACCACATCAATTTTTGAGTCTCCAGGAAGGGTCCTCTCTCTCATAATTGAGGTCTCTCTTTCTGTGAATTAGTTGCTTGTAATAACTTGATGTAATGTGCATCCTTTCATTATTTTATGACAGAACCCACCCTATATAATCCATATTATGCCTACTTTATTTCAAATCTTTAATAATAAAAAAAAAATTTTTAATTTACCAACTAACGACATTAAACTTCCTAATGGAGTGTCTATTCCAAAAAATGTATCAATTTCAACATTTACAGAGTTTCTTCTACTGGATAACCCATTAAAGTCTTTCTTTTCATCTATATAATTATTATCGTCCACTTCTTCAATTTCTTTCATATGCCACTTAACGGGTTGTAATAAAATAGCACTGATAAAAGTGTTTCCAGTAATAGCTCCTAAAACTAATACAGCTCCGCGAACTCCATACATATACACTAAGAAGCTTATGAGTTGTGGCATAAGTACAGATCCAAACCCAGCAATGGTTAGTGTGTACCCAGCTGCTTTGCTTCTTTTTTTGAAAAAATATGTGTTAAGTGCTACAGGGTAAGATGATCTTCCCATTCCCATTCCTAAAGCTGTAAAATTCTTGATTTAATTAATTTGAATTTCTAAAAGAAAACTTACTAACATGCAATTAGACCGTAAGTAATTATGAAATGGGTGAAATTGCTCGCCCAAGATGTTAAAAGAACTCCGAATGTGGTTAAAAAAGCTCCACAAATTGAAACTTTTCGATATCCTAAGTGTTTTAGTAATGGTCCATTGATGATTCCGCATAACATCGCGAAAGCTGCGTTAGTGTTGATTATTAAAGCAGTATCGGTTGCTGAAAATCCTAATTCTTTAAAGGTATCTTTGTATATTAATCCAAAAGCTTGCATTAATGAGACTGATAGAAACTAGAAGGAAATTGTGTTTGTAGGCAACCGAATTAACATCTTTTGGAAAATGTGTCAATAATTTTAATTACCTGATGTAATCCATAAGCAATCATAATCATCCAACCATATCCCCCATCAGGAACTATTTTTGTTTTTGAAGAAACCATAACTTTTAATTAATACAAATGTATTTAAGTTAAAATTTGGTTCATTCTCTAAATGTTTTACCAAACTAACGAATCCATAATCCTCTTGTTCTTATCTTGGAAACAATAATTGTATAAATCGATAATAACTGAAAAAATGTTACTATCGCTGATTTATTTATGAGTGATCTTAATGGAATGATGTAATTTTTATTGTAGTAAGTGTACAAAAAGTACCTTTCAATTTATTTTAAATTTAATGTGACTATAACATTATTATTATTACTGGTGCTGCCAAGCTGAGGGGAGCGGTTTCAGTGAGTGTTTTCAGGATGATTTTATAGAATTAGAAAAATTTAAAAAAATTCAACGTTAAATTTAAATCTTTTTAATATAGAAAATAAATTAAAAAATACCTAATTTGTATTATAAAAATCTATAAAATATTAATTTGAGTATTTTTAGTTTTTCTTGATTTATATTTAATGTAAACCATTTCAATCGTCCACATAACAATGGTGGTAAATGTTACTGTGTTTATTACAAAAATGCATTTTCTATAACTTCCGGTTAAATCACGAATAAATCCTACAAAAAATGTATATTTATGTATATTTATTTATAATTTGATTCATTTTTTACCTATAACTGGGCCCCCAATCCAAATACAAATCCCATTAACAGTCATTTGAATCCCAAGAGCAGCTGCTAATCGTTCTATTGGAACATAACTTGGAATAACCAACGACCAATAAACAGTTCTAACACCTTTTGCAACCCCTAAACCAATTGCAACACAAAGAAGTGGATAATAATCATTTGTCCATAATAAAGCTAAAAAGAAATTAATTAAATTTTTTCTTAAAAAAGTATTTCATTACTTACAAAATCGAGTAATAATTAATAAAAACAATGATAATAAATACATAAACCTCGGTGGTTTCTTCAAAACATCACCAATATACGGTGCCAAAAATCGAAAACAAATATCAGCACACGATAATAACGACATAAAAGTAGCCGTTTGTTGCGTGGTAAAATCGTAATCCCCCATAATAAATGGAGTGAGTAATGAAAAATTTAACTCGGCAAAAACAGCCAAAGACATCCCCAACATTATATTAACATAAATCGGATCTTTTAATAATTTTAAATCGAACGTATCCACGATGTTTTTTCCAATTCGTTTTAGAAGCGACGGCTTTTTCTTCTTTTCAATCGTCTGCTCCGGATTATACACTTTATTATCTCCGTTTGAAGTTAATTGAAGAGGTGCTTCTTCTTCACTTAATTCATTTATTTCTCGTATTTTAGACTTAGCCAGCGATTCTTTTGATTTTGAAAGTGAAAATCTCCTTCTCGATGAAATTGATTGATTTCGTTCTTTTTCTGTTGACAACATGAAAGCGTTGAGGTTAGTATGTACGTAAAAAGAAAAGACACGGGGGCAAAATTGATGGAAGTTGTTTTTAAAATAATATTGAAGGGAAGGAGTGTCCAATCCGGGTACTGTGGATTCTAGACAGGATGTCGCGTCTTTATTTTAGACACAAAGAAATAAAGGCGCGACGTCCAGTCTGGAAGACCATCTTTTTCGATTGGATTCATTCAACTCGCGATAAAACCAAAATCGTAAAGCCGAAAATTTCCTAATTCACATATGTTACGTGGAAATTAGTGGCTATTACTTAGTACTTCACCATTTACAGGAATTAGTAGTTCGTTTAGGTGTTGGACGCTGCAGATAATAATCTAGTTCAACCCCAATAGGACATTTTTCATTGAATACAACTTTATTTATATCAGGTTTATCATTAGCAACCTCATTGTAACAATCCCAATACGATATATAAAATCTTCTCTTCACTTGTAATTCATCATCACATTCATTACTAACAGAACTATCGCTGTTATGACTTTCGATTATTAATTAAAGTATCCTCTTTTTAATACAGAAAGCCGTTTTGAAAAATTATTAATATAAATTTTTGAAATAATCGACAATTTTTTCGAATTTTGCAATTTTCGCCGATTATGTTTTAAAAATTTGTATAAAATCCAGTTCTTGGAATATGAGTATGAAAATTTCCCAAAGTATTAATAAAAGTGTCCTCTTTCCAATGAACCAACCCGTTTTGAAAAATAACTTTTAGTTTTTGAGAAAACAATATTTGAAGTTTTGATAAAATTTTCGATGTTGCAATTTTCATCGATAATTTTCAAAATTCGCTATAAAATTAATTTCTTGAAGGATCCTTGTGGAAATATCACCAATTATTAATTAAAGTATCCTCTTTTTAATGCAAAAAGCCGTTTTGAAAAATCACTTTTAGTTCTTGAGAAATAAATTTTTGAAATGATCGACAATTTTTTCGAATTTTGCAATTTTCGCCGATTAAGTTTTAAAAATTCGTATAAAATCCATTTCTTGGAATATGAGTATGAAAATTTCCCAAAGTGTTAATAAAAGTGTCCTCTTTCCAATGAACCAATCCGTTTTGAAAAATAACTTTTAGTTTTTGAGAAAACAATATTTGAAGTTTTGATAAAATTTTTAATGTTCAATTTTCATCGATAATTTTCAAAATTCGCTATAAAATTAATTTCTTGATGGATCCTTGTGGAAATATCACCAATTATTAATTAAAGTATCCTCTTTTTAATGCAATAAGCCGTTTTGAAAAATCACTTTTAGTTCTTGAGAAATAAATTTTTGAAATGGTCGACAATTTTTCGAATTTTGCAATTTTCACCGATTAAGTTTTAAAAATTCGTATAAAATCCATTTCTTGGAATATGAGTTTGAAAATTTCTCAAAGTGTTAATAAAAGTGTCCTCTTTCCAATGAACCAACCCGTTTTGAAAAATAACTTTTAGTTTTTGAGAAAACAATATTTGAAGTTTTGATAAAACTTTTAATGTTACAATTTTCATTGATAATTTTCAAAATTCGCTATAAAATTAATTTCTTGAAGGATCCGAATGCCGAATATCCGATATCTTTCATCTGGGCTTTTCGCAAAATCACTATCCGTTCCATCACTAGCAGAAATGTTCAATGATTACAACAAACATTGCCACAATTTTTTGCTTAGCACGGTTGTGAAGATATCGATATGTAAATTAAGGTGTCTTGATTTTTAACACGGATAGTAGGTTAGAATTGGTTTGATAACGAAAAATGGGTTAAAGATTGATAATTATAGATTTAAAATTTACCAGCTAAAGACATTAAACTTCCAGCTAAAGGTGTATCAATTCCATAAATAGCTTCAATTTCAATTTCATCATTAATAGATTCCGACGAGTTCCTTCTACTTGATAGTCGCGATTTCGATCGATCGTTGTCTAAAAAGTTAAAAATGTAATTATAAAGAAATGTATCAAGGTTTAAATAATAATAATTCTAAATAGAGATGATGATAGCTCATCTCGTCACATGATTTCAAACGGCAATTCACGTCCTACATTTTTTATTGTTAATCAGCTTAAGTGATACGAGTACAAAACAACATCTCTTTTAATTTCCAGAAATTGTGTAATGGTTTTGAAATATAAATTGATAAAAGAGGAATTAAATTTTTGATTAGTACCAAGAAATTTTGTATTTACCAGTTTTTTCTTCAATAATTTCATTTAATTCGTTATTTTCATCTTCAATTTGTTTCATATGCCATTTAACAGGTTGTAATAAAATAGCGCTAATAAAAGTGTGACCAGCAACGGCTCCTAAAACCATACAAGCTCCACGTACTCCGTACATATACAATAAAAAACTGATGAGTTGTGGCATAACCACAGGTCCTAATCCAGCTATGGTCATGGTATAACCCGCCGCTTTACTTCTTTTTGTGGTAAAATACGTGTTAAGTGCCACGGGGTAAGAAGACATTCCCATTCCCATTCCTAAAGCTGCAAACATTTTTTTTTAGGTTTTTATTTAAATTTAAAACCCTATAAGGCAACTTACTAACATGTAATAAGACCGTAAGCAATCATAAAATGGGTAAAATTAGTCGCCCTTGATGTTAAAAGAACCCCAACGGTTGTAAGAAAAGCTCCGCAAATCGAAACTTTTCGATATCCTAACTGTTTTAGTAACGGTCCGTTGATTATTCCACATAACATCATAAAAGCTGCGTTTGTATTGAGAATTAAAGCACTATCGGTTGCTGTAAAACCTAAATCTTGGAATGTATCTTTGTACATTAATCCAAAACCTTGCATTATCGGAATCGATACAAACTGAAAAAGAAATAATGGTTGAGAATTAATTAATTTATGGGAGTGATAATAAGTTGTTTATTATTATTACGAATGTAAATTTGAAATTTTTATTGGAAATTTGCATTGACTTTCTATGGTAATTGTGAGTTGCGTAAGTGTTTAAGAAATTGTAATCAGGAAGTTATTAGTGATTAGAAACACTTAAGATATAATTAATTTAATTAGAATTAATGATTTTGTGTGAAAATGAAAAATTATTTTCAGAATTTTTTGAATGATACAGAAATTTTATGACAACTAAAAATAAATTCAAAACACATGAGGTGATTCAAGGTTTAAAGAATAACAACGTTTCTGAAAACAACTCTCTTAAAAAAAAAGAATTTAAAAAAGATTGTCAAAACGTCCTTGAACCCAAATCGTTTAAACAAATTCAAATATGTTAATGCAACGAGACCACACAAAAAATCGTTTTTACTTATGTATGAGTACATATTCATTGTGTTGTTACGAAAACAAAAAAAAATTGTATTGTTGTTTTCATTTTGATTGTATAACTTATTTATTTTTACATACGTGATGAAGTGCGTGAGCTGCCATAATCATCCAACCCCAACCACCATTTGGTGGTTCCAATTTTTTGCAACTCATAGTTTATAAAATAAAACAATTTCCTTATCACATACACTTTAGCACCATTTGCATACGCTGTTTTCTGACCTATACTAAAACACTAAATAGAATTGTTTGCTCTAGTTAATGTGTTCTTTGCCAGAATGTGGTAACTCGGTATTTAGTGGCGGGGAGTAAATTCTATATATGTTTCCGGTTATATTTATCATTTTATTAACGATTTAACGTTATCAATTTTGTTATTAACCGATGAACAAGGTTAAATTATTGCAATAATAAATCTTTTTGGGATTAAGGATAAAAAATAAATTTATTGTGAATTCTAATTGTTTATGAGTTTATAAACAACTATTATTAGAAATAGAACAATAATGCCCTTCATGTGTCTTAGCAAACAATTATTTATTTACTTACATGATGTAATGCATAAGCAATCATAATTATCCAACCATATCCTCCATCAGGAACCACTTTTCTTTTTGTTGAATGCATTTCTTTTTTTTATCACAAAAATAAATAAATAAAATAAATATATCACAGCTTATTTTTTAAAAACAAAAACCGTGGAATATAAACGTTAAATCTGCGAAGATAGAAAATATATGAACCTCCAGACACTTTTCCTATCATTAAATAAAACGTATCTATAATCTTCGTGGTCTTATCTTAAAAATTATAGTGTCATAAAATTCCATCAATAAAAATCCACAAATATCGGATCGATCTTGTATTGATGAAAGATTTGAACGAAATGATGAAATAAAACTGGAAGCAACTTGTTAAAAACTAAAATAAATAACACTTATAATGATTTATAAATGTCGAAACGTGATTCTGCAAATTCTGGATTTCCTAGTAGATATAATAATGTTTTGTTTATAGGAAGGGGAAAAAATGAGTCGTCACTTTAAACATAACAAGAATTAAAGTACAAAATCATTAATTAAAGTAAAATGAGAATACTTAGTTTTTATTTTTTAAACAATATCGCTTCTTATCCTTGAGGTTTCCCGAACAATGTAACTTTTTGATTAAAAAAAACACATTTGTGTCTCAAAGTAGTACTTTAAAAGACAAGTGGTTATTTTAGTTGTCGATTTTTCAAACGACTGAACTTCGAAGTTGTTATCTAATAGTAGTAATTATATATCCATCACGCAATCTTAAAAAAAAAAAAACGATTTATCGAAATATATTTAGTGTAGTAATAAATCTCGGTATTGAATTAATTTTATATTATAAAATATAAAAGATTTGATTGATTCATTATTCGATTACGAAAGATAAAAATTCTTGGAAAATTTTAAAGTTCAAGTTCATTTAAATGTAAAACGGTGGTTTTTTGAAGAAGTACAAATTAAATTGTTAAAAAATAAACTGATAACATTAATCTTATAATTGTAACACAATTCCACGATCAAAACAATTACAAAACAAGTAGGGTAAAAAACATTTTATAAAAACACTCAACAATTTATTTATTTTTTATTGCAAATGATATTCTCGTGATTACGGCCTTGATTTGAACTTGTATTCTGTTGTAGTACAATTTTTTTACATACAATCACACAATCAATTATTAACATAACAATAGCATTAATAACAATAAATCGATGAAGAAACTTGAAAATGTTTCTTAAATAGATACAAAAAAATATAGAAATTCTTCATATTTGCATTATTAAGTTTCTAGTTACTCCCAACCTTAAAACTTTTTATCAATATGATGGGAAGAGTTATACAGAATTTTTAGACTTTACTCTTATTGAAATCTGATGGATTTTGTATCTCCCAAAAAAAATGTACCAAAGCCCAAGCAAATTATTCTTATAATACAACTTAATTTAGCATTGGGTTGATCGATTTGTGTTAGTCAACCTAAGTAACATAACTCTCTGTGTACTATTACGTCGTTATCTGTAACATCTTGTCCACTTAGATACTAGTTCTGTATGTAATTATTCCTGTCATTACCACTTTGATAACAAGTTGAAATCTCGTAAGTTGTTCAGTTTTCTCTTCATCTCTCCAAAGTTACTTTTTTGCGTGGACGCCTTAAAAATTTCGTAATCGAGAAGTATCTATAACCCAAACTATATAACTACAAATATAAAATAGATTGTTATTATGTAGGACTGAGAATGACCATATCGGACCAATATAGTGATTTGAAGTCCTAGAAGAGCACTTTGGAGAGTACTTTCTGGTTTTAAAGTACTCAGCAGCTACTGGATTAGGAATTGCTTCCCTGCTATATTATTCTGATCTCAATCTTTGTGACTCATTAGTGTAGCAATATCGTCGAACTCATTCTTTTTTAATAACACCAATATTAATGTGTGTTTGATCCTCTAGAGTCTTCTGATTTGGTATATACTGTCGATTCTGCATTGCTTGTTCCTGTTGCTAATTTTGTTAACTGCTGTTAGTAAATTTATTGGCGCTGATCTTTATCCACGCCCATTATAGCAGTATCGTCGACAAAAGTGGCAGGTAGAGGATTAGTCCTAGTACACTGGTTTCTGGTACCTCTGCATTAATTGATTTAAGGGAGAGATACATTTAGATCAAGATTTTTTTTCATTAAGATGCAATTAATTTCAAACATTTTGCCTGGTAGTCTGCAAATCCAGGACCATAGAAAAACCTTACTCAACATTCCTTCACGGTATAATTGACATTACAAAAGAAAACTTTTACTACAAATGTTGTAGCAAATTTTATTCTTAACAATATTGTTTTCTTGCACTTTTGTTCTTGGAAGTATAGATATCGAAAAAAATACGATAATATGAAAATTTGACAAATTTGTTCCTTTTTCAAATGATAGATGGTACTACTAAAGACTTAAGATGGTACATTAATGGAAAATAAGAGAGTAGCCATTTGGTTTACTTTGTCAAAAAAAATATTTTTTGAATACTACATCCGCCAAATGTCTTCCGTTACAATTTGTGCATTCTTGGAGTCTCTACGGTTAGGTAGGGAGTCCGTGAGGGCCAACTGATATCCCCATTTCAAAGCATTTACAGCAGTAGTATAGAAACGTCGATTCTTAACAGGAAGTTGCACCACAGCACCACATCCGCACCACATGACGTCATCAACCCAATATAAAAGGATAGGGAAGGGTACCAACCTAAGGATGAGGTGAAAAAAAAAGGTTGGTATTGGAAAAGACACCAGATCTAGTTACCAACCTATTTTTCCCCCCAAGCCTTTGGTTGACACCCCTCCCTATCCTTTTACATTGGGCGGATGACGTCACGGAGGTGCAACAACTTCCTGTCTAGAACCGGCGTTCATTGAAATTCTTGCAGTGTGACTTGTTGCCCCGTCTTGTTGAAAAAGTGTGTGTTCATTCACTGGAAAGCCTTCAAGTTGTAGTGTGAGAAAATTCTAAATCATTGCAACGTGTCGTACAGAATTAACGGTAACGGCATTTTCAGCATCATTCTCAAAAAAGTATGGACCGATGATTCCATTTGACGAAATGTTACCATTTTAAATGGCAAATCATACAGGTCTTCGCAAGTCGGCTACTTTCTTCCCCATCACTTCGCGGCGCGCTGTAAACCCTATCTTAAATCTTTTCTTTTCACTGCCGGACCCTGTATTTGTTTCTTTTTCAAGGTATTGATGGTAAGACTAAAGAATCGAAGCATGTTATAAAAAAAGTTTTGGAACAAAAGTTGTAGCAAATTTTGTTCTTAACAATACTGCTTTGTTGCACTTTTGCTCTCAGATGCAAACATATCGAGCAAAGCACAAAAATATGAAAATTTTATGAATTTGTTGCTGTTTTAAGTTATTAATGGTAACACTGGGGAATTGGAGCATATCATAAAGAAACTTTTAGAACAAAAGTTGTAGTAAATTTTCTTCTTAACAATACTGCTTTCTTGCATTTTTGCTCTTAGAAGTATAGATATCCAGAAAAATACGATAATATGAAAATTTGATAAATTTGTTTCTTTTTCAAGTGATTGATGGTACGACTAAAGAATCGGAGCATGTTATAAAAAATGTTTTGGAACAAAAGTTATAGCAAATTTTCTTCTTAATAATACTGCTTTCTTGCATTTTTGCTCTTAGAAGTATAGATATCCAGAAAAATACGAAAATATAAAAATTTGATAAATTTGTTTCTTTTTCAAGTAATTGATGGTACGACTAAAGAATCGGAGCATATTATAAAAAAAGTTTTGGAACAAAAGTTGTAGCAAATTTTCTTCTTAACAATACTGCTTTCTTGCACTTTTGCTGTCAGATGCATACATATCGAGCAAAACACAAAAATATGAAAATATTATGAATTTGTTGCTGTTTTAAGTTATTAATGGTAGCACTCGGGAATTGGAGCATATCATAAAAAAAACTTATAGAACAAAAGTTGTAGCAAATTTTCTTCTTAATAATACTGCTTTCTTGCATTTTTGCTCTTAAAAGTATAGATATCCACAAAAATACGAAAATATGAAAATTTGATAAATTTGTTTCTTTTTCAAGTGATTGATGGTACGACCAAAGAATCGGAGCATGTTATAAAAAAAGATTTGGAATAAAAGTTGTAGCAAATTTTCTTCTTAACAATACTGCTTTCTTGCACTTTTGCTCTTAGAAGTATAGATACCGAGAAAAATACGATAATATGAAAATATCATATATTTGTTTCTTTTTCAAGGTATTGATGGTAAGACTAAAGAATCGGAGCATGTTATAAAAAAAGTTTTGGAACAAAAGTTTTAGGAAATTTTCTTCTTAATAATACTGCTTTCTTGCAGTTTTCTTCTCAGATGCTTATATTTTGAGAAATTCGTAAAAATATGAAAATTTTATGAATTTGTTGCTTTTTCGTTATTAATGGTAACACTCCAGAATCGGAGTATGTTATAAAAAAAATTTTGGAACAAAACTTGTAGCAAATTTAATTCTTAACAATATTGTTTTCTTGTATGTTTTCTCTCAGATGCATATATATCGAGAAAAATACAAAAATATGTCCCCCCTCTGCGCCAAAAAGTTTTGAAAATCGGTACATTAAGTCATATCTCAAGATCAGGTTATCTTTTATATCAGTAGATTTACCCATTGTTATTCATTATTGCGAATTAATTTGTTTCATGGAAAATTTGAATACCTCATTATAAGGAATGACTTGCATCCCCCTCGTGTGTTTAGTATAAAAATTCAAAAATAATCATTAAAATACTCTAATAATAATTTGAACATTTTAATTTCTTTTTATTTCCATGATTCATACTAAAAATAAATAGAAAATTTATTTTTAAAAGTTGATAATCTCTCGACGTAGATTAAAAATAATTTACGCATCATAACAGATTCATTATACCAACAAATTTTAACATAATATTTCACAATGTCGCATAAAAACATTTTTTGGTACATAAAAAAATTAAAAACGTGACTTTACTCATCACATTTATTCAACAATAAATTAGTTAATTACATAACTCATAAGAACATACGCAAACATAATAAATAAATGTGTCATGTCTTTCCGTTATCACTCATCACTTTGTTCTGTTTTTTGTACTTTACGTACAACATTTCCACCGTCCACATTAAAAACGTGGCGAATGTTACTGCGTTTATCACGTAGATACAATTACGATAATTTCCACTTAAATCTCGAATATAACCTAAAACAAAAAATAATTAAGTGTTTTAATTTAAAAGAATTACTTTAATTTACCAATAACGGGTCCTCCAGCTAAAACAACAATCCCATTTACAGTCATTTGAATTCCAGCGGCAGCTGCAAATCTTTCAATTGGGACATAACTCGGAATAACCAAGGAATAATAAACAGTTCTAAATCCTTTGGCTATTCCAAGAGTTGCAGCTATAATCAGAAGTTCTTTGTATTCGCCGGTTAATAATAAAGCTAAAAAAGATGGTTTATAAAAATTATTTTCTCACAAAATAGTAATAACTCACCAAATCTCGTAACAATTAAAAGTATCATTGAAACTAAATACATAACTCGATGAGATTGTTTTAAAAGATCGCCAATAAATGGAGCGCAAAATCGAAAAATGATGTCCAAAATAGAAATTACCGACATAAAAGTGGCGATTTGAGGAACGGTTAAATTGTAATCCCCCAAAATAAACGGTGTTAAAACGGAAAAATTCATTTCTGCGAAAATTGCGAAAGACATTCCAAACATAATGTTGAGATAAATTGGATCTTTAAGTAATTTTAAATCGAACATTTCCGTGATGTTATGTCCGATTCGTTTTAAAAGTGATTGCTTTTCTTTCTTTTTAACATCTTTTGATTTATCTTCTGTTTCATCTTTTTGAGATTTATCATTTTCTTTGTTTGGATTAAGCGGTTCTTTTTCTGCCCTTTCATTTTCTTCAAGAATTTTTGTACCACTTAAAGATTCCATTGATTTTTTTAATGATTTTCTTCTCCTTTGTGAAGAAACCGACGATAATCTTTGTCTTTCCTCTAAAATATATTTTAAAATAAATTGAATTATAATTTTGTTTCAATTTTTACCGTTTAAAGACCACATGCTTCCCGATAAATTTGAATCCAAGGCTATTGCAGCTTCAGTTTCAACATTTTCTTTTTCTTTTTTCTCTTCATCTTTTTCTTCATCAATAATTTCATCTTTCATGTGCCATTTAACTGGTTGTAAAAGAAATGCGCTAATAAATGAATGGGATACAATCCCACCTAAAATTGTCATCGCGCCTTGAACTCCATAAGAAAATAAGAGGAAGCTGATGAATTGAGGCATTAAAACTGGCCCTAACCCTGCTAATGTCATCCCTAAACCCGTTGCTTTACCTCTTCTTGTTGTGAAATAAGAATTGAGGGCTAAAGAATACGATGACATTCCAATTCCCATTCCGATTGCTATTAAAAAAAGGATTGTTTTGTTAGATGAACTTGTTATTTGTTATGATTCCGCTTAAAAAAATGTTATCGCCGAAGATTAAGATAGTTTATAGAAATAAATCTATTTTTATCGACGGTTTTATTTCCTGATTGAAAAATAATAACTTACTAACATGTTATAAGTCCGTGGGTGATCATGAAATGTTTAAATTTCGTTGCTCGAGATGTTAAAAGAACACCTGTCGTTATAAAGGTGGCTCCAATTAATGAAACTTTTCGAAATCCTAATTGTTTCAATAAAGGACCCATAATTATTCCGATTAACATTGAAAAAGCTGCACAACTATTTAAAATCATTGAGATTTCGGTTGCTGTAAATTCTAAATCTTCGAAGGTTTCTTTGTAGATTAAACCAAAATTTTGCATAATTGGTATGCAGAAAAACTAAGAAATTTATTAACTTTAATACATTTTTTTGATTGTATAAAGAACTTACATGGTTCATTGCATAAGCAATCATAATAATCCAAGCATATCCTCCATCTGGAGGAACTTTTTTCGTCATAACACTCATAATTAAAAAGAAAAACTAATTATCACTTTAATCACAATTAAATTATAAACTATAACTTTATATCTAAAACACGATGTTTTAGACTTGGAGGGAACTTTGTTAATATTAGTCAGAAAGCTAATAACACTCTTTTATACGTTTTAGCGATGAAGTTATTTATCTACAATTTTATCTGTGCTACTCTTATACTCCTCAAAAAAATGATAAAAAGTAAAACTCGGGGATTGTGAATCAGATAATAATTGCTGTTTAATCAACTCATTTTCTGTTTAAATAGTTACTTGCAATATTAAAATGCGGCGAAATGATTAATAAATAATTCTCATTTATTTATATTTTTTAAAAGAAAAACAAATAGCAATTAATTTATCACATCATTAAAGTTAATTACAAAATTACTTGAGATTGAGTAAAAAAAACGCAAGTAATAATTATTCGTTAAAATTTCTTATCTATTTTTTGATAATTTGATTAATCGGCTCCTCTGAGATTTTAGATAAATTCTTGGGAACCTTCATGACAATTTTTGAGTGTCTTATATAAGTTGTTTCTGAATTAAAAATAAATTAACTGAATAAAGAAACATTGATCATTAAGGAATAAAAATTAAAGAAAAAACACGTTTAAAAATAGAATTTATTTATTATTGTAATAAATAATAATTATAATAAATTTTTTTTATCACGTTTGCTTTTTGTATCGCATGTATAAAAGTTCAATGCTCCACATAACGAAAGCTGTAAACGTCATTAAATTTATGACGTAGATGCATTTTATGTAACTTCCGGTTATATCCCGAATTAAACCTACAAAAAAAAAGAAATTATTAATAATAAAGCAAAAATTAAATTTAAAATTTATTTATGTACATTTAAAAGATAAATAGAAGTAATGTGGAGAGAACTTTGCTGACATTACCTAAAAGATGATTTAACAACAATTGATTTCATTCATGTCCTTACCAATATGGTATAGTAAAATAAAAGCAGTATAAGGCAGGATATTAAAAATCTATTACTTAGTACTCCACCATTCACAGGAATTAGGTTTGTCATTAGCAACCTCATTGCAAGAATCCTAATACGATATATAAAATCTCTTGTTGCAGTTTCGTCTAGTTTTCTTCTCTTCACTTGTAATTCATCACCACATTCATTACTAACAGAACTGTCGCTGTTATCACTTTCGGTTATTAATTAAAGTATCCTCTTTTTAATGCAAGAAGCCGTTTTGAAGCATCACTTTCAGTTCTTGAGAAATAAATTTTGACTAGTTATGTAATAAAAATTCGTATAAAATCCATTTCTTGGAATATGAGTTTGAAATTTTTTTAAAGTGTTAATAAGAGTGGTCTCTCTCCAATAAACCAACACGTTTTGAAAAATAGCTTTTAGTTTTTGAAAAAACAATATTTGAAGTTTTGATAAAATTTGCGATGTTGCAATTTTCATCGATAATTTTCAAAATTCGCTATAAAATTAATTTCTTGAAGGATCCTTGTGGAAATATCACCAATTATTAATTAAAATGTCCTCTTTTTAGAGTTGCTTCGTTAATTAAAGCATCAAAAAAATTCATTTTGTATCTTGGATTCAAATAAGTTGACAAAATCACTATCCATTCCATCACTACTTCATAGTATTAATAGCCATTAATGTCCTAAAAGCAGTTATTAATAAGCGGAAGCAGAGTACCATTGGTATCTCATACACCCTAAATGCTTATTGACCGGAAATGTAGACAGAACTAGTTCTATATAATTTAATAAAGTATCCCTGATTATCCAGGGAAAGGATAAACCTTTCTGGTAGCCAGCAGTAGTAGTCAAACAGTATATAGCCTTCCTTTAGCAGTATCTAGTACTCAGCCAACAGTAACTAGTAGTCTATAAAAAATGAAAATCTAGTATTTCACTGTTAGTATCTTTAGTATCTATCTTTTGCCAGTAGTGTAGACTTGACTTGCATACTCTAGAAGGTAAGAAGTATCTAGCCAAGAGTATCTAGTCCACCGCCAAGAGTATCTAATGTTCTGCCACCTGTATCTACGCTTCCGTCGCCATTAAAATTTGAACTAAGCGTTTAGAAGGATCTTTTTATTACAATCACGAAATTTTTATGAACCTATGTCTAAATTCATGTTAAAATTAATGGTACCAAGTCCTATGCTCTGTTATCATTGATACTATACTTTATGCAACACAATTACACATAGATTGTGTTTTAGACATGGTTCAAATATGTACAATATGTGAATTATGTCACATCAAAGTTATGTCTATCTATTTTTTTAGAATAATTTAAAAGAATTGTTAATTAAAAAGAAAAAGATATAAACCATGCGGGGAGATGTACGTTCCGTCCAATCGGACTGGTGCGTGTTCCAGACTAGACGTCGCGTCTTTATTTCTTTATGTAGGTAAAATAAAGGCGCGACGTCTAGTCTGGAACACACTAGCACCATCTTGTTCGATTAAGAGAAACAAACCCTCCTTATACTGAAATCTTATTCCATCCCGTTCAGAAATTGTTGATAATCAAAATTTTCATTAAATTATTTGCAAGTACGATATTTGAAATTATGATCTTCAGATTTCTTCTGCTAATTCTTCCTTAATAAGACAAAGAATCGTAATGGAAACCATAGCAATCTTATTATTCCTTCTATCTTGTATCTTATTCTCTTCGTTTCAATAGCAGTATTTATTATCATCTCACTTATTTTATTTTTTTATAAATAAAAATGAGACTTTAAGCCCTCGTAACCTTTGAAATATTGTCTTAAAATACCTGATACGAAAGATATGATTATTTTTTGAGATTACTCATCGACAATGACCATAATATTTTGTTGTATTGATGGTCAAAACATTCATTCAAATCCACGTATACAAAAAAAATCTAAATAATTTTTAAATTTTAGTCTTATTAAACTTATTTTAATTATATTTGTTTAAATAAACTTGTTTTATGATTTATTTCTATTGTAGCTCGCGAATAAGAATAAAATGCATATAAATGATAAGATTTCTATAGAAGTAAATAAGATTTTATAGTTTAATTACACACCTATAAGTGGTCCACCTATCCAAATAAAAATTCCGTTCATTGCCATTTGCATTCCCATCGCAGGAGCTAATCTTTCGATGGGAACGTAACTTGGAATTACTAAAGTTGAATAAACGGTTCTAAAACCACGTGCAATTCCTAAACCGGCCGCTACAATTAGTAGTGGATAATAATTTGTTGTAGCTAATAAAGCTTGAATAAAAAAATATTAAAATAAAATAGATTTTGTTTAAATTAATTTAAACTTACCAAATCTGGATACAACCAATAAAAATAACGATAATAAATATTGTATTCGATGCGATTGACTTAAACATTCACCAATATACGGTGCTAAAAATCGAAAACATATGTCAGTACAAGAAACTACAGACATAAAAGTAGCGATTTCTTGCGTTGATAAATTGTAATCGCCAATTATAAACGGAGTGAGCATTGAGAAATTGATCTCCGCAAAAATTGCTAAAGACATCCCAATCATGATATTAACATAAACTGGATCTGTTAATAATGATAAATCGAAAGTATCTATAATAGTCCGTCCGATTTTCCAAAAAATCGATTTATCTTTCTCTTCTTTTATTACTTTTTGATTTTGTTCTTTTAAAGGTTCGATTTCTTCGACCATGTTTCCATCGGCATCGTATAATTTTATTTTAATATCGGGAATATCAGATTTTTCTGATAAAGTTAACGATGCTTGTCTTTGATAGGATTCTAAGATTAAAAAAAAATATAATAAATATAATATTTCGTTACAAATTGTGTTTTTGATTTTATTACAAACCAGCGATTGATTTTAGACTTTGAGAAAATGCTGAATCTAAATTAAACATGGCTTCTATCTCGATATCTTTTGATAATTCCCTAGATATTTTTCTCCTTGGTGTTCCAATTTCAAATCTTGATTCTTCTAAAATTTCTAATCTTTTAACATTTTCTGGATTATCATCATCTTCGCTGTCTTCGGTGTTAATTTGTTTATTTTCTTCTTTGGGTTCTTCGGTTATTTCTTTTAAGTGTTTACGAACTGGTTGTAATAAACAACTACTAACAAATGTGTGAGCATTTATCCCCCCTATTATAATCATAGTCCCGGTTACTCCATAAGAAGATAATAAAAAACTTATAACTTGAGGCATAAAAATTGGCCCCAACCCTGCTATTGTCATAGTATAACCAGCAGCTTTGCTTCTATTTTTAACAAAATAATTATTTAAAGCCACCGGATAAGCTGCTAAACCTAATCCCATTCCGAAAGCTAAAACAAAATAAATTTACACCAAAAATTTCATTAAAAATATTAATTTTACCAGTTATAAAACCATAAGTGACCATAAATTGGATAAAAGTATTTGCAAAACCCGTTAAAAGAATTCCTGATGTGAGAGAAAAAGCTCCGAAAACTGCCACTTTCCGAAACCCAAAACTTTTTATTAAAGGACCAGCTATGATTCCGCACAACATTGAAAAAGCCCCGCATGTGTTTAATATTAATCCGATTTCGGTTGCTGTAAAATGTAATTCCTCGAATTTATCTCGATAAATTAAACCGAAACCTTGAAGTATTGGAATAATCATTAACTAAAAAAATAAGTACCTCAAAGTTATATTAGTGTTAGTTATAATCAAAAAAATACTTACATGATGAAGTGCATAAGCTGTTACAATTGCCCAACCATATCCACCATCAGGAGGTACTTTTTTCGTTAAAACCGTCATGTTATTTAAAAAAACCAAACACTTTTATCCATAAAATAGCCTCAAAAATAAATTTTGATGACCGAATAAATCGAAATAAATAAATTATCACTTAAATCTCAATTTATTTCGTTATTTTTAAAGATAACGTTTTATCGATGCTATTCACTAACAATAATCGGTTGTACTTGTTGCATCACGAGTAATAGCAATAATTATCTTTACTGCATTCACATTATTCCGGATTAGATTTTAAATGCATAAAATGCTCGAACAAAACGTAACGTTTTCAATGCTATTTTATCTTAAAAGCACTCATCATTTTTAATACAACTGATAACGAAATAAACTAAACTGTAGAATTATTATTAACAAACTGAGTCTTTTCATGAGTTGTTGTTTATGATTTCGTTTCCTTCTTTATTTCTTTGATAAGTCATAATTTGTTATCGAGTTGTTTTTTAGATTTAATTTTAATTTAAGGGATGAAATAAAAGTGTCAAATTTATTATTGTTACAAAATATATTTAAACTAATTTGTACTCAAAACAAGACAAGTATTTATTATTTATCATTTAAATCTAATTAATTAAAAATATCACATATCGAATGTTACGAAAAATATTATTTTCTAATATTTCTTAAAAACTTTTCTCCCAGCCAAGCAACTGCTGTTGCATATGTTAAAATGTTTAATAAATGTAATGTTACAACGTAATTATTTACTGAATCTCTTATCCAACCTAAAACAAAAAACAAAAGTTATTTATTAGTTGGGTTGAGGTCAAATTTCTGTTAGATAACAAATTACGTATAAATAAAGAATCATTAAAATGTATTGCAATTTAATTTATTGAAATGTTGTAAAGATATGCAACCTTAAAGTCAAAATTATTTTATTTTAACCTCATAAGGTTGTTATGATTAAATTAATTGAATATGTTGCATAATTTTGCCACACCAATCCATATCAATTAATGACGTATGCACGTGCATCATAGAAGTCATAGAAGTGTACTCTCACAGTCACATATACGCTTTGATTTCTATATTTTGCTCAGTATGCATTATTTGATCACGATGCCATTTTTTAGAGTTAGATCTTCTCTAGCCTTTTATAAAGAAGATTTAATCTTCCACTGGTAGTACTTACTCTTTGCAACCAACATGTAGACATCTGCAAGCAGTATCTACTCTTCTATTTCTTTCATTAGCGGTATCTGGTGTTCTTCCAACAATATCTAGATTTCTGCTATCAGTAAGTGGTCTTTAGCCAGCAGAATAGGGTCTTTTGAAAACACGTCTTGTATAAAGAGAATGTTGACTTGTAGTAGTAGTATTAAATCTTCTGCTAGTAGTAATTACTAGTGATGGAACGGATAGTGATTTTGCTTTGGGATATTTTCATACTCATATTCCAAAAACTGGATTTTATACGAGTTTTTAAAACTTAATCGGCGAAAATTGCAAAATTCGAAAAAATTGTCGATCATTTCAAAAATTTATTTCTCAAGAACTGAAAGTGATTTTTCAAAACGGCTTTTTGCATTAAAAAGAGGACACTTTAATTAATAATTGGTGATATTTCCACAAGGATGCTTCAAGAAATTAATTTTATAGCGAATTTTGAAAATTATCGATGAAAATTGCAATATCGAAAATTTTATCAAAACTTCAAATATTGTTTTCTAAAAACGAAAAGTTAGTTTTCAAAACGGGTTGGTTTATTGGAAAGAGGACACTTTTATTAACGTTTTGTCAAATTTTCAAACTCATATTCCAAGAAATGGATTTTATACGAATTTTTAAAACTTAATCGCCGAAAATTGCAAAATTCGAAAAAATTGTCGATCATTTCAAAAATTTATTCCTCAAGAACTGAAAGTGATTTTTCATAACGACTTGTTGCATTAAAAAGAGGACACTTTAATTAATAATTGGTGATATTTCCACAAGGATGCTTCAAGAAATTAATTTTATAGCGAATTTTGAAAATTATCGATGAAAATTGCAATATCGAAAATTTTATCAAAACTTCAAATATTGTTTTCTCAAAAACTAAAAGTTAGTTTTCAAAATGAGTTTGTTCATTGGAAAGAGGACACTTTTATTAACACTTTGGGATATTTTCATACTCCTATTCCAAGAACTGGATTTTATATGAATTTTCAAAACTTAATCGGCGAAAATTACAAAATTGTCGATCATTTCAAAAATGTATTTCTCAAGAACTGAAAGTGATTTTTCAAAACGGCTTTTTGCATTAAAAAGTGGATACTTTAATTAATAATCGAAAGTCATAATAGCTATAGTTCTGTTAGTAATGAATGTGATGAATTAAAAGCGAAGAGAAGAAAACTAGACGAAACTGCAACAAGAGATTTTATCTACGACTGCTTGGATAAGTCATCATTACCACACTCATTTGAGGTGATTTGAGTTACGTAATGAAGTTCATTACCGCACTGATTTCATTACGCAACGCATTTTTAGCCCAATCAGAACANGGACACTTTAATTAATAATTGGTGATATTTCCACAAGGATGCTTCAAGAAATTAATTTTATAGCGAATTTTGAAAATTATCGATGAAAATTGCAATATCGAAAATTTTATCAAAACTTCAAATATTGTTTTCTCAAAAACTAAAAGTTTTTTTTCAAAATGGGTTTGTTCAATGGAAAGAGGACGCTTTTATTATTATTTTATACGAATTTTTAAAACTTAATCGGCGAAAATGTCAAAATTCGAAAAAATTGTCGATCATTTCAAAAATTTATTTCTCAAGAACTAAAAGTAATTTTTCAAAACGGCTTTTTGCATTAAAAAGAGGATACCTTATTAGTCGAAATTGATAACAGCTATAGTTCTGTTAGTAATGAATATGATGAATTAAAAGCGAAGAGAAGAAAACTAGACGAAACTGCAATCAGGGATTTTATCTACGACTACTTGAATAAGTGCATCATTACCACACTCATTTGAGGTGATTTGAGTTACGTAATGAAGTTCATTACCGCACTGGTTTCATTACGTAACGCATATTTAGCCCAATCAGAACAGAGTTAATTTATTGAAATGAGCAAGAATACAAAAGAAAAAGTGCTACCTATTTAAAAAAAAAATAATTCTATTTATTATAAACATTAATTGTTATGTTTTTACATTTCGAAACATTTATTCCAGATGAGTAAACATGTTATTGAAACTGACATTAGTTCAAAATTGTCAACAATCATTTCAGAATAGTTTTATAAATGTCAAAATATAGACCTTTTTAAAGAAATAGATTTTTAAGTCATTTTTAGCAGTCGTAGATAAAATGTTGTATATCACACGTGGGCTAGAGCATAATTACAGTACTCGTGTGATTAAACCACTCGGTCTACAACCTCGTCGTGCAATTTTCCACACTCGTACAGTAATTATGTTTCTAGTCCACTTGTAATATAAATAACTATTATATATCGTGTTGGAATTGTTATAATGAGGTTGCTAATGACAAACCTGATATAAATATAATAGTCGCCGGATATCCGTTCCACCACTAGTAATTACCTTTCTGTAAGCAGTAAGAAATTTTCTGCAAACACCATATAGTCTTCCTTTAGCAGTGTCTAGTACTCAGTCAGCAATAACTAGTCGTTTATAAAGAAAATCTAGTATTACATTGTTAGTATCTTGTCTACTCTTCGAGCACGCAGTATCTAGACTTGTATCAACAGTATCAAGTCGTCATTAAAACGTCATTAAAATCTCAACGAAACGTTCAAAAACATCTTTCCATTACAATCACGAAATTTTTATGAATTACATTTTATATAATACATTACTTTAATTTTTACTTACCTATAACTGGTCCCATTACAAGAAATAAAAGTCCACTCGTTGCTAATTGAAGACCAGAAGCTGCTGGTAACTTTTCTAATGGCACATGACTTGGAATAACTAAAGCCATAAAAACGGTTCTTAACCCCTTTCCAAAACCTATTATAACAGCTACTAATATTGACCATTGATAAGTTTGAGTATGAACAAGAACTAAAAAAAAAACGTTAATTAATCTAAAAAGTTATTTTATTATTTTTCTCATACTTATCCTTCCAAATGCCATGCAAAGAACGCCAAAAAGAAAAAATGATTTATTTTCCCATCCAATTCTGTCGGCTAATAACGGTACGATAAATCTTACAACAATGTCACTAGCGCCTAATAAAGACATGAAAGTGGCGATTTGATAATTTTCGAAGTGGAATTCTTTAAGTACGAATGGTGTTAAAATTGAAAAATTTAACTCGACGAAATTAGCTATGGTTATTCCTAACATAAGATTAACGTAGACGTAATCTTTAAAGAGATTCAAATCGAAGAACATAGAAAGTTTTTGCAAAAATGTATAATTTTTCTCATCTCCTTCCTCTTTAGAAGTTTGTTCTTGTACCTCTTTAAGTTTACGTAAATCCTCTTTTCTTTGTCGTTCTTTGGCTTGGATATCTTTGAACTCTTTGTAACGTTCCAATTTTTGAGCCGCCGTTTTTAAAACGACTTTTTCATTGGGGTAGAGATCGTTTTTTCCGTTTTTACTTTTTTCAACGTTTTCGTTCAACAACAATTTTTTTTCTTCTTCTTTTAGATCTTGTGGTGCTTTTTCAGTTGGGCAATCTTCTGCGTCGTGTTCTTGAATGATTGGCCCACCGGGTTTTTTCTTTTTAATTTCTGTTAAATTTGTATACGAAGATTTTTTCGACATTGCAACGGATGTTTGTCCGGATGCCAAACGAGATCTTCCTCTGCTCGATGCTAAAGACATCCTTGAACCGCGTAAAGAAGATTTTCTCGAGTACCAACCATCGTTTGCGTAGATTAACATTGGGGTTCCTGGATCAACCATATCAAAACCGCAGGAAAATCTTTCGTCGTCGTTGTCGAAGTATTGGCTGCTTAAAAGTGATTTTGATTTTTTATGTTTTCCGTCGAAGAATCCTGATTCGCCTTCGGTTAATTTTTGCCCTTCCTAAAGTTTTTTTTGATTTTTATGGATTAAAATAAAATTAATTTGAATTACTTCTCTAAACGTTGTGTGCCAATGAACGGGTTGTAATAATAAAGCACAAGCTATTGCATGCATGGAAAATCCTGCGAAAATTCCCAACGTTCCTTCCATTCCATAAAAACCCATTAAATAATTGATGATGTATGGACAAACGATGGGGCCAACCGCTGTTGTTGTCCATGATAACCCTGTAGCAATTCGCCTTTTTCTCCGGAAATACGTGTTTAAGGCTAAGGCGTTTGATGATTGCGTAATTCCTAATCCAGCACCTAAACTATCAGGATTATAGATTAAATTTATAATTAATTGTTGATGATGTTTCTTACCATAAATTATCGAGTACAAAAGTAAATACATCCAAACTGTGTTTGCAAAACATGTTAAAACTAGCGAGATTGATATTAAAATTGAACCAAAAAATGCATATTGTCTGTAGGAGTATTTTCTAAAAACTGGTCCATTTAGAAGTCCTAAAAAATGTTTATTTTATAGCGTTTTTATGATTCAAACAATTTAAATTGAATACACTAAGGTTATAATATTTTAGTGTTTAATGGGATGATTAGCGACTCATAGTGTTAAGTGACGGCAATAAATTGCGATGAATGATGTAATTTTTGTGTATTTATCACGTGTAAAGTGAGTGATCAATAATATATTTAGTAAGTTATAAGTTTTTCTTTAAATACAATAAAACTTTGATATAATGGACTAATATGGGTCCATTATAGCCAAAAGTCCGTTATGTGAAAAATTTGCACACAAATTTAAGCAGGTATCAACACCGTTGCGTTCTTTATTAATTAATTCTACATTTAGTTCAATAAAAATATACAAGAATCTAGCACTCAATAACAACTAAAACTAGACTTAGAATTAGAAACATTCGGGTTTAACCGTGTATCTGAAGAGAAGAAAAATTTCGTGATTTTAATTGTTTCTAAACGTTTAGTTCAGATTTTAATGACGTTTTAATGGTAACAGAAGTTTTGCGGTGGACTGGATACTATTGGTTTAGGTGTAGATGCTGTTCGATACTGTTAATACAAAAACAGATACTGCTTGCTCGAAAAGTAGATAAGTCAAGTGTGCACTGCTGGCAAAAGACAAAATACTACCAGTGAAATACTAGAGCTTCGTTAAGACGACTATAAAAAGAATTTACTGCTGGTTGAGCACTAGATGTTCTTACAGGAAGACTATACACAGTTTGCAGAAAGGTAAATATTGCTGGCAGAAGGCTAAACACTACCATTGCAAGCCAACATCTTCCATATAGAAGACCTGCTGACAAAAGTTTGCTAGTAAAAGAGTATATACTTAGAACATCAGATACTGTTAACGGAAAACTGGATACTTCTAATTGAAGACTAGATACTGCTTGTAAAAGACTAGATATTTCTGCCAAAAAGCAAAATACTACCAACAGAAAACAAAATTCGCTGTATAGAATACTAGAAACATGATTTTTTTGAAATTCCAATCTATTTTAAATATCTATCTTGCTTCCACAATGTATCTCTATACAGTTTGCTTCAAGACAATAAGGTATATAATCTAAAACATCTGTGCATTAAGTCTTCACCATGTTTCTATCAAGTGCAGTTTATACAGAGTGTAGTCTCCATCTAGGCTGCATCTTATTTCTCTCCGGTCTGCATTAATACTGCTTTGGACGTGCATTATTATTATTATTGCTGCCGGTGGAGCAGCCCCTAACGAGTGGGGCTGCTCCCCTCAGCCCAGTAACGAGCACCTACAGGTACACACTAACGGTGCAGTAATGAGCACCTACAGGTGCTCGTTACCGCGACCTGTAGGTCTTTGATGAACCTTAGTATTGCCCTGAGGTCTTGAACATTTATGTCGGTAGGTGTCGACAGATTTTTACCGAAAATTTTCTGTCTTAGACGGCCTCTGGCGACGCAATTGTACAGTATATGTTCAGCTGTTTCTGACTCGTCGTTACAAAGTCGACAGGTTTGATCCTCAACTTGTCCAATGTGGAAGAGGTGGTGTTTTAGGGGCGCATGGCCAGTCAGGTAACCTGAGGTTTTATGCCTCAGCGAAGGGGATCTAAGGACGCATCTTATCCCTGCTTCTAAATATGACCTTATACGGCTGGTTGAAATTATATTCTGTCGGTATAAGGTTCGTTTTTAATTTCAATCAGGTGATTTAAACATGGGTCCTTGAGAATTTCGAGGTGTCCTCTGAGGTTGCCCTGCATCAACTTGAGTGAAAAAACTATTTTCAGTGATAAGGCACTTGAAGCTGCCTCCTTTTGTATATACAGGGTGTTTTATGAGGAATGGTACATTAATATGTTATAGATATGTTCATTTTAAGCAGAAAAGTTCCTAAAAACATGTGCTCAATTCTCAAAGGTAACTTTTTGCATTAACTGGCTGTATCTCAGTTACCTTTGAGAATTGAGCATATGTTTTTAGGAACTTTTCTGCTTAAAATGAACAAATCGAGTACAAAATGAGCGGTGTGAGACCGAGTACGCTAGATTTGTGCCAGCTGTTGTTGTGCTGTCTTATGTATTATTTTTGGCCACCAAACCAATGAGGCGTAGGCGACCATGGGTCTGATTATTGCTACGGCCCAATGAGCCATTCGTGGTTTAAGACCCCAGTTCCTCCCTAGGAGCCTGCGGCAGATCTGGTTTTCCATGGCGGCCTTTTTCCTCACCTTGTCTAAGTGTGAGTTTCAGTTTAGTTTACTGTCTAGTATTGCCCTTAGATATTTAACTTCTGTTGTGAGGTTAATAGTTCTGCTTTAAATGGAGTATTTCGAATTTATTTGGATTGATGCTGAGCCCATTGCTTCTACACCAAGTACTGGTGAGTAGTAGAGCTTTCTGCATTAGTTGAGTTATGATTGTATCATATTTACGTTGGATTGGGATTACCAGATCATCAGCATAACCCTGAATCTTGAATCCGTTTTTTATTAGGATGTTCATCAAGTACCAGCCACCATAATAGCACTCCCCCTTTGGGGCATCGTCTTAGCGCCTTTATAGTCAACGACTCGCCTCATGGCTATACACCATTTGATTGTTGACGGATATATATCTTTTACGTTTAGAGCCTTCTCTGTCTATGAAAGCACATAGGGCTATCTCTTTGGTTGCAATTGCCTCCTCTAAAGTGCTAGTCAAAGCATGGAGAGCAGTAATTGATTTTGCTTTCTGGTAAGCATGTTGGCTAGGGTGGAGTGGATTTTTGACAAGCACTCCATTCCTAAGGTATTGATCGATTACCTTTTCCATCCCTTTGAGGAGAAATGAAGTTAGGCTAATTGGTCTGTATCCCTTGGGCGTTTGAACGCCTACCACCTTTACTTTCCTGCATAGTGTGGGTATATAGCTAAGGCTCTAGCTAGCTATATATAGGGATATTATTACTGGGAGCAGGTCTTCTAAGCCTTTTTGCAGAAAAATAGGCTGAATTCCATCTCCTCCAGGCGATTTTAGAGGATTTTTTGAAATTAGAAATAGCCCACCTTACTCTGTTGGGTTAACTGTTTGGACGTGCATGAATACGCTAGAAGATAGAAGGTCCTTGCTGAATACTAGATACTGTAGGCAAAAGACTAGATGCTGTTTACAGAAGATTACATACAGGTAGTAGAAGAGACTAGATATTGCCGATGGAAAATACGTATTGATAGAAGCCTGGATACAGATGGCAGAATTTTGGATACTATTATCTAACAGAATAGAAGTCTAGATACTGTTTGCTCGAAAAGTAGGTAAGTCTAGTCTGCACTATTAGCAAAACATCTGAAGACGCACGGCTAAACCCGAAACTTTCTAATTCTAGTTCTAGTGTTAGTTCTAGTTTTAGTTCAATGAAAGTTGTTCCCATTAAATTTCTATTTATTTAATTTGAGTTATAAAAACACCACCTTACATGAATTGAACATTAATTTAGCAACACCTCGTAAATTATAGAAAGATAACAAGTAGGTGCCACTTCATAGCGGTTGAAACCACATTCAAAATAAAAAAAATATACAAGTATCTTAAATCTCTTTGATCTGATCTGATTGTGAGTAGATTAAATAAAATAATTAATTCTTACCGATACATGCTGTAGCTGCTGAGTTTAAATTAATAATCGTGGTCGTTTCAGGATTAGTAAAATCTAATCTTTGGAATTTTTCCCTGAATATTAACCCAAATTGTTGTAACATAGGAAAAGTACTCAACTTTAACAAAAAAAAACTTATTAAAGAATAAAAATTAGAAAAGTATCAATACTTACATTACTAAATCCACAAGCTAAAAGAATTAACCAACCCCATCCCCCATCCGGGGCTATAAAATCAGGATCTGTAACTCTGTATCTTCTCCTTTTTGGTTGATTACAGTGATCGATTTTTATTTCTGGTACTTTCAATGTTTTATCCATTTTTGTTATATTATTTCAGGATTTTCAAAATAATCGCACGTGGTGATTTCTAATCATTAAAGTTGTAATCATGAATTCCATACAAACGAACTTGACACAAAGGTCAACAAATTATAGCTGATTCGAAATAGTTTTATCAAAATTAAAGAAAAAACTTTGATCCGTTTTGATATCCTGGTTTGAGTTATTTAAAAATAAAAATAAAATCGCTTAATTTTAATTTTAAACAAAGAAATGAGGCGGTTTCAAAACGAGTTGTTTCAACAAAGCTATTGTTCCATAAAAAAGTTAATGATATACTATTAAAAAACCAAGATCTTTTTGCTACTTTTAGTATTAAATTAAAAAATTTACTTACTTTAAAGGTTAATTGATGATATTTATGATATTTTCATATTAAAGAAAGATAAGCACGTTGTAAATTTGTTGTAATTATATACAGACAGCGAGACGATCACTTAATCACAACTGCATCGCATGAATCCGCAGACTTAACTGAGGAGAAGTTACAGAAAAAAATAGGCAGGAATCATTGATAACGACAGCACAAAATTTTATCTCGACAACTTCAATAGTTATTCATTTTCATTACATAAAATTTTACCACAGGGCAATAAAACTTGTTGTTAAAACATAAAAATTTATTTTTTATTTTCAAGAATCGCATTATTACATTTTTTGTAATTCTAAAAAAATACATTTAAATCGAATATAAATATTTGTATTAAAAAATACAAGATCTTTTGGCTTAAACATTAAATATTTACATATTAAATTTACTTAGCTATTTAATAACAATAATCACAATGATTACAAAGAATCACAACATGTTAAAACTGTGGCCTATACAGATTTTTTTTTAATTTAGGAAATTATTTTTTGTTGAGATTTTTTATTTAAATAATTATTTAAGCGTTTGATTCTGTTGAACTAGATTCTTCGGTGACTTTTTTGACTTTCGGTCTTATTAAATAATCACAACTCCATAAGATCACGCAAAACATTGATAAAGCTGTTGTTGCATATAAAGAGTAAATGTAAGAATTTGCCAAATCGTGGGCTAAACCTAAAACAAATTTACGAAAAATTTATAACTTGGTAGATAAACTAAAAAAAATCTCGACTTTATTGCTACGATAAAATGTTATTGATAACATTTTTTTATCTCCTTTAATTACCTTTAAGATTAATCATATAAAAATTATTGGATTTGTTAAAAATATAGTTTATTTTAAAATTTGTATTAATCAATTTCTTCATTTGTACTTCAAAAAATGGGAAAAGTTGGTTACAGAAATCTTGTCTTGGCATAAAACTTGCAAGTAGTGAGCGCCTTCAGATAAATTAGTTATAATTAGCATTGTGTGAGAGTTCGGAATAGATTGGATCAAAACAAACTGTATGGAGTATTCGTTTCAAACTCATGCCAGGTATAAATATGGCCAGTAAAGTGTTATTGGAATTTAAAATGGTGGATCACGAACTATAAAAAAGAGCTAACAGGAAATAAGTCCGTTTTGCAAAATCACCAAATAAGCAATGTTGAAGAAAATAATCGTTTCAATCGAGTGACTGAAAAAAAAACTCTGGAAATACCACAGTGATAGAGAGAAAGTATTGAAACATACTACAAATTTAGGTAGAATCTTCTTCAAAGTTCTCGAGGTTTAGAAAGAAAAATTCTGGATAGTTCTCAAAGTTACGAATTATTAAACGTGTTCACGAAAATCGTTATAATTAATTAGAAACATACATAGTACACATAATATGGATTAAAGGATGGAGTAAAAAAGATTTTGATGTGTTTTGGAAGTGTTTGAAAGATACCAAAAAATAAAAATTACTTATTGGTGTGTGTCAAAATGGTCCTAATTGCTTGGAAATACCTTAAAATTATTTAATAAATGCAATACAAGTTAATAACAATATTTGCAGAAAATTCAAAGACTTAAAATACGAATAAAGCTGACCAAAATGGTTCTAATCAAGTAGAAAAATCCATAGAACACATAATATGGATAAAAGGATAAAGTAAAAACGATTTTGGTGTGTTCTAAAAGTGTTTGGGAGATACCAGAAGATAGAAAAAACGTATTGGTGTGTGTCAAAATGGTCCTAATTGCTTGGAAATACTTTAATATGAAAATTCCTTGAAAATCATTGGTAAAATCAGGTCCCCCAATATGATAACCTGCAAGTTTGCATAAAATAAATTTTCTGGCGGTGATATGATAGCGTTTATAACAAAATTTATTTCAAACGTGTCTAAGTTTCAATTAAAAAATATAATTAATTCTTACCTATAACAGGTCCAACAACTAAAGATAAAATCCCATTAGTAACCATCAACAATCCATTAGCTGCAGCTAATCTTTCATACTCAACATATCTAGGTAAAATTAGCGATTGAAAAACCGCTTTTGATCCTTTACCTAAACCAAGAGTGGCCACTCCAATTAAAACAATATATTTTTGATCATAGAAAACAGCCATAACTTGAACAAAAAATATTCAATTAAATACTTTAGTTAATAAATCAATTTCTTACTCGTTCTGCCAATAGACGAAGCCATTAATGAACAAACATAACAAACTTTCGGTGGTAAATTCATCTTGTACGTTATGAATGGCACGACTAACCGACCTGTTAGGTCGGTAGAAGACAGCCACGATATGGCTATTGCTAATTCTTGGATATTAAAACCATTTAAACGTGTTAAAACGAACGGGGTCATCACTATGGTGTTAAGTTCGGATGCAAAAGAAACTCCCATTCCAAGAGCTAAGATTACATAAGTAGCTTCTGTAAAAAGTTTAAAATCGAACAATTTCGTAACTGATCTGCACATATTCTTTTTCTCTTTAGGTAAGGAGTTGTTGTTGTTGGTCGAGATGAGTTTATCGTTTAAACCGTTCTAAAAAGAAAATTGGGAATGAATCAACACGAATTAATAAAAAATTAGTATTTTTGTTTACTTTATCATCGTGTGGTAAGATAATTTTGCTAGTTTTTTTATTTTTGTATTCCCTTCCTTTTAATGGGTGTAATAAAAGCGCGGCCGGAAACATGTTTAATGCGAATCCAGCGAAAATTAAAACGGTTCCTTGAACACCATAATACTGAAGAAGGAAATGACAAACTTGCGGCATAAATATTCCTATTAAACATGATCCTGTTACTTGAAGACTTATTGCTAACGCCAATTTCTTTTCAAAGTATGAATAAACCATCATGTATGTTGCAGGCATTAAAATTCCATTTCCAACACCTAAACAATAATTTCACAAAAATTAGAGTTTACCTTCAACTTATTTATAAATATATTGATAAATATTACACTTAAAAACATTATATTTGTTTAAGTGGGTCTCAAATAAAATTATTTTTAAGATAACCTAATTATTTCGTGTCACATGTTTATGATTGATATTTTTAAGTTGTTTGGAGGGGTTTTTTAAATCATGTTGTGATTATATAATAGATATATAGCAGGAATTTCAACATTTCAACATTTGGAATGATTCTAGTTCTAGGTCTTGTGTTAGTTCTAGTGATAGTACTAGTGTATAACTAGAACTAACACTAGAACTAGAACTAACACTAGAACTAGAACTAGAAACATTCGGGTTTAGCCATTTGTCTCTTAAAGCGGCAAAACCCGAATGTTTCTAGTTCTAGGTCTAGTGGTGGTTCCCATGCTAGTCTTAGTTCTAGTTTTAGTTGTTATTCAGCGTTAGATTATTGTATATTTTTCATTGAAGTAAAACTAGAACTAACACTAGACCTCCTTGAAACGTCGTTCTAGGAGGAGGTTCTTAAATTTGCAAATACCTACTCGAGTTGTATCTTCTAAATTGTGATCCAGAGATAGTTAAATTTATCAAAGTGCAAAGGTTGAGATGGATTAGCCATAAAATTAACATAAAAAGTATTTGAAGAATTATAGCCTTAGTTGGAAAGCCGAAGAGACATTTTGTGGACGATGTGGCGGAGGATCTAAGAGTGCTGGAGATAACAGGCGTGGGATAGACATGTTTAGAAGGAACTGTTATGACAGGCCAAGATTCGCAATGAGTTGTAGAGCCAAGCATTCGTTTGATATACAGGGTGTTTCATTAGGAATGATACATACGTTAATATGTTATAGATTTATTCATTTTAAGCAGAAAAGTTCCTAAAAACATGTCCTCATTTCTCAAAGATAACTGAGATACAGCCTGTTAATGCATAAACTGATTTATTTAAATGTGTACATAAAATAAAATAATAATAATATTAATTCGGACTTTAAAGGAAGGACGTCTCTCAAGACGGCTAAACCCGAATGATTCTAGTCCTAGGTCTTGTGTTAGTTCTAGTGATAGTGCTAGAACTAACACTGGACCATGAATTAGAAACATTCGGATTTAGCCGCACGTCTCTCAAGACGGCTAAACCCGAATGATTCTAGTTCTAGGTCTTGTGTTAGTTCTAGTGATAGTGCTAGTGCAAAACTAGAACCAACACTAGACCTAGAACTAGAAACATTCGGATTTAGCCGCACGTCTCTCAAGACGGCTAAACCCGAATGATTCTAGTTCTAGGTCTTGTGTTAGTTCTAGTGATAGTGCTAGTGTAAAACTAGAACTAACACTAGACCTAGAACTAGAATCATTCGGGTTTAGCCGCACGTCTCTCAAGACGGCTAAACCCGAATGATTCTAGTTCTAGCTCTAGTGATAGTGCTAGTGCAAAATTAGAACTAACACTAGACCTAGAACTAGAAAGTATCTCAGAGTGTTTCTAGTTCTAGGTCTAGTGTTAGTTCTAGTTTTAGTTCAATAAAAATATGCAAGATAGTGATATCTTATGTTAACTAGCGCTACCTACCATTGTCACTAGAACTAACATTAGACCTACAACTAGAAATATTCAGACATGTTGCATTTTATGTGGGACAAAGTAAGTAGGTACGCGCTGGTTTTTATGGAAATATACTTTGGTATATTGTATTTTAAGTGAAATTTACTATAAAATAATCCAAAGTTATATCATAATGAAATTTTTAATTAATTTGAGTAATAATTAAAATTTTCTCGCTGTTATTATCTAATCTTTTTCAGCAAAAACACAAAAGATAACCAAATAAGAATGTAAATAATAGTTGTGTTATCTGTCTGGATGTTACTATTATTAAAAAAAATTAAAAAAAAAAATTTATATAAAAATACTTACCTAACATAACCCCAATAGTACATAATAAGTACTCATATCTCCATGATAATGTTGTTAATACCAAAGATAAGCAGCTGAGACATCCACCGCCCAAAACAATTTGTTTATTAGTAAATACTTTGAGTAAAGGACCACTGAAGAGTCCTGAAAATAAATAATAAATTACTTATTAATAATTCGAGTCAAAAATAATTTTATTATTTTACCTAAAGCACATTGTAAAGAATTATTGAGATGAAGAAGAAAAGATATTTGAGACGCTGTTATTCCCATTTCTAAGAATTTGGCTTCGTATAACATACCAAAACATACCACTATTGGAGATAAGGCAGACTAAAATAAGACAAAAAATTAAAACAATACGAATTATTTTTTTAAAATCAATAAAATGATTGTAAAAAACTATTTTATTTTCCCAAATAATGTTTTTATCGCTTTTATCTATTTTTAGAACTTATAAGATTTCCATTGTAAACAAAAAGAGGAACAAAGTGCATTTTAATTTGTTATAAACACATCCCAAATAAACAATTATAATTTTTTTTATTTTCTTTGTTTAACTTACATTAATAGCAACGATTGCAAAAATAACCACCCATCCATATCCTCCGTCGAGGGCTTTACTTTTTTTATCTTCCTTGTCTTCGGTTAACTTCTCAGCCATCTTTCTTATAAAATGCAAAAAATCACCACACTTGTATTACTTTGAAATTTATTTAAACAGAGATCGAATGTATTGGATTTGTGTTAAGAATAAGTCCTAACAAGCATTATCTTATTACACCACTACAATACAACAAGTTGGATAACAGAAATTTGCAATTAAGATATTATTAAAGTTGAAAAGACACGATAAAGTGTCCAACTACACACGACGATAATGTTATCTGGACAAAAAATCTTGGATTTCAAAAAATCAAGTTTTTCACTTCCTATTTAAGTTTACGTGTCCATCTATTGTTGAGGTGGCAAAGTTTTAAAGTAAAGGAAACTATTAATAAGATGTAATTTTCTTTTATTTAAAATCTCAATTTGAAATGTTATTATAAATTTTTTTATAAAATGTTCTTGTATTTGTCTTAAAATTGATGGTGTCTTAGAACCTGATTCCCATCTTACCTGATACTCAGTTTGTAGCTTGCAAAAGAAAATACATGACAATTAGTACAAGTTGATGACACTTTGACATGAGACTAGAACATGTGATCCTTATCTGATATAGAGATGTAATCAATAGATTCCAGTTATTTGATTATGTTCCTTCATAAATAGGGTACTGATTTCCTTATTGCATACATAAACTTATTGACTTTGTATTTATCCACAAAAAATTCAAGCCACTCACTTTGCATTATACTGTCTTATCTCCCATTTAAATAAACTCGATATCCATCTGATCCGAAGTATCCAACCCAAATGCTGAAATTTTGGAAAGAGTCTACATCTTGAGAAATCAGGTTCGTAAATGTAGTCAGAGTGTGTACAACAGGAGGATGTACTGCTTATTAAGATACAATACTTTTCACTTACTCTTCTCTATAGTACATATCGACACTGACAAGCAAATGACATTTACTTAGGTACACCAAAAGGCATTTGCGCAAACTTTGCATCAATATTGTAGTGATTAATGGCGCTTTAACTATCGGATGCAGATTTAAAAATCCTGTTCAACGGTAGCTAACTAAAAAGTGACAATTTTGGCGTTTAAGTCGTTTTGGCTTGGCAGCGACGTTATATACAAATTTCACCATAATAAGGTTGGAGCACTAGAAAAGAGCTACTAAATGAATCCAAAGTAATGTGAATGTTCAAGAATGGTATAAAATTAAGGCATAGTTATGAGGTGATTGTGGAATAAGTAGAAAGTACCCTTGCATGGGTTGAATGAAAGACAGTTGGGACAAAATCAGGGATTCTAATCATTAAATTTTTCCAAAAATGGATCGCACCTCATCTTCTAAAAAAGTTGTACACTCAATTAAGTATTATACACTTTTCACGTAGCAAAGATAAGTGATTTTAGAATCTATGTATAAGTCTAAAGTCACACTGGGCAGCTGCTCTCGACTGCAAATGGTGTACAATCAAGCTAGAGAGATAACCGATTCCATGAAGATGCGGTTTTACATAGTGGAATATCGCAGAATTCCGCAACATAATGGAATGCTTGTAATGCAAAAATTGATGAAAAAAGAAGCCTTAACAAAATTACTCGATGAATACAAATTGAACTGTGTGAGAATAACACACTATTCAGACACCAGATTACAACCAATGTAGAAGTAGACTTGATATACAAAAAAATTCACGAAGATGTGATTTAACATAACGGAAAATTGCAGAAAGATGGATTGGGGTGGGTTGGGTTGGGTTGGAATAAAAAGAATTGTCAGATCATATCTCTCAGAAAGCAAGATAATACTTCCAGAAGGAAAAGAAGAAAGTATGACATGTGGTGTACCTCAAGGTTTAGTCATAGGAGCGACGCTATGGAACGTCTTCTATGATAGTGTTCTGAAACTAAAAATGGAAGTATGCAGATGATTTATCAGTCGATTTCAAAGACAAGGCGGTGTATTACAAAGAATTGCAGAAAAGATGAGAGGTTTGGGACTGGAAATGGCGGAAGAGTGGTCAGAGGTTGTTATATTAGTAGAAGGAAATTGAAGAGTATTGAGATAAGAGTTGGGAAGGAAATGATAAAGAGCTCGCAGGCAGTGAAATATCTGGGGGTGTACCTAGATAAGGATTTACGTATGACCGAGCATGTGAAGAAAGTCGTAGAGAAGGCGAGCCTGGCGTATAGGAACTTGTTACGCCTAATGCCGAAGAAGGGAGGTCCGAGACAGGCAAGGAGAAGACTGTTGGGAACCGTGGTGAGATCCATAACTGTTTATGAAGCTCCAGCGTGGGAGATAACTATGAAACACAAGAAATATGTTGGAATGATAAGGACAATAGAAAGAAAGACTTCCATTAGCATAACATCAGCGTATCGAATGGTCTCTACTGAGGCGGCAGGAGTGTTGGCGGGGCATCCACCAATGGATCTGTTGGCTTGGAAACGAAGTAGGAATTGGGAAGAAAAGGGAAAAAATGAGAGGCAGAATAGACGGACACTGGGCGAGAAATGGCAAGAAAGATAGCAAATATACAGATGGGCAAGAAACTTCATAAGAGATGTTAGAGAATGGCAACAAAAAGGGCCACAAGTAGATTACTACACAACACAAGCCATAACGGGCCACGCAAGTTTTGCAACATACTTGTTTGCTGGTTTGGATGTGAAAAGCCGGACATTCCAAATCACACGCTTTTTGAAAGCCACAAGTTTGAAGGAGACCGTAAAGATACGGAGGCAAAGATTGGAAGAAAACTACAAGTTGACACGGTAGCGAAACTATTGACCGGAGACGAGGAAGAAAGAGAAGAGGTGATGACTTTTTAAGAGAGGTTATGATGGAGAAGGAGATAGAGAGGCTAGACTAGGTTGGGTTAGGTTAGAACGGGGTTGGTGGATGAATTCAAATCGAGCGGTATTTGCACAAAAATACCAGTCAGACCCTAAACTCCAATTTTTTTTGCCAAATTGTGTTTTGTTGTAACAAACTTTTGCCCCTTTTTTCCACCTACTACTTTCTAATATCGTCGTTATTTTTGGAAATACCGGAATGTTAAATACACCTCTAGAAAGCTTAACTTTTCCTTCATCTAAAACTAGGTTTAATCCTTTCGATGTTTTTGTCATAGTTGTATCTTGTCAACAGACACAAACATGGCAAAGATCTCTTTGATGGCTTAGTTAGCACTTGCTTGTTCTAGGCCTGAGAAGGTCGATTCTTGATGTGATATTACGAACGTAAATGTTGCTAGGTTGATATATGAATGAGGTTGATGAAATATATGTTTTTTTTAATATACAGGGGTGTTCAAGATAACGGAATATGGAGAAGACGTTACAATTTTGAGTTGTACCGGCTCTACGAAGAACCTAATATTGCATAATTCATCAAAATCAATAGATTAAGGTGGCTCGGCCATCTCAAAAAGATGGATGACAGGGAACCCCAAAAGTAAATGTTCCGCCAAACAGTTTTTGGAACCCGCAAGACAGGCAAGCCTAGAAGCTGATATAAGGACCAGGTGGAAGTAAGTCTAAAAATGCTGGGAGTTACAAACTGGAAGGCTAAGGCACGAAATAGAACAGAGTGGAAGTTGATCTTAATACAGGCCAACATCCACATAGGGTTGTAGTGCCAATGATGAAATTTTCATACTCATATTCCAAGAAATCGATTTTATACGAATTATTAAGATTTAATCGGCGAAAATTGCAAAATTCAAGAAGATTGTCAATTATTTCAAAAAATTTTTTCTCAAGAACTAAAAGTGATTTTTCAAAACGGCTTTTTGCATTAAAAATAGGATACTTTAATTAATAATTGGTAATATTTCCACAAGGATCATTCAAGAAATTAATTTTATAGCGAATTTTGAAGTTATCGATGAAAATTGCAACATTAAAAATTTTCTCAAAACTTCAAGTATTGTTTTCTCAAAAACTAAAAGTTATTTTTCAAAACGGGTTGGTTCATTGGAAAGAGGACACTTTTATTAACATTTTGGGAAAGTTTCATACTCATATTCCAAGAAATCGATTTTATACGAATTATTAAGATTTAATCGGCGAAAATTGTAAAATTCGAAAAAATTGTCGATTATTTCAAAAATTTATTTCTCAAGAACTAAAAGTGATTTTTCAAAACGGCTTTTTGCATTAAAAAGAGGATACTTTAATTAATAATTGGTGATATTTCCACAAGGATCCTTCAAGAAATTAATTTTATAGCGAATTTTGAAAGTTATCGATGAAAATTGCAACATCGAAAATTTTATCAAAACTTCAAATATTGTTTTCTCAAAAACTAAAAGTTATTTTTCAAAACGGGTTGGTTCATTGGAAAGAGGACACTTTTATTAACACTCTGGGATATTTTCATACTCCTATTCCAAGAACTTGATTTTATACGAATTTTTAAAACTTAATCGATAAAAATTGCAAAATTCGAAATATTTGTCGATTATTTCAAAAATTTATTTCTCAACAACTAAAAGTACCGGCCGGTATCACTAGCTAGAATTAACACTAGCATTAGAACTAATAGTAGAGCTAGTGTGAGTTCTAATTGTTATTCTAGACCTAGAAAGTTTTGAGTTTAGCCATCTTCAGACGTTCGCACGTTTGAAGTGCAAATTAAAAATGATGATGATGATATTTTTTAATTAATATTTTCTTATGGTTAATTCTAACTATTAAATACAATAACAAGTAGTATAGTGGTTAACAATATAATTAATGTTAAAAATATAAATATAACAATAACAAGTGTTAAAATAAATTTTAATATCGTTGATTAAAATAAATATTTTTTAGTAATTTTCAATCACGCGATATTTTTATACGAATTTCACATCATTAAATACATACAATACAGTTTATTGAAAAAATTTAAAAAAATTGAGTGATAAATAGATTATTTGAACTTTCATTTCACAAAAGACATCAGAAAATAGATTTTGTTACCACATATTTTGTGTTATTTTTGATTTTGACTCAACGATTACCTTTTTAATTATAAATATTTCACAAAATTTTTTTTACATTCTTAAATATTTCTTGTAGTAAATCATAATTTGTTTACGACGACAACTTTCTGATATATTATCATTTGTCCTCGAAAAAAAAATTCTTATCTTTTACTCATACAGAACCGATATCATCCATCTAAACAAATAATAAAACAAACGCGATATTATCAATTTATTATTAAACGAACGAATAAAACGAATAATTGTTAGAAAATAATAATCGTGTAGTTAGAAAGT